TGCCAGCCCGCTCAGAGATGTGTATAAGAGACAGATATATATATATATATATATACACACACATTTTTAATAAATACTTTTGCAATTACGCAGCGCAATTAGATCGATGGATTGATAAAGTAATATCTGTTTAATGTGAGAAGTTGTTTAATATGCAAATGTACATTATAATTACAAGGCATTCGATGCGTATTTTGAATAAATATTACAGCAGCTGCGAGAAAGGCATCATCTATATATATCAAGATACTTTACTGTAACACAATTGGCGCGCCGCGTAATGTTAACTAATATTAGGGAGATATAACTTATTACGTTTATTACTATATATAAAATATATAGGAATAACCGATTATACATATGTACAGACTTACACATGGGTGTGTAACTATATCATAACATATAAACGGACTGAATTATATATATGCGACTTAAATGAGAAGAAGAAGAAAAGATAATTATTGCTCGTAAATATTATTTGATTTTCTTACGAAACTTCCGGTACGTAGTATAAGTAAATAAATTATGAGTCGAGCTGTATCGCGATGTATGGCATTTTACTTACGCAGCCAATTAAACAGATTTTATAACAAACCGTTTCGATATTGATAAATTGTATTGTTTATATATAGTAGACATGAGTAGATAATTATATGTATATATATATATAGAAAATTATTTATTTTAATATCTTCACAACCATTTTTAGTATGCAGCATTCGATTACCCACCACTGCGTTTTGTTGCTGGAAATCGCTTATCCTGCTTATTCTAATCCAAAAAAACAATTTTGCTTCTTTCTGCAGAAGTTAAAATATTTTACGTATTTTTCGCCTGTGCACGTACACGCATAGATCCATACATTCACAGCTCCGTAAAATCCACAGTTTTACTCGCGGATTTCAATAAGTATAGAAAAACATGCTTCGTTAAATTTACCAAAACACCATCGAATTATATAATATATTAACGTGTTAAATAATTGAATTAAAAATATAGATTTATTTTGAATCAAGCTCATCACTCAAATATGCGTATTAATGTATTACAAGGAATGCTGATGTTTCGTGCTAACGACACTTTTAATTGAAAAATTATAAAATAATCTCATACATTATTTTGACGCATATGCCGAGTCTTAGTCCATTAGAAAGAAATACATGAGATAGACAAGCTCAATTGCAAAATATGAATCGGAAGTTAAAAATTTATTAAATAAAGTCATCAATAACTTATATTAGAAATATCTAAGTAATTGTATTATTTTGAGTGGAAATTCTATACATATAGAACTTATCATTTTATCAATTATTAAACATACACCGGACTATCAGAATGGGGACGAGACCAACATCGAGATAGCTTTCTCTTTTCAATCGAATAAGCAATAACGACATCTAAAAGTCATCTAAAGTCCCTAAACGAATATCTCTCGTAAGATGTTCTTTTCGATATTTATACGATGTCATTTATATCTTTCGATTGTCTAGGAAGAGATTGCTCAAGATAAATCAGCTTTGCCCCAATCTCAATCTTTCGCTCTCTCTCTCTTTTTCTCTCAATCACTCTTTGTATTATTCACATACATTAAAAAATACTATTAAGTTACGCTCCCTCCCTACATTAAAAAATCCTATTATATTACGCTCCTTCCCTCTCTAAAAACAATTTAATTTAATAATGTACAATTTGCGTATGATATATATATATTGATATGCGGATGTGGGGCGAGAAGAAATTGTTGAATAAGTAAAAGTTCTCTTTTAAAATTGCAAAAGTATTGATCGAAACATACACAATTTTTAATTTAAAACTTTGCATACAGATGATGTCTATAGTTGCAGTTCGATGTCTTTTACAGTTCAACCTTTAAGATTTTTGAAAGTTTAAATTGTCGGTCACAAAGTTAACGCAATCTTATTAAATACCATCCTTCGTAGAATCATCCGCATGCAAAGTGCGTTGAAATGTTAACCACTGAGCACATTCACCGCTTCACCGTACAAAAGAAGAACAGTAGAAAAAGTAAGAAAAAAAAGCGTAGAGGCAAGACACATCGACAGAGTACGATTAACGATATGTAAAACGTTGCGCTAGTATATTACCTTAATTATGACGACCGTTACAAACATCTCCACAAGTACATCCGGAGGAAAAAGATCGGTAGGCTTACTTTGGAAATGTTTGCAAAGTTTCAAGATTGTTTCGACGTTCGAAATCGTCGTTGCGAATTATCACTGAACATCTTGCCGCAGAATTACCCGAAGAGATGTCGAGAAGGAAAAATTTATTCAACCGTGTCTCCGACCTTTCTGTCGAATCGAATTATCTTGAATTAAAAATGAATGCTTATTTAAATGTGAACTCTCTATGTAGAAAACAGAATAAATTAGTATATTTGATTGATATACCAACTTTCTTTTTCGGATTTCTCGAATCGTGGCGGTATTAAACTTTAGTAATAATTAACAACGACGAATGAAATATTTGTTTCTTAGATAAGGAATCGGCAAGAAACGTTCGGTCAAGACATCGAGTATGTTAAATTTTTGTATATTGTAACGGTTGAGCTAAAATTGTTTAAATACTATTCGTACCGAGAATTCGATATGTCGAGTTTTTCGATATTTGATCGATTCATTTATTCCGAAAAAATTATCTTTTTTTTTTTAGTAAAATAGAAAAAAATGTGATTTTAAGACCTGTTCATCCGTATCCGTATACATATCGTCCGTAGCAATTCGTAATAATTGAGCAAGTTTTCTTCCTATTATTGTCTTGATTGAACTTTCCTAGCGTTTGTCGACTTCCATGTAATGCACTTGCCATTGTAATGCACTTTCAACGGCAAGCACAATATTAATTAACAACTACTACAACCTCAATCCTGACATTTGTCCTCAGATTGAGCGAAAATTGATGTATATCGTCCTTTTCCATTCTAATATTAGCCGGCTGCGCTTCTGGTACTATTTCTTAGTAAAGATTGTAACTGTTGGGCTGCACCCTAAGAGCCAAAAATAAAAATGTTAATGACTAATACGAAGAGATGATCTTTAAAATAATTATATATAACATAAAATTTTTAATTATCGTAACTTAATGATATAGAAGATGAAAAGAATTTCTTTAATTCTTTTTCCAAAATTTATTTCTATAATTTATTTTGTAACTATATGATTTATTATTCAGACAAATTGCTTTTAAAAAAATAATTCTTTGTAAAATAACTTTGAAATCTCACACAAACTCTTCGTGATGCTTGATTTATGTATTTATTCTCTGTTATTTGTTAAAACGAAGTAGGAGAATAAATTTTATATTTTTATTAAATTTTTTTTATTAATTATTGAAAAAAGTGAATTTTTCCACAGAAAAGAATGCTTACCGAAATAGCAGCGCCAAGGAATCTGCCTATGGCTCTAGTAGCAGTAACCAGCCCGCTACCCGAGGACCCACTTCCTCCGAAAAGGGGAGGTGGATACGTTGAACTTGGAGCCCATGTCGTAGTCTGAAGTACTTGTCTCGGTCTCACCGTTGGTCTCGGTGTCGTTACTTGTCTCGTCGTGCTGACCGGTCTATTGGTTGTTGGTCCAGTCGTGGTCGCATCCGGTGTGAGCAGACCTAGACTCTGTATTGAGCGAGGAGCGTATCGATATTTTTAAATAAATAAAAAAAGAATTTCAGAAGACACTGCGGAAGGAGTATTACTCACGGATAATTGTAATTGTTCCCTAAGTTTCGTCGCTGGTGTCGTAGGTTCTATACCTTGCTGCTTTAGGAGTAAAGCCAGTAAAGCAGCAGGATTCGTTTCGGTGGATGGTGATGCTGTGGTGGAAATGCTAGCCTGATTACTTAAAATCGCTCTCAGGAAGGCTTCGTCGTCGTCACTTAATTGCGTTGAAGAAGTACTCGTTTTCGTTTCTAATATAAAAACATTTATTAAAGATTAATAAGAATTAATAATTTGAAATCTGAAAGAATTAAAATCAGCAACTTAGGAGCACACAAGAATTGATCTAGGATTTTAAAATAATTTTTTCACTTTTTGTTGAATTCATAAATTTAGATGTGTATGTGTGATCAATATATTTTCAAAATCGAATATACTTATTATAAGAATTAGATTATTATCCTACATTTGAAATCTCTTATTTTTACGGTCAGTAAAAATATTGACAAATCATTTCAATAATTTCAAAAAAGTATTAAAAAAAGTTATATCTAAGCTCATATCTATAATAAACAACTTAATTATAACTTTGCGTTGTTTTAATTTTTAATAAAATATGAGTTTGATAATTGAGAGTGTACTATATTTTATTAAAATATCTAGTTGAGAAAGGGGTGAAAAGGTACGTAGAAACGAATTACCCGTTTGTACGGCACGCAGAAGCGCAGCTAGGAATTTCGCGTCGTCCTCTGGTGAGTACTTGGACGTGGAGGCGTCGTTCAATCTGGGATTCGGATTATTTAAGAGCGTGGTTGAAACCACACTTGGCGTTGGCGTTGCTGCGGAAATGATGGTGTCCGCGAGTGACGTGCTCGAGGCCACATGGATATCCGAAATGTCCACGTTTCTTGTCGACTTGGCCGTAGTCATTATATGACTTGTAAGCGTCGGTTTGACATTTTGCGATGTCTGGATAATTCCGGCGGGCTTTGGAGTCGTTGCCTTAATCGTGGGTTTCTTTTTCGCGGCGCTCGCTGCGGTGGTCGCTTCGAAAACGTTGCTGAACAACGCACGCCATAAACCCGCGCCAAATCCTACGGGCGCCCGAGGGGTGGTACCCTTGGGTTTCGCTGTCGTCTTAGGCTTGGCAGTGATAACGACTGGTGCTTTGGTGGTCGACGCGGTGGTAGCTTGTGTCGTCACTGTTTCGGTGTACCTCTGCGTGGGTGACGTGCTGCTGGGAACGGTTGATGGTGACGTAAGTGGTAACAAGTCGATTATTATCGGCTCGGAAGGCAGTCCGGATGACGGGCGATTTTTTATTGCGTTCACATTCGCATTCAAATTTGTAGATTGAATCGCTTTTGGCGATCGCGTCGGTCCAGGATTAGCCAGTGCAAGTGATAAAATCTATAAAAGACATAAAGATTAACCGAAAGTGTTTATTTTGTTAAATTTAATTTTTTAAGTGTTAAATTTAATTATTTTGCTTACTTTATGTATTAATTCAAAATAAGGTAATAACTCTGCTTGTGAAATATTATTAATTATTTTCTTTTTTCTATATTTTATCTATATGCTTATTATGAATGTTAGATCGCTTATTTTGCTCACCCTATTTGCTAATATTTGCTCCACTTCACTTAGCGTTTTCGGCGTAGTGGGCTTAATTTTAACATTGTTGTTATTCTGTAACTATAAAAAATAAAACAATTCTTTGTTATATTAATACGTATTGTATTATACAGTACTCTTTTTTTGATCTTTTTTTTTCTTTTTTCGAAGAAAAGAAACAATGTAGAAAAAATCGCTGATATGAACTGCAAATGAAATTTACCAATGAATTCAAGAAAGCCAAATCCCCGAACGTGGTACCAAAAGGGTTCTCCATCGTGTTTGATTGTAATCTACTTAATATGTTGTTCGCAGATATTGCCGGTGCGGTAGATGACGACGGGACTGTTCCTGGACCTGCTGTTGTATACGATATTACGTAAGTATTTATGAAGGAAGCAGCTTTTGCGAATCGGGGAATGGTAGTAAGTATAATGGTACCTGTCGTAGTCGTTTGACGTGTCGTGGTCGTTGCGGGGGTCGTTGTCGAAGTAGTGGTAGTCGTTGTGGTAGTCGTCATCGTGGTGGTGGTAGTAGTGGTAGTAGCAGCAGTAGTCGTTGTTGGTGCTGACGTGGTAGTAGTACTAGTAGTAGTACTAGGAGTGGTACTGGCAGTAGTAGTAGTAGGTGTCGTATCAGCAGTATTCGTGATGTTTGCGGATGTTGGGGTTGCATTGTTCATGAGTGGTGTGAAGATTTCCACCAAGGGACTTACGGGACGCGACATAATCGGCGCATTGCTTTCGGTCGGCTCGTCCTGTAAATAATAAAGAGAATTTATGAATAAAAAAATATGAAAATAAAGAAGCAGAAAAAGATGTACAGTAATTATTTAAATTATTATCATTTGTATTATCCTGAGTTTTTAAAATAAACATATCGATTTTGATAATTTTATCATTTAATAATAATAGCTTTCACATATTTAATCACGTCTTAACAAGTTTGTATTTAATAAACATTTAATTTTAAATATAAATATTTGCTATTTATATAATACGTACCAATTGATTTGATGCCACAGATGCTGTTTGTATAGGTGAATTGGTGGTGATACCGAATATCTGATCGAGGGGGTCTCTCCAAGGAAAACCGGGAGGTGCTGTTATTACACCACCACCCGACTGATTGGTCAGCAAATTTGCGAACGGATTCGACGCCGTGGATGATGCCGTACCTTCGTTCACAGAAGTCTAAGAACAAATTTGTAGTGAATTGGTAATTCTGTTTCATACATATTTGTAATATTTCTATACATTGACTATCTATAATAGCCATAGTTTAAATTTTTCTCAACATTTATTAGTTTGGTAAGTCATTAATTAAGAAGTATATGTATTATATTCGTGTCATCGAATTTTCAGCAATAGATTATATATTCAATGCATGAAAAAAGATTAACTGTACTTGGTTTTTGTTACAGTAAGAAATAAGAGAAGCGTGGGGATTTTTAATTTCCAAATCGTTAGCAAACGAAAGCAAGAAAGTTTATTAGTAAAAAGAAATTCATCATTAAGAGAATTATCAAATTGTCGTTTGATTTACTTACAGCCACTGAATTTATTCTTACATCAAGAACATTTGGATTGATATCAGGTGCACCGTCAATTTGATAATTAATAAATTTATCCTGAAATATTTATGATTGCTTTCAAGTGTTTCCTTTTTTAGTAAATTTTAGTAAATCACACTTAATAACACTTAATCAAAAAACACTTAATCAAAAAACACTTAATCAAAAAATATAAATTTTTTTTATTACCTGTCCGATGTATACAGAGCTGCGTTGATCAGATGTCACTTTTGTCCGAGAAGCCTCGTTCCTTTCGCGATCCTGGACGATATTAGGAGGACCGATCGGACCCTGTACTTGGCCACTATTTGACGTCTGCAGATTACCGATAGGTCCATTCGGCAACGTACCCATTTGGGAATTTAATAAAATATCGCTCTGAAATATTTACGTGTCGCATTTAATAATTTTACTAACAAAATCTTTATATAATAAATAGAAATAGAGCTCATAAACTTGCAATATTCTTCAAATATTGCGAAGGAAACGAGATTAGTGCGATCGTGTCATTTGTATCAAATAAAAACATAAAATTTGTATGCCCTTTAATACTTTTTAGTAAATTTTTATATCTTATATCTTCAATTTAGCTTTGAAAATCATAAATTTTTAAAAAATTCATTCATATAAATTTATGACAAAATAACAAAAAATTTAAAATATATTTAAGATGATATTTTAAGATTTTTTAAGTATTATTGTTTCTAACAATTTATCCAAAAATCAAAGGTCTTAATAAGGTTCGTAATAGCTAAGATGCATCATTCGTTTACACAGTTCATTTTTATGTAAAATGTAAAAATATTTTTTTGAACACAACTTTAATCAAACAATTTCAGGAGAATAATAAAAATATTTCTTTTAAACCTTGGTATAACGCATGTCGAGCGCGTTACATAATAAAAATCTGTAACGATAAATCTCAAAATATTTTTAATGCATTATGATAAATGTATATCAAATATTTAGTACAAGTGAAAAATATGTTCACAGTGTGTATTCAATATCCAAACAAAAGGTACAGTGCGTAAAAAAAAATCAAAAGTGCAAATGAGCGAACAAAAGTGCTGTAAAACTGTCACAACTATTTACAAATTTACAATGATACTCTGTGTACAGCCGTTGTACAGCAATCGTTTTTTTTGACCTGGAAAAAAGTATCTATTAAATTGTGTATTTCATTAAAATTACGTCGAAAAAAATGTAAAGCATGTATATTATGAGACGAAAGTTTGCCAGATGAGAAGCTATATTAAAGACAAGTTATAAAGTTATACCAAGAAACTGAATTGTTAATCCATCAGTATTACGTAATAATTATCCAGCAAGAAACAGAAAGAGAAGTGTTATGAAACTATATTTTATGCTCACAGAAACAAAAAGAATTAGAAATGCTGTTACATGTCGTATATCCGCATTTCGCATTAAGCATGATTATGCTTCCGTAATTGATATTGTATTTAAACGCGATCTTAATTTCAGAGAGCAATTTAGAAATAGACATTTATATTATATAAAATATGGCGTGTACTAGAATAACGACAACTTTTATTAAAACTGACGATAAATATGTTTTTTAAAGTATATAGGAACTGTAAATAAAATACAGATAGTGCTAATAAAATTCTGGCTTGTATTAAGTTAAACTACTCCAAGTTACTTTCGCGCGGCACGATTTCTAAAGAGTCAGGAAACGCGACTCGTTTCTCAACTGCGATTTGATTTTTGATCAAACTCGTTGCGCGTATAAAGTACGATTTTGATGAAGAGGTGAGATAGAGATACCATTTTGTTTGTGCTCGGGACGCTAGCAGGGGGACCAAGTGGTCCCGCGAAATTGGGGCCTCCAGGAGTAACGCCGATCGCATTACCGATAAGTCCAAAATCAAGGGATCCGGGGCTCTGGGCGCCTCCCGTCAGCTCGTCCACGGGTCTACCATTATTATAGTACACCGGGGCTTGGTACTGGTTGTTATAAACGCCCGCTTGGTTAACCTGGTTATAATATGGCCTGGGTGCTGGTCGGTTAGTAGTAGTGGAAGTTCTAAGAGTGAACACAACCTCGACCGGGTTCCTGGGTGAATCCGGTATTATCGTCCCGTTGGGGAACTTCCGGACTAGTCTGCCGTCCGGATAGATGCCGAATATCACGTACGGGCTGTTCACGTTTCTGCCGTCAATTAGATTGTCCTCCGGCCGCTTCCGCACGATGGTTTTGTTGGGATAAATACCGTAAATCAAGTAGTCGCGGACGGGCGCCTTGGAGGAGCCAAGTCTCGGGGGCGGCGTCATCTGGCCGCTGCCGAAACGTCCGAGGTAGGGTAGTCCCGTGTTCAAAGCGCCGAGAGGCGTGAACGTAGGTGATATTCGATTTAGCACAGTAGTTCGTGCGGTAGTCGACGTGGTCGTCGACGTAGTGGTCGACGTATTCGTGGGTGGTGCGGCACTTGTCGTTGTCGTCGTTTCCTCTCCGTTTAGCCTCGATATCACGTTCAGGTCATCCGCTTCGCTCGGGACCGTTGTGTCTCGTGTAGACGAGGTGTCGGTCGTTGTCTCGGTGGAGACGAGATTCTCGTTTATGTCGACAGTCGTATTGGTCGTTTCGGACGTCGGTGCGACAGTGGTGAGCTCGGACGACGACGCGTCCGTCGACGTCGTGCGCAAGGTCGTTGTCGACGTCGTCGTCGTGGTCTTTGTCGTCGTGACCGTCGGTTCGACTGATGAGGAGGGGATGGTTGACGCGTCGGTAGAGGATACGGGGGATGTGGTTGGTGCGGTTGAAGATGTTGTGACAGTAGGAACGGTGGTAGTGATGGTGGTTTCAGTCGTTTGCTCGGGTTGAATGATTCTTGAACCAGCCGTCCCTTGGGCGGTTGTTGTTGATGTTGTATCCTGTAAACGGGCAATAAGATTTGGCATCTCGCTTACGAGATCGGTTAGCGTTTGAGGGGCGTTTGTTGTTATGTCGTTGAATCGATTAGTGGTGGTGGTGTCGGTGGTGCTTAGTAAGTTACGAACTGATTCCGTGTTGGGAGGTTCTGTATCGAATGGCTGAGTATCGCTTGTCGTATCGGATACCGTTGGAAATGTAATGATGTTCGATGTATTTGTTACGTGGGATCGATCGTTTGTAACCTGCTGGTCAGATGCAGGCACTATCGTAGTGGGTTCCGGTATCTGATTAGTGGTATCTACGGCGTTCGTTTGTACAACGTTTATTTCCGTCATTGCTACGGCGGTGGTTAATTCCGTTACCATTTCCACGTCCGACGTCGTGGACTCGTTTACGTCAGACGTGGACAGCGTTTCTTCTGTATTTGCGGTAACAGAGTTTGTTAAGGGATTACTGGTAGCAAGGTCCATTGCAAATTCCGATAATCGATTCGGCAACTGGACCTCGTTATTCGAAATAGTCGTAATATCTATTTGTTGCTCGGTATTATTATTGGTTGATTCGATCGGATTAGACAATTGTGAGTCAGGCGTATTAGTAGTTAGTTCCGAATTCATGCTGACCATAACCATAGTGGATGTTCCGGTCTTTATCTGCGAGAGGGACATGGTAACATCACCTACTGCAGGGTTTTCAACATCGGCGGGTCGCGCGTTAGACTCCACTAACGAAATTTTCGATCCTACAACAGGGCCGCGAGTGAAATTATCTCCTCTCTCTAAAGGTTTTGAAAGTTCGGGAGGTGCAGCGGTAACTTCTGACATGCCGTTCGACACGGTTCGATTTCTATTATCGTTTCCTACCGTGCTGTCAACCGACTGCCGCGTGTCGTTCATCGCTTCCGTGAAGAGAGTCTTCGCGATCGTCATTAGCTCAGTGAGTAACGTATCGTTAGACGACCGGGGATCGTTCTCCGCAAGGGATTCGACGAGTCGCGGGATCGGTATCGGCGTGGTGGTCGCAGCTCCTTCGTCCGTCGACGGGGCTCGCGTGTCCTGAGCTGTCGTCGTCGATTCGGCGTCCGATGTCGCGTTGCCTACTCTACTCGATAACGTCTGTCTCGTTGTTGTGCTCGAGTCCAATGTATTTCGTGCGTTTGTCTCCTGGTCTCCATTAGACGGAGGCGTGGTATCCGTATCTACCGTGTTTCGAGTGGTCTCTTCGGGCCCGAAGTCGTTTGTCGTGGTCGGCACGAACTCGACGTCCGACGGCACCGTCATTCCGACGTCATCCGGTCCAGCCTGCCGCACGGTAGTCGTTTCCTCCGGGCTCTCCGTATTCGTCGACGACGAATCCGGTATCGTGTTGGACTCGGGAGAGACGGTTGTCGTGGCGGTGGGCTTTCGGACCGGTGTTTTAACCGTGGAGAAACCGTGATTGTGCGACAAATGCGATAGAATGTCTTGCGCGTAATCAATCAATCGCGTGCGGTACGTGGTCGTGAAGGAGGGTGCCGCCGTCGCACGGAACTCGAAATCTATGTCGTTCGAAATCTCCTCCGTCGTGGTCGGCTCGGCGATGCTTGTGGTCTCCGTCGTTTGTGACGGAACCGTCGCGGTCGCGTCGGACTGCTGTACGGTATTCGTTTCTATATCCTCGACCGAGTCGGTCGCCTCCGTTGTGCGAGGCGTCGTTTCCTCGGGCTGCACGGTACTCGTCGTGATGCTCTCCGACGTATCGTTTATCGTGGGCATAGTCGTCGCTTCCGATGGTACGTGCGGCACATTCGTGACGCTCTCAGTGATCGGTACTGTTGAATCCGGCGTATCACTCGCCGTTTGCAGATTGTGAGGCACGCCCGCGTTCACCGTTTTGGTGATCGGTACCTCCGTGGTCTCGGTGCTCGTCACCGGCTCGGTGGCTTGAGGGTCGTTGGGCACGGATTCCGTGGAGGACAACGCCGCCAAAGTTGCATCGGCAACGCTCGTCGACGTGGCGGTTTCGGTAGTGGTAAGCGGTCCCGCGGTATCCGGGACATTCGTATCGAACGGCGGCGTGTTCGTGATCGTGTTAACGGGGACGGTGGTTCCGGGCGATTCTGAGGTGGGGACCGGAGTCGTTTCTCCGCCGCTCGTGTCCGGATTTGCGGGGGTTTGTACCGTCGTGGTGGTTTCCGGGCTACCATCGGTACTACTCTCCGCACCTAATCTCGAAGCGAGCGAATTGTCTGCCGACTGTACGGCGGTGGTAGTGTCTACGGTAGTGGTAGTATCTGGGGAGGATGTAGTAGTCGTGATTGATGGAGCGATGGTGTCATTGTTGTTAGCAGTGTCGTTACCGGCGCCGTTAGGTACAGTAGCGTTAGGGTCTACCTTCGTTCCCACGCCAGTTAGTCTTTGCCGCTGAGACACGTCTTCCGCGCCCAGATTCTCGTTTCTTATGCTAGCCGACTCTAACGCCTGATAAAAAGTGACGAATCTGGGCTCGCCGGGGCTGTTGATGTCAATGGGCGGTGCCGAACCGGAATTCTGCAATCAGAAATTCGGTGCGTGCAAGTGCTGTACACACTTTTGTGCAATTACGGTGACAAAGTAGTCGGGTACAAACAAAACGGAGGTCGGGTTAACGGGTGGCTTTTCTCTAACGTAGCGTAATCTACATGTCGAGGGCGGCGTTTCAACCCTTAAGCGCGTCGAGCTTTGACGTGAGTTTAAAGCTCCAGGCTTCGAAGATATGCCAATCACACACGGCATGAACAACAACAGCAGCTTGCGCGTTTAAGAGTTAATACGTTTTAGTTGCTCTATTTACAGATGTGCACTCAAATAAATACAACGTAATGTACAATATATCTTATTAGCGATTAGCGTGTTATTCAATTTGAAAAAAAAAAACCTTTATAGCCTAACGCAAAAATATACATATACAATTGTACAAGTAGACGTTATAATGTGAGAACATGTGAGCATACACCATCTCCAGGTACGCGTACGAACTAGTGCAAGAGGAAGGAGAATTGTCGCCGAACGTAAAGTGTCTTGATGTAACAGCCGTGACTTGGAACTCGTTTTTCCGATTAAAAGATATTTAGAAACGGCGCGCCGCGGGACTAGTTCCCCTCTCGTCTCCGACACCTTTTTCTCTTCCTCGAAATATTTGCCGGCTCTTACCTTGCGTCTACAGAGGCCTCCACCGACGCTAGACTTTCGCTATTACATTATTACGGAAGTATTGCATTAACAATTTCTCGCACGATTGCCCGATTGAAGCCTCAAAAACATTCGCGGCACGTGCGATTTATAATACGAGAGTTATTCGCGTGCGTTGTGCAAAATTATCGCGCGCGAAACTGGTCTAATTCTGAATAACCGCTTCAATATTTTAAAATCCATTTTATTAGAAGAGAAATTTCTACAAAAGGTATGTATCAAAATAGAATAATTGCAAAATAAATTAATGAAGAAGGAATAGAAAAGTGAGACATATTGATGACGGAGGATGCGTGATGGCGACATATTCTTCCTTCATTTATATATTTTCGTATCGTCCGTATTTTATCATGTGCAACAGAGAAAAAGAGAGATAAAGGATACAGAATGCTCACTATATACATCTATTATGCGCGAATGTGTACTTTCACTTCTCGCTGCCCAAGAGCGATATTTTCTTAATGAGACGGAGCATGCAAAATGTCTTTATAGAATCAAGATAGATCGTATTCCTTATTCGATGACTCTTGAAGATACAGTGTCGAGATAAAATATCAAATTACAGATAAAGATGCAATATGACAGATGGATGATAAATGCTGAGACGGACGGTGAAACGAATATCTGCAAATTTATTGTAAACACGTTGACAATTTCTTCGATTTATAGTTAAGTACAAAAATTTATTTATATTACATTATCGGGAATTGAAGTAATATATCGGAAACAATTCAAGAACCACAAAAGCACACGTACATTTTTACCAAAAAATTAATTTAAGTTATTGAAACGCTGTGATGTGTTCTTGATATTTTATTAAAAGTTTTGTTAAAAATAATGAAAAACACTGCACATCTCTAATTATATTCGTCTAAATAATTCAATTATTATAAAAATCGTATCTAGAATATGACTATTTTGGTAAATTCTTACGGTTCTTACAATTATTATTGAAGTTAGTAAATCATTTTCCTTTTTACATTCTTATATATTCAAACGAATTTGATTTTTACGTCAATTGACATAGGCTAAGTAGTTTACATATTCAAACAAATTTTATTTTTACGTCAATTGACATATAGGCTAAGTAGTTGTAGAAAAATATCACGTGTTTGCTCAAAACGTCTCAATACTGCTTTTCTAATTCACTCACAATTCTGTTATGTTTCTAAATATATCATACGTAAATCATAAGTAAAATAAGGATTAAACTAGAAGTTAATATTTATTGATTTATTTTCTCTTTCCCTGTTAAAAAAAACATACTTTTTTCATAACAAATATATTTATTTTAACTCTAATATGGCTAAAATAAGGGCAAACAATTGCTAATCGCGTGCAATGCTAAGAAACAATTACATTTATTATAAAAAATTATAAAGTTGTATGATACAATATTTTTGCACATATATAGTGTATGATACGTGAGTGCTATGAGAGATAACGTGACATGATCGATGACCGTGCATTAATCTTCCTCGAAGTTAATAAGTCATCCTTGTATTCTTTCGAGACGAATCCCTCTCCTAAGTGTTAGAACGTGATATTTAATGATCTTTTATAAACCGACCTTAATCCCAGTAGATCGTTTGTGCAATATGATTATGCTTGTGCTGACGTGCTCTTTCGAAGCGAAAGAAAATGTGCTCTTTTTAGTGCATTAAGAGATATTCACAGATGAAACACAGACATATAAATCAATTAAGGCGATTGTTAATACAATTTGAAATAATGTGAAAAAATGCATCTGTAACTCGTACGACAGTTATACTTCGGCTAAAGAAAAAAAAAAGAGTAAAAGGCGTGTGACGAATTGAAACGGTTTCTCATTTCGATCAGAGGGCGGTCAGATTAACGCAGGTTGTTTGCATCGATATGATTAAGTACGAGATCGCTCGATGAGGTTGAGACGATAGAGTTGGTCCACGATGGCGGCGCAACTGCTTCGGAATCCTCTGGTACCTTCGTAGGGAACACCTTTTAAGCACAGAAAATTACCTCACGTAATTTCTCCTGAAGGGAACCATTAACGCGTTCGGCTTGCGTACCGCCTTACCTGGATCTTTCCGTCGCGATTTTTTTTTAAATACTACGACTTATTAAAACTTATTTTTAGATTGTGTGAAAAGTATACTTCATACAGTGGAGTGGCACAGTATAGTATTGTATACTTATATATATATATACATAAAATATTTTATATAGGCACTTTGTGTCTCTTATAGATAATGCTAACAAGTTAGATATAATATTCAATTATATAAGTCTATAAAATATATATTACAACTATTGTAAAATCGTAACATCATTGTTACCGCATCTAAGAATAAAAGCTTTTTTTTACAAATACATTGAGCGAGATATTTATGATAAACATGTATTTATCATAAAATGACGAGAGATACCGGTATCGAGAAATGAGAAGAGATGCCGTGTCGACGCGAATTGCTGCTATTATAAAGCATAAAATTAAAAATGGCAAGTTTATGAATCGTTGCTTTCTATTCGACTGATTTTGAGTACACAACATGCAAATAATTGAAAGGTGATTATACAATGTGCATTGATTAAACATGAAAAGGTCCGTCTCTCCTCGATGACGTTCCCTCATAAAATTCTCTCCAAAATCCTCAAAAGTCTTACCTCTATCGGTGTCGAGGCCGTAGTAGACGACGTTGTGATCGATGGTACCACAGCTTGGCCGACGGACGGCTTTCTTACAAACAATTCTGCTCCTTTGTATCTCGCGCTGAATCTCGGCGGGGAACCGTTAGGCGTTATCCTAGGGGCTGAATTCTGTTAATAGGAAAAAATTATTTATCTAATTTATCGAATTTCTTCCCAAAGTTACAACATACCATCACAATAAAACCAACAATTATATCATTTAGAAAAAAAATGGTTTGTTTAGTTCATATAAATTTCGTTACATTAAACTAATTAACTAATTAAAATACGTTTCTTTTCAGCATAATATTAGAAAATGAATTAATCATAGCGACACTTGAAATACTTCGGATTATAAATAATAAGTGGTTGCAATTATATCACCACATTAATATGATTAAGAAATCATTCTAATAAATGTTTTTAATTATATTGTATTAAAATATTTCCAAAATAGGAAAGAAACGTTATCGCGTGAGACATTTTTGTGCTTAAATATATTATATAAACGTACGTACGGTACATTATAGAACCCCATCATTCTTTCAATTATAAAGACAATCAAGACTCACGTATTCATTTTTGTATCAACCGGGAAGAAATGCGATCTTCCGAAATCCATGTATCACTCACCCCGGTATTCACGTTGGAATAAGCTCCGGAGAAGATAGGAGTCTTGTCGCCTAAGTCGTTCAAGAGCGGTGCCACGGTGCTCCGCAGTTGCTCCAGCAGCGTGGTGGTGTTCGCGCTGAGAAACGTGCTTCTAGTGGGATTGAAGACGTTGGAGTTGCCGCTGTTACCATTGCTGTTACCGGCGATGCCTGACACTCGCGTGATGGTGTCGTTCGAGGTGTCGATCCTCACGCTGACGAACGGTTCGGAGGGCGAGGAACGGGGACTCGGCGTGACAACCTGAGCGTGATACTTGGTCGGCTTCGGGGTGATCGTCACGCCGGCGGTCGTCTGCTCGACCGTCGCCGGCTGCTGGACCACCACCTGGCTGGTCGGCACCTCGGAGTGCCGCCTGTAGGTCGACGTTCGCGGACGGAATTCCCGTCGCTTCGTCTGCGTGGTCGTCGCCTCCGTGCTGGACGTCTTGGGAACGGCGTCGAACGGCGTGAAGACACCGGATTTCTTCCGGATGTATCTGCTGGTGGGTCCGGCGGTCCTCGACGTCACCATGGACACCGCCACCTTGTCCGGTAGTTGCTCCTGATTCGTGTAACGAGATTTGACGCTGCTCTTGTCCGCGTCGCTCGGGGTTGTCGTCTTTTCTTTATCCGACAAGTCGTACTCTTTCGCGCCCGGAAAGTAAACGGGGTACACCTTTTCTGACGTCGACGGCGTGGTGACGGTCGGTGGTAGTGTCACTTCTTGAGCGAATTCCGTAGGGTGAACTTTCGATTCCGTTGATGCGTCGATGATCGATGCATCACCTGACGTTGCAGTGATCGTTTCGATGAACATTTTATCTGGCTTCAACGGTTCGATGGTCGTAAGGATGCTGTTTTCCTCCGTGTCCACCGTGTTCGCCAAAGTGGATACTTCCTCCCGCGATGCCGTGGTGCTTGTCGGGGATCGGACTTTCGTCGTGTCGATAGTCGTGGCGGCCGTGTCTTCCACGGGAACGGCGCCGCGATACGAAACTGTGATCAGACGTGGTATAGCGTTAAGTTCGGTAACGCTCCTCGTCGATGTTCCCTCAACGAGCGAAGCTGCCCTCTCGGAAGTCACTCGGCTCTTCTTGGTCGTGCCGGCGGGAGATCTGAGCGGACCTTTGATATTTCGATCTTTCGCCAATTTTCTGGTCTCTACGATCTTCCATCTGCCTCTCACGGTTGATTTCTCTTTCGGCGCGATCGTCGAACTTCCGTGCGTGGCACGAGCACCAATAAGTTTACTAGTCGCTTTTGTGGTTTTCTCTACGTTCCTGCTCTCGCTGACCGTCGAAACTTCTTTCGCTTTCGACGTAGCGGAATAAGCGGCCGTCGTTACGTCGAAATTATTCTCGTCAACGTTCAAATCGGGTTTGATTAATCTTCTGGCCAACTCCAGTTTCAGCTTGGATCTTTCGGAGAACAGACTCGCCAAGCTTGGTTTCGTGGCCTGAAAAGTTTCGTTCAAAGAGCTCTATTTTAAGTGCGCGACGAAAATCGCCAAGCGTTCGTAAGCAACCTGCCGAAAGCTCGGAAGTAGATTCGGTTAGTACGGCGATCTCGTACAAGGCGTTCGTTTTCCTCGACTTGAAGTGACGTTCTCAAGATCATTTCGCGAAGCTTGTTCGTGGAACCGTAAGCATTGTCCTCTTTTTATATCATGACGGAAAGACTAATACATCGATCTAAGGAGTGCTACACCCACCCTTTGCTTTTTAAAGGAGAAATAGAAGTCTGGTGGAGCTAAAGAAAGAAGACGACTCACTCAACCAGCTGGCTAACGATCACATACCCGAATCAAGATTTTGTGGGTGCGGACTGAAAGTTTAAACGTTCTCGTCAGACCACAGCCTAAATAAGAATACTTTACACCCTGCAACGTAAGGTAATATAATGTGCGGTAAGTGAAACCGTGTCCGAAAGTATACAATATAAATGAGGATAACTTGAAGATTAAACACAAAGGATATCTGTTAAATGTATAAAGTTTACCGAATTATTGAATACGCTGTTAAATCTACAGTGTTTAATCTTATTTAAGTCGCCACTGCATGTTCCTACTTAATATTTATTTTTAACTAAAATTATATTGGAATTAAATAATTCAAAACAGACCAAATTTGGGTTAAATTCCATCGTTTTATTTAAAAATAACTATGCTGTTTTAGTTAAAAATAATTATATATTAAGTAGGAGCAGTGGCGATTTAAATAGGGTTAAATTTGACACTACAGATTCAACAGTGATATATTGCTATTAATGGTTTGTAAAGCAAATTTTTTGCACAGTATATACATATATATACATATATATAATTTTTGTAAAAAAAACACGCGAGAGCTATTTTTATACATCATATTCTTGTTTGCAATTTTACTCTATATATACAGTATATTTACAAATATTTATATCAGATATTAATTTAGGCTTAGATCGTAATCAAGGAACATTTATTTCTTCGGAACTTATAAAATGCTCCGCATTACATTAAATAATCGATATTTGTTATTTGTAAGCAAGCAATTATGTTCTTTCATTTATCTTTAATGGGATTTATCTTTCTAATAAGCAATCACGCTGCAATTATGTGTTTTTCATACAATTTGCTTCTGTGCTTCTAACAAATATAATGGATACACAGCCCACGGAACGCAATTATTACATTCCCTTTCTATTTTCTTTTTTTTTCAACTGCGAGTATGTCGGTCTCCTTTATGTCTTTCCACTAGCAAAGCAAAATATTCCGATAAAAAGCTGAGCACAAAACAAAAGAGATTTAAAGTTTTATATACCGTGACACATTTACGATTTCGTTTACGTTGCTTTTTCATTTCGCGAAAAATAGCTGAAGATATAACGAGCCTATTTAGCACTCCAGTTGGCAAATCTAATAATAAACTTCCACGGCACGTTGAGAAGCGCATCAAATCAAGATCAATTATCCCGTTCGGATAACAACGTGGCCATTACTTGATTCGCTGCAATGACCTACCTACGAGTGTACTTTCTCTCCTGAGCTAACTGACAACGTAAGAAGAAAGAGACAGGTTGATTATATCAAAACCAGATTGCAAAATCTCGAAACCAATTCATTCATTGCGCGTCGATAATAGATATCTATTCATCTCCCGATCGTCTTGTTAAAAGGTGCTTGAAAGTAAAACTAGGATCGCAATCGAAAAGATCGGCAGAAGATTATAATGAAAGATTTAAGGCCGTTCTACGAAACCTTTTTGCAATTGATATTATATCTTGAGAAAACTTCTCGTCGAGGATTCGCCACTCCTTGTGTCACCATTCAAATCCAGTCTCGTTTGGATATTCACTGTCGCAACTACGTTCCTATAAAGCTTCCGCAAAACACATCTCGAAAGCTTTCCGGCGAAAGCTTTGAAGAGCAAATTCTCCAAAATCGTAACCGTCTCCGCGGTCACGTTTTACCATCACCGGCCAACAACTAAGCTTCACACTGGCGGCGCCAGTCGTATAAAAATGTTAATTAACGCATCATCGTCCAGTTCTGATTGGTTCTTAATGATGCGTTTGATGTGAGTTCGCGTTTTAGCTACCAATACACCATTTCCTTATTTCATATCGTAATTCCTATCGGTTTGATATCCCGATCGTATAAGTGCAGGGATATCAATCTCGAAAAGCGGTCGCGATTGACGATCGTGAGAAACAGATCTTTCTTCGCAATGCACTCCCTGATGAAAAATGAAATCAGACCTAAACCTTTTCATTCCAAAAACTGGAAACAAACACGTGACAACATGACGAGGCGTATACCAAAAGTTGATGTCTTTCCCTGATGGATGGATTTTTGCTTGTTTTGAAAAATCTAAGGGAAGCTCCGGGAAGTGGGGACGGGAATGTATGGGAATGATAAAGCGATTACTCCGCCGGTTAGGTCCAATTAGTGCGCAATCCCAAACTGCCCATTAAAGTTCTGACCAAACTGCCGCTATGTTCTTACTTGTCGCGTATCTGGGTCGAGTACCGAAGTTAAGGGGTTCGTGGGAGGAGAGACGTGCAAGTCTGTCGCAAACGCATTTTCCACAGTTTCGTTTTTTTCGGATACATGCATCGTTTTCGTGCTGGATCGTTTATGCCGTCGAAATGTACGTTCCTTCGAATGTTCCTACGTGGGGGGGCATTTTTTAAGCTTTTATATTACAATTACGTATGTATAAGAATTGTACAACGTCGAGGAGGGAAATCACCACCATATTAATTAATTTTATTTTTACCGCGCATCACTCCCCTTACGCGCTTGTAGGTACACATGCTAACCGTTTAATAATGATTCAAAGGCTAGCCATTATTTCATGCTAAAAATATAACATTTTCAACATATATCCTGCAAATGGCTTAAGTTAAGAGAAATAGGATGCATGTCAATGTTATAAATCGTTAATATGTTAAAAATTAAAATTAAGTAATTATTATAGTTGATTTGGTATAGGTATGTTGAGAGACCTGCATGCTATCTTACCTGCAAGCTGGTCCTAGTTGTACTTTTTCCTTCAGTAGGTTTCAAGTTAGAATTTTTCTGAAAATATTCTTTGACTGAATGCGCTAGTATGTATCGTTAATTTCTTCAACAATGTTATTGACACAATAGATATTAAAACAATATTACAAAACGAAATTTAAAAAAGGAATTTGCCGAGAAAATTTTAATCTTAATTAATATTTGTTTCGAAATTTCCTTAACCGGTATTCGCTGATCGAATGTATCCGACAAAATTTGAAATTAATGTAACCTTTGCTGAACGTTTATGTAATGAACAATTTTTTTTCATTTTAAAGGTCAAAATTCGAGGAATAAGATTATGTAATAATCATGTGTACATAAAATTATGTAAAGTTATGAAAACATTTGTTATAAACGATTTTTCACAACACTATCTAAAAACGCGAAATTGATAAAAAAAATCCGGATGTACTAGATTCGCGAAATCAATCACATCAATTAGGATTAAAATACGTTTAATATACTTATATCGTACTATAATAATTTTAAATAGATATATAGATAAATACTGTAATTTCTAATTTACTGTAATAATTTTAAATAGATATATACATATAAATACTCTAGTTTCACAATAACTAATTGTAAGTATAATAATCTAATAAATAAATAAATGTCACCGGGAAGATATGCCGGTCTCATATTATGCTATGCGTCTCTGGGCACATATTATAGAAATGTTCGAAATAAATTCCGATCGAAATACTACGTTTTTTTTAAAAAAAAACGTAATAGAAATCTAGAGACTAATCAAATAATTTCGATTTAAATTCATTCCCGACAATATGTGCCTTAATATGTATCAGATCTCGAATATAGGTAAACTTTAACCAGTAAATTTTATTTGCTTTTTTTTTTCATTTTAATCCAGACTCAAAATTGCAAAGCTACGCTTTACGTGCCTAACATTAGAAAGAATAATAATAATACGACAACATAATAGACAACCATGTTGTCAAAAGAAGATTAAAGCAAATTATACATAAATAAATTCAGACTTACCAATTGAGACAGCCTAGCTCGAAACGCGGGAGGATAATTGTCGCTCTCGGGCTCTACTCTCTTGGGCAAACCGAAGTTACCTTCGGATTTGTTGAAAGTTTTACTGCCCCTCGTACTGCTCTTCGTCGGGACGCCCGACACGGTATTGCTCTCGTCCTTCGCTTTTGGCCTTTTGTTGCCTCTTCGTCCGGATTTTGTTGTGTTGCCTAACGGTGTTTCGGTGCTTCTCGTTAAATCATTGGGCAAGACGATCTCGTTGGCCTGCTCTCGATTAATTGGCGTGGATGCTGCGGTTGATGAAGAAGCATCTTGATTGACGTGACCAGGCCGGCGTCTGAGAGTCCATCCGGGATTACCGCGCAATTGCGTCTCGCTTCTAGACGTGGTGGTCCTTGAATCTGCAACAATCGAGGCCGGTCCCTCGGTTGTGCTCTTACGGCCACGAAAACCGAGACCGTGATTGAAGAAATCTTCCTTCGGGGGTTTCTTCGCTCGAGAACTTTCTCCTCTGTCTCTTCCCTTGCCGCGCGAAGCTCGCTCGGTTGAAGAGGACGTTCGAGCGGTCGTCGATGGTCTGATCGTTGCAGTACTGGCTGTCGTAATCTCTTCGTCCACAGAAGGAACGGTCGTCGTTTCGGCGATTGTCGCTTTCGGAATGTAAGCAGTGGTAACGTCTGAAAAAAAAAACGTGATTATTATTAAAATTATGGTCAACTAACGTAAAAATATTCTCATTATCAATTCTGAATTCAAATTGTGAAAACTTCTACATAATTAATCTAAATACATATTTCTTCGGAGATCGTATCTCATCAAATGATCGCCAATATAATCAAGCAATTGAAGCGATCTTTATAAACGAGGGTAATGTCTCCTTGAGACAATTTATTGCCTCCTTGAGACAGATTGAGACATTAATGATTTGATATTTAATTAATGTTTCTCAGGATTAAACTGTAAATTACCGAGGTTGCTGGCAGCTGTGCGTGACCGACTTCTGGATTGCGTCCGGATATCCTGTTCATCTACCTTGCCTTCCGCGGCTTTCGACCTGCCATCCTTGGATCTTCGTTTTCCCTCGGACGTTCGTCTGTCGTTACGTCGCGTCTCCGTCCGTTTGTTCGCATACACCTCAGAATCAGCGTCTGCATTCCTCTGCCTACCGCTACTTCTCGCTTCCGCCGCGACCGCGTCCTTCGACTTATGCAGGGTGGAGCGGCCCCTCGAATTGACGTTCTTCGCGTTGGATCTGTGCCTGGAACTGGAGGACCGTCCGCTCGTCTCCGCGGTCGCGGTACCGCCGTATCTGGACGAGCCTCGGCGGGAGGTACTTCCGGAATTCGCGGCCTCGAGATTAGGATCCCTCGTTTTGGATCTGTTACGGGACTTCGATCGATCGGAGTGTCTGCTCTTCTTCGCGCTCGATCTCGCGATGTCGTTGCTCTCCGACTTCTCCTTGGTCGGCCTTGAAGCTTGTCGCGGGGACACGCTGCCGGACGGAGCTGCCGCGGCGGACGTTAGAAAATTGACGTCTTCGACATTTCCGACTGTCAGAGGAACGTCCACTCTCACACTCTCGGAACCCGACAGCAGAACGTCTCTCGCCTCGTCTTTACGACTGTCAGAACTGTTGGCGCTTTTCGTGTCTATTTTCTTCAACTCGTCCACTTTCGAGGTAACGTTCTCGGCCGCTGAATGTTCCAATCGTGCTTCTTCCTTTCTCGGCACGCTGCTCGAATTTTCGACTTTCTCCACATTTTCATCGTCTGCAGATTTTCTGGATGGGATTACTTCGTCCTTCGATTCCCTCCCGTGATTCACATAAATCTTTCTTCCTGTCCTCGATCTCAAATGATCGGATTTCGTGAACACTTCGTGATCCAACTTCGCGTTGTCCACCCAGACGGGGGATGCGTCCGAAGACGTTCTTCGGGAAGCCGCCAGTCGTTTCGGTGTTTGTGATTCAGGCACATTCTCCTTGTTCTCGTCCCTCGTTATTTCTTCTTTAATAGCTTGTGCGACGCGCGATTTTTGACGGTTTCGTAAATTATCGGCATTAGAATTCAAATGCCTGGAACTTGTCCGTGTCGTAGTAGTACTACTAGTAGTAGTGGAACCATCTACCGCCTGATGCTTTAATTTTGATCGCGATCTAATCGGACCTTCTCTCGCAAAGTGCGCCTCATGGTTTTCTAAGTTGGGAACTGCTTCTGAACGGGAACTCTTATCGCGAGGCGATTTGATTTCCGGTGCAGGAAGACTACTCGGTTCCGTCGTCGATTTAGAGTTGTACCGCATGGTACCGCGATTCTGTACTTTATATCCATCCGTCTGAAAATACGCAATGTTACATATGTGCATTTAATAATAATTTCATCATTTTATCATCGCTTTACTAGTTGATCGAATATTAATTAATTGACTATATTATTTTTCTATTATAAATCTTCATTTCTGAAAGTACGTTATGTTGCATACGTATACTTAATAATTTTATCGTTTTACTAGTGGATCGAACTAATATTAATTAGTTGACTGCACTATTTCTCTGTTACAAGTCTTTGTTTTTGAAAAAGAAAAAAAAATGGGTAAAAAAAGTATTTTTAATAATTACTTAAAAAAATTAACTCGATTAATATCTGTACAATTATTAGATATATACTGAGATATGAGATAATTGCTCAATAATCAAGATGCTTCTTCATGTTAGTCAGATAATTGACAGTAACGGCAAACGCGAAGTAAAAGGCATAGGAACTTTCATAAGAACGGATTACCGCGTATGTTCTATAAGGTACTTAGAAAGTACATAAAATAGTCGCCCGGGGATATTTTAGAAGTCTCGTTTATGTGATCGATAAACGATCAATCAATGACTATAATTGTTTGATTAACGTACAGTTAAGAGGATTGTGATCGTTGCGCTTCAATATGAAAAAAAGAAATGTATCCTTAATCAGGAGCAAAGACTTCGCCATCGAGAGGAAGAAAAGTCGTAGCGACGCGCGGCAGTTCGATTGCGAAGATGCCATACCCTGACGAAATCGCCAAGAAGGTACCAATTATGCAATTAAGAGAATCCTCCGGAGTTGGGATTAACGCAAATGGTAATAACCAGTTTCGACGGCGTTCGATCGATCGGCTATCGTTGACAATAATACCCGACGAATGCAATTAATCGCGTTTCCAGTTGTTACACGGCAAGTAGGCCTTATTCGTCACGGATTATACCTTCACCGTTAACGTTAATAAGCAGCATTAAAACACTCGTGACTACATTGACCTGATGCAGCGACTGCATTGCCGATGCTTAGAGGAAAACGGCTCTGGCGTGCACACCCCTCGTTTGAAATTTTTCTCTTTCTTCTTCGTAGTTGCAACAAACTTGTTTTCAATACTGGAAGTTTGCACAAGATGCAAACGAGACGACAGTACCGTTTAAGTTTCAATCCATTCCAACTTTCTGGGGCAGTTGCGATTTTTCGTATCAAATTAATTTGCAGTCAATAAAATTTTACTGTAAATCTACTTATCGATAAATCTAATAAAATTCATTAAATAATATAAGAATATAGAAATTCAGAGGTACAGAAATATCGCAACTGGCTATAGATTTCAAAGATTAATTAAATAATCAAAAATATAGAGAAGATTTATAAATTCAGAGAATTTTAACAATTAAAAATTTCAAGTTTCCAGTAAATCGGTGGATCTGGATTTTAAAAAATCCAGATCTTTAAAATAAATGCGTTTGTAGATTTAGTTATATGATATATTTATACGATAATAAAGAACTAAAAAAAATAACTACGTTAAAAAGAATTTTATTAATTAGCATTTAAAATTTTGATTCTTATATCGTCTAAACATTTAAGATATAAAATATAATATGTACAGTCGTGGACAGATCGGATCGAGACACTTTTTTTATAGGTTTCAAAACGCACAAATAATACTTTGCAAATGCGAACCATGATTGGTGTTATACTGGTCTCTAGACTAAAGATAGTATATCGTGGTTCGCATTTGCAAAATATTAGTTACCCATAAAATATATATTATGTATATTAAATACATATTAAAAACCTATAAAAAAAAGTGTCCGCAACCGATCTGTCCACGACTGTATATATATATATATATATAAGAATGCTTAAATGTTACACAATATTATCACAAATTATAATAAAATAACAGATATCTTGTGTGTGTGTATACAAATATTAAATAATCTGTTAACGAAATATACTTATATAGATCTTCAAGACTATCTTTCACAATTAGTAGTCATTTAATTTAAAAAAAAATTCTTTTTTATTGTTCATACTTTTGTTTAAGCAAAAATATCTAAGTGTATCTCATATTTGTACATGTAAAATGAATATGATGCCTTAGAAAACAGCCGCGGCCGTGCGCGATTCACGATATATGAATACACGTTCTAGTTTCATTACTATCTGTCCAAGTCTCCTTTTAGTCGTCGTCGATACTATCGATATTGAAAGTAAAAGTCAGTGTATAACGTCACGCAACGTTATTCCGCAAGGTATGCCGTTAAGAGCGAACTGTCGCGAACCTAGCCGATCGAATTTACGCGTAATCGAAACGAAGAAAATTGGAGAACGATTGTAAGAAAGAATACGCAAGTACTCTTCGCGGTATGCAAATTTAACGCATTCAGTGACGTAGATAAAAGATAAGGAAACTTTACTGGGGCATTTAGCAACTCGAAAAGCAAAGTCTTTAAGAACAGTGAAAGAATAGTATCTCGATGGAATATATGTCTCTCTCTCTTCTTTGCGTTTTTCCGCGAGTAAATCATTACGATGTAGACATTTTTAAAGAAAAGTGATGACCGAGAATCGCGAGATTCTTTATGCTGAATATTTAAAATAATTAAAAAGTAAAAAATGCGTAAATATTTTTGACAACGATACGCAACGTACGATCGAGTGGTTCGTCTGGGAAGAAATGGCGCACGTTGCCGACGGAATTTCATAAAGGAAAGAAAGGAACGGCGGCGCAGAGTTCCGGGATGGTGCATGCGAAGAGGAAGTAATGCAAATCGCGAAAGAAAGTCGAATTAATACAGTTATAACGCGTAGAAATCGACGGGAATTTTCGGAATCGCCTGACTGCCTGACGGCCGATTACGAAATCGTGCGGTGCTTGTAACGCACCGTGCGGATATTGGAAAAGTGTTCTTTCGACAGGTGAGAGGCTCGGCACCGCTCCGCGAAGGTGGACTGCTTCCACACCGTCGAATCAAGAGGGTCGTCTACGTCTGGGCGTCATTGTCCTTGTCCCGCACCCCCCGACGGAAATTTACATCGACAATATTATATTCAACCCATTTAATTCGAGCGAGCTCTCGCGTACGTAACGACCTTCCGTACTTATCGTCTGACGCCTATCGCCTTCTTGCGAAAGTTCGTAGAACCGCATTGTCGCAAGGTTGTTAATCGCTCTGCTTTTATTAATTCTTTGTTTATATGTATACTCCGCTTACGTGCTATATAATTTACAGTTTCCTTATCGTTTTACTTCACATGTAGTTGGCTTCAAATGAATCTATTAGTACCCACGCTTAAAGCAATGGAAGAGTAATGGTGAGGAATAATTATAATAAATTTAAATCGTATGAATATACATACAAATCATTATTTTTATATCATAAATTTGCTTTATGTTCCATTTTTTACATGTAATTATCAAAACTATTATATGTTGAATTTTACATTGAATATTTCTGTAAAGGTCCTAATTATGATTGTAAATACGTATCTATAAAGATTCAAGTCCGTATTCTATTCTGCAATAAAACATATTGTTTCAATATTATTTAAAGGATAAATAGAGGAAAAGTTTTAATAATGTATTTATAATCATGATTAAAAAAAAATTACTTGAACTGCTTAACATTTTTGGGCGAAACAAATATAGGAAGTTTTAAAATCGCAGCGTATTTTCAAGGCTTCATTATCTTATTTAGTATCTTCGTGTCACGCATGTAATGAAAGTATAAGCGCGACCTCAAAAAAACTGGTCCGAATGGATCCCAATTTTTAGGGTGTGGTTTCGGCACCCAGCCCAACTGAAGCAGTTTATAACGGAGTTTACTTAAGAATCGTCACTTTCACTTAAACTTTTACTCTTATCGTCACTCAAACTCTTATTCTTTCTCAGAGAGATGTCGTACATACATGAAATATACTGAATAAAAATATAGATAATCTTAATTAAAGAAAGACATATAGATATTTTAAAAATATAATATACTATAAAAAGATATATATATATATTTTTTTATTTTATTTTATGCAATATATGAAAAATAAAAAATTATGTAATTAATTATCATTATATTTAATTTACTTTTATTTAGAACAATCAACATAATTCAGCGTAAATAAATGAAGAATTTTCGCAGCCTGAAGAAAACCAATTAAGTTACGTAATCTTATTCTTTGTTTAAACTCGAATAAATTTTGTACTTTTCTGTCAGAATTTTCAGTGAATTTTAAAAAACTAAAGAATAACTAGTAAGATATTTAAAATGCTAAATATTGTTTGATTGTAACAAACTATAATTTTTACCTAGATTTTTCTAGGATTGTATTAATTTTCTTAATGTTTTTCTTAAAATTAAGTTTTCGATAATTCTAGAATGTTTTATATCATGTAATATCAATAAAAATGTATTTTTAGCCTGACATAATTAAAGTTTCTCTATAAATAAAGCACTCTTGTTTACAGTTTTATTAAATTGCAATATGCATAAAATTCAAATATACTAATTTTAAACTATATAAAACATATATTATAGTAAATATTAATGTAGAAAAATGTTTGTCAATTGACACATGATCAAGTGATATCAAAGAGCTTTCTGCACCTGGCATATGTGAAATGAATCACCTGAATGCAATAATCTTGACTAAGAGTTTGAACGTTGCAATATAAAGCAACTTTTCCCGCTAACGAGCGAAATCGAGCGATAGCTGAAGGACACTCGTGCATATGCAAACATTATAAAGTTGAGTGCAGCGTAAACGACGTGTAGGATAGGTTAATATACTATCTTTCGACTTCTGACCTTTCAGGATAATTATCGCGTGTCTCGAATTTATATGGCAAGATTAATTTATGCGTCTCGATTTTTATGGCCCCTTAAAAGTTAACCCTGATTTTATGCATTCGTATATGAAATGCGGAAACTATCATTGGAAATCTGAAAAAAAGAGAAAGCGCATCCTTCTGCTGGTATCCAACCTTTCAAAAAAAAAATTAAATGCGAGATATTTCACAAGAAATTTACGAAATATGTTAATGATTTCGTTCGACAGTTCTGACAAGAAGTTATATATCAAATGTCTTTACTTATTCAGTGTGCAATCTATTTTACAGACAATTTCATATATTTAAGCTAACCGTCTTAAGCTAACGCCTTCGCAAGCAAATGTGAAAAAAATTTATTTTTAACATAAGAAACGGTTTAACATTTAAGTCCTTTGAAATTGAGAAAGAAAGAAGAAGCGAAAGAAAGCCATAAAATATTACTATAACTTTCAAAAAGAAATAAATGTATTATGTAATGTTTAATTTATTTGATCAAAACGCGACACATTGCATGCATAAAATTTTTTTGCCACGGATATGACAGGAAATTGAACTCTTTTTATGATATCAATTCGAAAAAAAGTTACTGTCTCGTATTACCTCGAAACACCTCGAAATCTAACGAAATTATATCTGCCTATACGATTACTTTTTTGCTTTGGTTTTGCCTGACTGCACTTTCCATTCAGTTCGAAGTTAATTTCTTGTAATAAGACGTACGACGTACTGACGCGAGAAAAAAGAATTAGATCTCTCATTAGACAGGTTAAAGTTGAGCCTATAATTCCACGTAAGTACAACTCATTGCGTAAAAAGATCTGCATTGCACAACCGTCACACGACAATCTGGAAGCTAAAACTTCGATCACCTCGCTGTAAAAATGCAGCAATTTTCGCATTTCACTTTTCATACATCATTTGTCGCTTTTCAGTTATTTATGGAGGGAAGGGGCAGCGGAAGAAACTTCTCAGCGAGAAGATTTATTGGCATTTGCATTTTACTGCGTGCCACGTGTATCGTCAATCTTCGCATATCGCGAATAATTTCAAGGGTTATATCACGAGAAAGTACTTTTCATTCTGAACAAGCGTTTTTTTTTCTCGCGTTATTTCCCGGATAATTGAATTGACCGCGAACAATAAATGCTCGTTCTCGCAATTAATTAAGACCGCGTTGGAATCGCGTTGGATCGTTATTCGAATGCACAGGTAGAACGAGTAAGAAAACGGTTTTCTCTCTCTCTCTCTCTCTTTCTCTGTTGCAACCACCTCATGTTATAATTGATTGCAGACTCCCAAGCACTTTATGTAAGCGAGCCATTACTAACAATGAGTTTAACATGTATATATGTTTAGCAACGTGATATGTTATCGTTGATGTAATTAAGAAAATTTCAAATATATCATTGATACTATTATTCGATACTATCCAATTCTATTGCTCTATATAAATGAAAAAGAATATTATTCAATTTTTTTTACATGTATTCGATATAGTATTCTTAAAATATTACACCTATCGTACATTCTCGATTTTCAATAACTAGCGTAGAATTTTATACCCTGCACATTTCTTCTGCAAAAAAAGTTATATAAGTTTTACATTATTTCTGACATTTAATTAACTTCGCAGAATATAATTATAGTAACAATCTTTTGCCTCTCTAGATTTTCTAATTAGTATGTATATCGTAACAGTATCACCCAATTAGTATATCATGCAACACAAGTGCAACGCAAATGTCGGGTAACAGAATGCCAAAGTGCGATTGCAATTTTTTCATGATATATGCATGTATATACGTCTTGTTCTCTTCGCGGACGTTTAGACGCGAAAAGCTACCCGAGTGAAGAAAGACGGGACACCGCAGGCAGCGCCAAGATATGGCAAATAAATCAGGAAGTCTGCCTGAGGTAAACGATGCAGAAGAAGCGCTTTCTCCGATGGAAAACTCGGATTTAGATCGCACTCGCGCACACGCTTGTGCAACGTGCTACATCCGTCTGCGCGCGACGTATAGATATATACACTTGTCCGCCGCGCGTGCTCGTGCGTACTCGTGTAGGTACGCGCAATAAAGCATCATATAGGCGCGCGTTTATATACGTGATATATACGCAATCGCGTGCACGCGCACATACATACGCGAGCGCGTTTCGAGATCGAACGAAAGCAGCGCTGAAACGCAGTCGATTGATGTAAATCACGGAGTTAAATCATAAAAGCGTAATTCCTTCGGCAAAAAAGTACTGGCGACGAATTCAGCCCCGACAAGTCCTACGTAATGAACGTTTGTTAGCGTGTCTCGATCGAAACGTTTTTTTTTCTTTTTTTTTCAACTAGAGCGTATAATTTTGCGTTTCTGATTAAAGGCCTCGCGCCAACCGCCGGTTCGAGAAAGAAACGGAGGCAAGGATCTCGCGATTAGCATCCATTTGCAGAATTGATTGCGACGTTAATCAGAGGCTTTGACATACTCCGTTCGGTGACAGCGGGATCCAGGAAACCAGCTCGAGAGATCGGCAAAATTGAGTGCTGCAGGCTCTCACTGATGATTTAAATACTTTCGCTCATGTATAAAATTTAACGTGTGCAACTCATAATTAGCAAATAGCCTTTAATTCTATCAATTAATTATATATAATAGAAAAACGTTAGGTGCACATAGAAGTCTCGTTGTAATACAAAACTGTATAACAAACATGCAAAGAATTTGTTTCGATATCTTATAGCATTATCGTAATTATTCCGAGTACATCCCCGTGTTTAATTCAAGAGTGATCTATTAAACTACATTCCTGAGGATATTATAAGATTTATAAGAGTGAGGACATATGACGAGGTAAGAGGCGTCCGCCTTGAACCGCGTGCGCTGATTTCCGTCGGGACGATTTACAAATCGCGAGATCTTCATACCGTTACATAAATTATCCGTTATTATGACGAAACGAAAGAGATGCCGGCGACGACGACGCTTTGTAAGGGAGCCACTTACACAATGATAAAAAAAAAAAGCCGTCCTGGAATAAGAAATGCAGCTCGCCTTACGTAACGCGTTATTAAATCGATAAGAAAATCATCTCGCTCTTGCTTCCATTAGATTATGATCATCGGTGCGCACAGCGGAATAATTATCAACATCGCGCTTACGTTCACCGAGAAGGAATACGCGCGTTTGCCACGCTAGCGCAGGTAATCGCGAATACTAATGAAAACGAAATTGCTCAGTCTTTGAATTTAACGATTTTAGCAACGGCAATATCAATTCCTTTTGGGATTCCTTTTGATTTCTTAATTAATTAGGTTATTACAGACGTGATTAAGTAGAGCGTGATATACGACCTACTTGACGATTGACAAAAGAGAGCTGTGACCGTCAAACTATAATATTCAACATTATTGTATTCAATTATATTCTATTTATATATTTTAGCTATTATATTCAATAATAGTTATGATATCCACCTAATAATAGCAAACAAGAAAAAGAAAATTATTTTTTAATGATTAGTTTATCAAATTAATGAAAAATTAATACGACCTACTTGACAATTGCCGATACACAACTATGACTTTCAAGCTGTAATCGACTGTATTCAACTATAGCTTCTACATTCAATTATATTCTACTTTCCATTTACCGTATCCAACTGTAACATTACGAAAACAGAATGAGCACGGGGGAGATATTTTCGACCACGCGGTATATCGTTCGCTAAAAGCGAACGGCGCACGACTAGGCGTGGTCCATGCAAACTTGCGATCTCTTTTTTTCTTCTTATCCTCTCACTCCATTTATATGTGTTCCGTGCTGTATCTGTGCGCCGCCTCGATATCTAGATTGGCGCGTGAAATGCTTTTATACGTTTGATAAACGTAAGAACTATAATCATACGAACAACGATAACGCACAGAATAGGAGTTTACAAATTATATAGCAACGAACAAACTAGATTCTGGACATCTAGATTTCTGTAGATTGGAATATTTTATAAGTCTTTCTGAATACGTCAAATCTTAACTATTATTGTCTCTTTGTTAATTTAATTATTTTCGTTACGTTAAAAACTGTAATAGATTTATTCCATAAAAATTTTCTACAAGTTTTCCTCTATTGCGTACGTGTATGTAAGCACATTTCTCTGTCGTAAAAGTTGTTATATAAAACCGAGTATAGAGGAATAAGCAAGAAGTTCATGCGTGTCGAATCATTGCCGTCGGCTTGAACTTCAACTGCACTGAAGTCCACGTTGAAGTCTATGTTCATTGATTGATATAGCTAATGATAATAAATGATCGGTATAATCTTAATGTGCGAAACTTAGTCGAACGAGAACATTAATATAGATATGACAGACATAATAGATACTTGTAACGAATAGAATAATAAAAGATGATGAAAATTCTTGACTTCACAGTTTTGTATTCGATGGAAATCACTTCATGCTTATCTTTCTCGAATAAAACGTGCATTAAGAATGATAAAGTCGTGAAGTATACATTAATTCTCCGAAGTGTTCATTAATTCTTGCGAACTAAACTCGATGTCATAAGATTGTCTTATAATGTCCCTTTGTTATAGATTTATAGAATATATTTATTATTAAATAATATCCGCATCTTACGAAACATTAATAATTAATATTACGTAATCACATTGCTATGTATTATAAAGCAGTGCTATATCTTTTTATCCTCTAAATATTTTTAACGATTCATCTAAATTTAAAATTTAAATTTAAAATTTAAATTTCAATTAAAAATACGAAATCTTTATTACATGTTGAAACGCAGTGCTATATCTTTTTATCCTCTAAACATTTTCAACGATTCATCTCAATTTAAAATTAAACGATAATGCTTTTATGTTTTATCAAATCATTTCGAAAAAGGCTAGAGTAACATGTAAAGATAGCACGCAAGCTTTTGAAACGTTGGGAAAGTTCCCTTCACGGTTTTGCGTCTTGCTAATAATATATAATTTCCAATGTAGGTGTAAGCGTATTTACGATCGAGCTTCCTCATACACAGTCAAAAAATGTATATGCTAATCTGAATTCTTACTTTTAATAGATTCTTTGATCACAGGAACGCGCGGATATTATATGTATTCTCGTACATCACAAACTCGCTTCAACAACTTTTACGGTGAGAGAGCCGGCGAAAGCGTCCGAGATCTTCCTGGCAATCGTATTATTATAGGCAAATACAAAACGAATAGCTGGAATCTGGACATCCGAGTATACAGATCGAGAGGGAAAAACGAATGACTCACCACGTTGACAAGTCGCAAACTATTTCTAGTTTCTCTTTTATGCGATATCATGCTTTCATTGTTCGCCACGTTTCGAATGCATAAATTATAATTATTCGATTTGCGTCAACAAAAAATGTTAAGTACAATTTTGGGAAGTAATTCTTATTTTATAGCAGTTTATTCTAGACTACACTTTAACTTCGTTTTAATAATGAACTCTCGAAAAAATTTAATATTTTAATTTTACTTAATGAGTTTTACTTAAAAAAATATTAAAGAGATAGTTATTTGACGCAACTGTATAATGTGTTCATCGTTAAATATTTGGATAATTTTATTGCAAATTAAAAATGAAAAAAGAAAACTCTGAATTTTGTATTTAAGTAAATAACAGGTTTCTCTGTTTTTTTTTATTGCACTTCGCGAAAGTGTCATTCGCCTGAATTTATAATACGGAAATTATTAATGTCTCGACATTTTTTAGTTAAGGAAACTACAATTTAATCAAGAAATTTGTCATCAAAGTGAAATCTCGACTATCCTATACATAATTGAAACAATAAGATGACGTTATGTTTAAGTTAAATCGCGACGTAATTAATAAACGTGATTAATAAACAAATAAGAAACGAAGTATTGTTATCGTGAATCATTCGCGAAAATTATCTTTTCCATTGTTATACAAGTAATCATCTGGCAAAGGAACTGCTTCCTTCCTCGGTGCATCCTCTAATCACCGAGGCACCGCGTGCAACTTCACTTGCGCGATTTAGTCGAATAATACGAATCGACTCGTTCCGCTGGGTCGACGGCCTTCGTGGAAAAAAAGGAAGAAAAAAAAAGAAAAGAAAAACAACACGTTGCAATGTCGTAAACGCCCGGCATCAAACGGCACATCCTTGACACAAAACACGTGCAAAACGGATCTTGCCGGTCTCTTCATATGTGTATTTCGCGAACATTAATTTATAGATAATTGTGCTCTTGTAAAATCCCTGTCGCTGCGTCTTTACGTTTGTGTTTATATAACGTACTTCATGTAACGCGCAAAGTGTTAGAAATTGAAGTTTATACATTCTTCAATAGGACATTTATACTATATTTAGACTCTATTCGCCTTCTAATTAATGAATGCGCATGCATAAATAATTTTTTTCTTCTTGCGGATAATATTCTCAAATTTGACTTTAAAATATAAAATTAATCTTTTAAACCAACTTAAAAAATATTCTATAATTATTTAGCAACGTATTATATATATATTATTAATTCATTATATAATTTTCAAACAATTATTTATTTATACATATCAAATTAGAAGGACGGATCTTCTATATTTGTTACGTAGTGTCATATAAATTACACTTATGTAAATCACACATTCTGATAATCAATTACCTGATTAGTCTGTTCTCCACGAGAAGCTTCGGTAATAGCGAAGATCAGCAGCAACGCCACTATCAAGCTCAACGAAAACGTCCTAGCCATTCTGAAAAATATTAAGAAGTCCTTTTTAATAAAACATTAATAAATTTCAGTTGACGGAATACAGATATATTTATGAAAAATTATACATTAATATGCTTTTTAATAAAAATTTTCCTAATTAAGTATAAGATAATTAGGAATAAGACAATTATAATTATTATAAATATTGTCGTTATATTTATTGTGTTTGTACTTATTATTTCTTTTAAATATTAAATTAAGACTAGAATCGCCTCATGTTAAGAAATGATTGTGTAAATCTAATTGTTGTATAAGCCTCTATATAACTAATTCCAACTGTGTAACTGGCATTCTTTTATTTATAAAATTAAATAAAAAAGTCAATTCTAATTGGAATAACTTTAATAAATAAAAACTGACTAAAAATAGTATAGATCTGACGGGTTAATTTTTTGTTAATGTCACAAACGTTACGCAAAAATAAACGCAACGTTTACCCAGAAAAAATAACGACATGACATTTGACGTGGTATTTCGTCGCATCGTGACATCATACTGATTCCAATTCGCGAATTCAAGTTTCTTATATTAATACAAGTTGAAAATGAGTTGCTTTTCAATATGCACACCGAGTGGACTCGGGTCGAGTGTACACGCATGCGGACCAAACGTAAGGCATTGCCTGCCTTGCTCAAATTTACTTTTACTCTTGCCGGTTGTTAGTCTCGATCGGCTACGCTGTTTATTTTCGAAGCAGCGAGGTGGTACTGTTCCCTCTCCCCCGCCCACAAATATTCTGGTTCTGGTTTTAACACGAAACTGATATATAATAATCATGACAAAGAAACAGAGAAGGCTTTCGTTATGTCGAATTTGTTATATGACAAAGAAAAATTTATTTATTACGTACTATGTAAAGAATATTGATCTCAATTTATAAAATATCGTTCTATTATGTAATATCTATCACAAAGTACGATTCAAATTAATTAATATTTTTTCAGTTTTCACGTCTTTCTTATCCTAAAACATTCTAAATATCTACAATGCATTTACTACGAAGAAAAGAAAATATTTTATTATAACGACCGTTCTCTTATTCACGTTTGTCACGCGCGCATGAATGAACGAATGAATGGAAGCATCGTGGGAGGATCGAGAGGAGAAAGATCGATATCAAGGAAGGTTCGACGATCGTGCATGAATTATCGTCGCTCCGAGACATCTAATGATTCATTTGTTCCATTCAGTTCCATGGTAATGCCACGGCAAACGCGTAGCGATTACTGATTCATGATTTCGTCTGTCTATCCGAGATACTCGCTGATCGCAAATAGCACGTCGAAATCGACAAATTTCCCTCTAACGCCTGTTACGAGCCGAATAGCTTTACGAACACAAATATTTGCGCTCGCGCTTTTTTTTATGCGAGGGCAGAGAAGCGGCAAGTTTACATGCTAGAACTAAGTGACGTAGGTTTCGTAACCAAAGTATCAACTTTAATTTCTCGCAGACCGTTCGTACTTGCGTCGATAGAAAGTAAATTCTTTTTGTGTAGTATACGCGATCGGTGATACTGTAATGAGCCGTTTCAGGAATACTATTTTGTAACATGCAAAACTCATATATAGAACGACCAACTAAATTTAATGTTCATATATATGTATATATATATATATATATATATATACTCGTATATATATATGTGTGTGTGAACACTACGTAAATAACTGCTGTATTTGTATTATTCATGTAGCGATCGTGGCGTAGAGGATTGTACGCTTGCTTTCTGTGCCAAAGATTTGAGTTAAAATTCGATAAAAAACACATCGGATTTTTATTCGATCGCTACCATCTCAGATAGCAATGGAAAATCACCGAGAGAGTAGTTCTTTGCCAAGAATAGTCATCATGGAGTATGCGTGAAGATGCATCAGATGGAGATTACGATCTTCTTTATGAAAGACCGATTAATTAAGAGAGAAAATCATCTTTCATCGTGTCATTTCATTAAAAAGAAAGAAAGAATCTCGGAAATCAAAGATTTAAGAGTTCATCTACAATGAAAGTAGTAAGTTCTAAGCCATAAAAAATTGACCAAATATTGACAAGTATTTAGACAGTCTCAAACATTTGAAAACTTTTGTGCACCAATGATTATCATGTTTTTGAGAATAAAGAATACTTTACAGTATTTGGGTCAATTTTTTTGGCTTACAACTTACTACTCTCAATCACAGTCAAATATGAGAAGAATATTCAATATACATTGGTCAATTTTTTACGGTTTACGACTTACTACTCGTATTATAGATATCCCTTAATTAAGAAATGAAAAGATGCGCACGTAGTGGCTACAATAACCCCTGCACGTAATTCTGGTTACGATTCTCAGTCATGAGAGACCAACTATGATAATGATATTTATATATCCATAGTGATTAATAAAAATACAACAAACACATAGAAAATATCTGAGAAATGCTAGTGAAAGATATTTGCCTAATTTGAATTAACTTCCCAATTTGAAACTATGATAACAAAATCCGACAAATCTGCTTAAGGACTAAAAAACCGATAGTTAAAAAATTTAAATTCTTGTCGTGCATTAACACAGTAATATAAAATGTGTGCATTAATTTGTACGCATTCAGTATTGGAAACTAAATGTTGCGGCACGAGTTATAAAAGGCATACATTCAATTATCCTCATTTTCTTTACGGTGCACTTTGTAAGCGCGAGCTAATAAAATCATGCTAGAGTGTACGAGCTAATTTTGCCTGAAGTCGTTTGGAGCGTCCATCTCGCGTTCGATGGTAAAAATGAAATGTCATCGAGTGAAATTACGGCAGAAACGACACGCTCGACGGAAATGAGAAGTTTTCAACATTTGAACGGTCGTTCGTTTACGATTACACGGGTGCCCGAGTTTTACGTAAGAAACGGAGGTCGTACATCTGGCGGTTTGCGCACGTGAAAGTGGTCTGCCGAGTTGTATCGGTCAGTTAATTCCGAGTCCGGTTTCGTTAATGCTGCGCGCTCTTCTGGGCCACTTCTTGCGATCCGCGCGCGACAAGAATCAACCGCGACATGTGAAAATGAGCGTACTGTATATAATAACGACAATCCGTCGTAATTATTGCAACGACGAATTGTCGTTGGCACGTGCATGCAGATACGCGCTTTAAATTCGAATACAACCGAGGGACCTGTGTCCTACGATTATCTCATTTTCGCGCGATTAATTAACCGCGCGATAAATAACCGAAGTAAAGACCAAAGTAATAAATGATCGATTAAATACGCTCGTTGACGCGGGAGGTCCGCACCGCGGCGCGGCCGTTTAGGAGAACGCACAATTTCGACATTTTCGAAGCCACGCTCACCTTGCAGCTACAGCTCAGTCGTGTCTAATCCTATGTCTCATTTCCGAGCCACCACAGCACAATTCGCCCCGGCAATCCGTAATACTTTCTCCGAAGGCGGATTAAAGCCGGAGAGAGAGAAACTTTAGCAAATCGAAGAAATAAATGAATCTCCGCGCGGCCGATCGAAATACGGGACGAACGACACTACTTCAATCGAAATTTCGAAAAGTTCGCGGACCTGAAACTCGACTCCCGTGTGGCACTCCGAAGAAAAGAAGAACGAAAAGAGGAGAGGAAAAAAAAATCGGTCGAGATCACACAGAAATTCGCGCGCGACGGCGAAGCGACGACGGCCAGGTCAGACGGGTCAGGCGGGACGATGCACGTGACGCATCTTCGGATGCGCCGATTTTTCGCGCGTTCGTTGCACGAGGGACGGTCGTTATCGGGCGACGGCGACGGATCGGATAGAGCGCTCCGAGACAAATGCAAGTACGATCGAACGTCGGCCGTGTCAAAAATCCCGGTCGCCAGCCGGGGGGGAAAAAGAGAGAAAAAAAGAGCCACTCGACCAGCATTTTCCCTTTCGCCTGAATGTGGGACCACCACCACGCGATCGCCACCGTCACCACCACCACCACCATCGTTACCGGTCGCAACTGCCACCGCCGCTACGGCCGTTGCCTATCACCATTGCCATCGCCATCACTACCATTACCTGTCGTCAATGTGAAAAATGACCAGGATGACGATCGACGGACGATCTACGGAAAGCGAACGGACGGGACGTTCCTCCGCAGTAACGATCTTGATCGGGAAATCATGAATGGACCCAAACGGCTGCCGCATGTCGAAGATCGAGATATAAGACCTCTTAAAGATGTCATTAAGAAGTCATTTAGGCACGGTGTCTAAAATAAGATGTCTTAATAATGTCTTTTGAGATCGTCATTACATCTTCTTACATATTCCGACGTTGGGCACGTGTGCTGTCCGGAATATCGATTGTCGCCACGCGGATTTAAAGTTACATTAAATTTGAATAGATATAACAACTTATCTCACGAACATATTTTGATACTGTCGGACAATAGCCGTTATTTGAAAGGGGATTCAATGGATCCGGTATTCATGCGGCGAGTAAAGAAAGCTCACGTCAGATCGGCTCGCGTCAGATCGTCGAGCTTTCTTTACTCACCGCATGAATACCGGATCCATTGAATCCCCTTTTCCGCACCCATTGTGGCTACAATCATTGTCGCTCGGCCGACGAATACGTGTGTATATATCGATTTTATACTGTACAAGATATAAACGCAAACGTACAACGCAAAAGATATTATACCGAATAAATAAGTTATTCGCTCGCAGATCAAAGCTGCAGACTTTCTTTGTGCACGAAATAAGATCGCTTCGCGGACAAGGCCTTGAACCATTTTCAGATATAAGGTATTAACTCCCCGAATGCATGGGTTTTATCGTGGAATGGACTCGATGTACGCGCAGAGAGTAAAAGAAAAGAGGTCTGCAGCCGCGAATTAAAGAGAAAGGATCTCTCAAGGAGTTACGGAGTAAAATGATTCGAAATATATTATCGAGGAAGGTCGAAATAAATTCTTTTCGAGATATCCTCTCTCTCTCTCACTCTCTCATTCAAGTTATTCGCTTAAATTTATTGCATTTATTGTTAACAAAACTAGCTATTAAACCATATTAAATTAAAATTCAAAAACATTTTGAGATAAATCTACTTACAACTAGTAATAAATAATATTAATAATTTTGGCTAAATTTTAAATTACAATTATATTCATCACAATTACGTCTTATACATATATTATTACTTATATAAGAAGTGGATATATGATTTAATCCTATCGTTGTTAGCGCCTGTAGACACTCAATTAACGTCACTTAATATGAGGTGTAAAGCATCTATGAACGTTCAGAGCACTTATTTCGTTAAACGTTTGTTGTTTAGTAATTGCTGCAATTAGATCACAAGTAGCAGAGTGACATCAAAAGACGGCATAGTGACGTCTATTTTGGTCTACTAGACGTCACTATATCATCTTTAACGTCATTCCGCTACTTGGAATATTATTTTTATTATTTATAAGAATCGAGTTTTGTCACGCCTTTCAACTGTGATGCCCTATTAAATTAAAATTACTCTTGAAATATAATCCTTGTATTTAATACCTTTAATATGCATAAATAAAACAACTGGCAAGAAAGTCACACGCGTTCACAGCGTCAGTCGCTGATATAATCGTCTGTGTCGCCTATAATATGCGTCTTATATACAAGTACATCGAAATTTTTCGCAGCGGGTGGGTCATTAGATAACAACAGATAATAATTAAAAAGTCTGAGATTGGATAGTGAGATTCGAAATTTTCGATGTAATATATCCAATTAATCGTATTATCAGATTGGATTTCTCAATATCGCGATTCTATTTCCGGTATTGATTCGCACATGGATTTATTATTGGATTTTAATTGCTTTTCAATCAAAGCAATAAAATATTCGATTTATTTGCGCAATACTAGTTTTTAGCATTATTTATATATATATATATAAATTATTCAATATTCTTCCTTTTATATTTATTATAGTAGATTGAAAATAATTTAAGCAATGTATTAAGCAAGGAATACAATTTAGAATAATATTTATCACGAATGATCGTGAATATAAATATTCTGTTTCGCAATGAACGGTGTGGAATGACTGAATAAAATCAGCTGTTATTCTGGCGCCAGCCTTGTACTTTCGTTTGGCATGCAATCCGGATGTGAAATGCTCGGAGATATGCACGTGGCGTATATATATAATAATAGGTTCAAGGATCGCGTTTAAACAAAGGGGCGCATGTGATGAATAATTAATTATGTACTGATCGAGTTATTCGAAGATAATGCGAAACAAATAAGGTCAAAAGAGTGGTCTATGAAGTACCCATAGCCTAATAGCAAAATGTAATCCCAAGGATATCTGGCAGATATATATATTCAAGAATTTTAAGATATTTAAATGTGTATACAGCAAAGGATTATAAAATGTAAAACTCGGATATATTTTATGTAATAAATTTATGTGAGTAATGAATTTATTAAACATTAAAATTAATTAATATTTTTAAAAATGTAATGGAAAATATTCTATTTTCTCTTTATACTATTATTACCGCAATCCTAGAATATCTCCTAAATTATTTTATTGGAATAACTTTCAACGTTATTGTACACAATATTGTTAGAAAAATAAAATGTTTCTCCTTATTTCAGAACTGATTTAAAAAAAATGATTTTACAAAATATGTTGCACTTTTTTAGCAAATCTTAATTTTGTATGCAATTAGAGCAGTGAGTCATTGACAAGGCATAATTAGAGCTCTTAACAAGAATTCATTATCTTTTCCAAGGATAAGAATCGCACGCGTATATGGATTTCTCTAAAGATATGATGTTACACGCGTTGTGTGTGCTCATCATTTTTATCATTTCAAATCTTTATTCAATGAAGTACCTCCCGCAAATGTATAAATGTTTGTATAAATATCTCTTCGTGTAAAATTGTGATTATAGAAATTAAATAAGAGTTTCATAACTCCGAAGAAAAAAATTTTATAATCATAAATTTTGAAACTTTGAAGGAAAAGAATTTTCTGCTCGTTTAATTCTCATCTTATCCTTACCATTAAAATAAAACAGATGAAAATATGATTCGTGAAAAAGAAAAGAAAACGAAGTATATATATATAGAAAGTGTAGTTAAAAGGCTTATTAACTGATTTGAACACATCCTCATAATGTGATAAATGTGTACGGTTAACATGCGAGTAATTAAATACTAATACAAAATTGTATCGATAAAAACTGATAGAAAATTGTGTAGCACATCACGACACGTCGCTTTCTCCTTGACATTCATGTCGTGAAGTGGATCATTAAGGGGGTCGATAACGCGTGCAGATATCCACGATATCGCCGATATTCCACGTCGGAAAGTCGGTTAAAACACGGAGAAAATGACACGCGCGATCCAATTACTTTCGCGATGTGCCTGCTGGCGCTAATATTACTATGACGACGCCATGGTATTACTCCGCTTCTATTTGAAAACGCGACTCTGTTAAAAGGAAGTGGAAAGTCGAACGATTTCTCGATACTTCGACTCATCGGTGACGACCCCTCTTTTCATTCAGACCGAAGCGAAAGCGCGAATTCTTCACAGGACAATAGCAAAACATTCATTAAAATACAAAGGAATTGAGATTAGACTCAAGACGGTTTTTCAATCGAAGAGGGAGGGAGGGGGGAGGAGAGTACATACATTCTCTCCTGTTTTACATAAAAACAACCGCTTTACCGACATATAGTTTCAGATAGGTCCCTTTTCAGCGGATATCGAGAACCATCAAATAATTTCAAATTTCGAATTTTTTGAATTGGAACAGAGTATTTGGAAATCCAATAAGTTAATTAATTTACATCGGATTTAATTAGATCCTAGAAACCATGTTGTGATTATTGATTTTGCATACACATACATCATAACGAATTAAGATTATTCGTGCAGATTTCTCAAAAATTAAGTATTTAAATTTAAATCTATATATACAAACTCCATATTCATTGCATGTAATCCGCTAGTCTAGTCACCGTAATTTCGTAGGTACGAATTGTAGAGCTTTCATATATCAAGCACATGTCTTGACTAATTGATAGCTGATCTAGATGCCATATATAGAGCATATTCTAAATTGTAAAAATTTTTTTTTGTTTTCGACATAAACTGCGAGCGTTCGAGGACACGCATTTGATGCGTACGTATACTTTAATTCTGGAAAAGGATTTCCAAATCTATTAAAGTACGTGGAGATCTCGATACACACAAAAATTATTGTATTTAATCGGTAAAATAGGCTGCATGATTCAGCATGATCGTCTTAATTATGGCATCGACGAGATACTATTAAAGACCGTTCTCGGATTCCTGCAGGTTTTCGTGACTATCAAAGAGGCTCGAAGGACTCGGAGATAATTGAAGAGTGTTGATGTTAAATTTGCGATTGTCAACATACCCAAGCAGAACGACAAGTCATCATGACATCAAAATGACATTAAATTAAATGTCTTAAATGACGTGCAAACGATAATTAAGAGTCCTTTTTCGATTAGTTATGAATAATTTTAACATCATTTTGACGATATCGTGATCTGCTTGGGTAAATATTTGAATAATGTATTATTAAAATCATGAGTTTTTTTTATATACAAATGCTTTATGAATACTTAATACTATGTAATATCACATATTAGCGCAAAATAACAATTTTTTTCTACTGTTACCATCTCTATGAATAATCTGCAAATCACGCAGTCTTTAATGCAGGTATCTCGGTCGGTGATTAGATGTAAAACAAGGACGCGGAAATAATATTACGTGATATCAAAAAATGCAATAGCGTTAACCCAAATTTGGGTTAAATTTGAACAGTTTTAAACTATTTAACTCCATAATTGTTTTAGTAAAAAAGAACTATTTATTAAGTAAGAGTGGCGACTTAAATAAGGTTTATTTTGGCACTATTATAGATTTAACAGTGCATTTTAACGAATCTAGATTTCGCTACCTATGTGTGAAAATTCATTACGCGCCAGATTTAATATGGAAAATATTTTTCTGCGTTTCTCGCGCGACAACAAAATGTAAATGGAAACAAATTGATTTTCAATCGCGCCGTTCTCGGCCGCGAGCGCTTTTGCTCCGTGAACCGTTTCTCTTTTTTCCGAGTTTTTTTTTTTTTCGAACGTACATACCTAAGTATATACATTCGTAACACCTGGCAAGCGCGAGATACGCGAGAGAACGCAGTTTATAATGTCACTTGATGCATGTTATACCTATAGTTATTGGTGAGTACATTGGATTGGATAAACGGAGTGTGGTCGGACTGGTGTTGGCTCGATCGGCCATGCGGTCATCGCGATGAGTAAACGCGCGGTGTGTCGCGCCATGCCGCGCCGGATCGCCCGGATCATCGCGTAATATAACGTACATACGTAATCCGCGCCGCGTACGCGGCCAAGGGTGATCGCGATCGGTCAGTCGCGATGATCATCGCTTGAGTCGTGCGACGCGGCGAGGCGAAACGGACCATTGTTACGAATGTTACGATGCATTGTCGCGCGCGGCGCGGGTGTCTGAGGGAGAGAGAGAGAGCGTGAGCGCAGTATACTGTGGCGCGAGAGGGAGAGGGAGAGGGGGGGGTACGCGTCCGTCGATGATGCTCGATCAGGCGGGACGCTTTTAGGCTAGAATCGTGGCCCCCTGCGTAAAGTGAGGTGAATATTGTTATGCATATCGGCAAGATGTGATAAACACCCACGTATACGTGGCTTCTCTTTTGTATGAGCGTTGTTGCGAGGGTAACTTTTTCGGCGAGAAAAAGTCGAGCGGTGTTTTCTTTTTCCGATATTTTTACAATGTGACTTATCTAGTACTTTATCAACGTGATCGACGTGACTCAAGATATTTCCTATCTTTTTCTCACATCAAATCTTGAGAGTCTATTTTCATGCCTTTTGCTGTTACCTATCTTGCTAATCAGGACCAACATTTGGTAGCCTCACACGTTACTAACATTTATACATATTACTGTGCGTCTTTATTATAATAATTAGGCGTATTTACGGTGTTGCGGATTGTAAAAATATGAAAAATAAAATTATTAGAATATTAATTAAAATTAAAATATGAAAACTTTACAGAAATCTTACCAAAGATGTCCAACGAAATCACCGAATTGGCCGAGATGGCCCATCATGGGATAACCCGCGTGATGTCACAAGAGTCTGAATTTGATGACGCTTTGGAAGTACCTGAATCATTAGAAATAACGATTGATGAAAATGGCGAAACGATACGTGTTCGTAAGGAGGAAATGGAAACGGAATGCACAGATAGTAGAGGTATGAATTTGTATTCTGCATAACATCATGCCATGGTCATGCATATTCCCTGATGTTTGTTCTCTTTTCTTATCTTATTAATCTTAACACATATTGCTCAGTTTTTGCTCTGTCATTTTTCCATTTACTAATGATAAATTTACTCTTAATTTAATTATTTTCAATTAAATGATGTTAAAATGATTTACTTAATTTACTCCTAATTTATTCACCTTATCATTCACTCTTACAATTTATGTTTTATAAAAAGAAAGGAAGGCAATCTTAATTTGTCCTCCTACTTTCATTTTATTTTATTTTGATTTTTCAGTCTTATATTATGTTCCTTTGTTTCCCTGTATTATTAGAAACCTCTGGTGTAATACCTTTCACCGTTGTGCACAATACATCGACAAAGCTCAAAAGTCAAATGTGCAACGTATTTATTCCTGGCGAAGAGGTGCATGTAAGAATAATTGATAACGAACGTAGCGTGACCGCGCATCCCCTGCATCCAAATCTGTACACCATAGAATTTCGACACGGACCTTTTGTTTGGACTATCAAAAAGCGATACAAACACATTCAATATCTGCACAATCAATTGAAAATATATCGTGCTAGTTTGAACATACCTTTCCCTACGAAATCCCACAGGGAGAGGAGGAACAGCATGAAAAATCTTAGAACTGCGGGCGAGAAGAAGGGCAGACGAAATGCTCTACCAAGGTACGATAATAATACGTTATGATTCTTCGTAATCACGGTGAAAAAAATTTAGAAAAATAATACAATTGAAATGTCACTTCCGCAGGTTTCCTAATAAACCTGACTTTCTAGTGCCTCACGAGCAGTTAAGTCGTAGAAGAAAGGAATTAGAGGATTATCTAAGCAACTTGCTCAACATAGAGATCTACAGACGTCACTCTGAAACTGCAAGTATATTTTTCGCTAATAACAAATCAGTTGATCTGAAGAGGTCAATTAATCCATCATCAATAAAACACCATCATCGTTTGTTTGCAGATCAACTTTTTGGATATTTCACATTTGTCCTTTGTGGCTGACTTAGGGATGAAAGGGAAGGAGGGTGCGATTTTGAAACGGACCGGATCGGGCGCTAAAACGAGATGCAACTTCTTCGGCTTGGGCGAATGCGGATTCTGTATCAAGTGCAATTATTTCTGCACCTCTCTCTGGGGCAAATGGCAGAAGAGGCATCTTGTCGTTAAGGAGACCTTCGTTGCGTATCTTAATCCTCAAGACGGAAGAATAGGATCTATTATCTTGATGGATAATGGCTTTGGGATCAGTCTTGGAGTGTATACCACGGGCTCGCGAAGCGGCATGCAAATTGCTAATCTGAGTAGGCATATAGTTATCAAGTGTTGGACAAAACGAAAAGCTAAGGAATGGATGGAGTTTATACAAGAAGTTAGTAATAGAGAAGGTAAGATCTCAGTAAGCCTAATGTATAATGTTGTGTCTCTGTTCAATGTGTCTAATTGATTAAATTTTAGGCGCAGGCAGAGATTTTATACAAACGAATCCGCATAACTCGTTTGCTCCGTATCGTACATCCATATCCGCGACTTGGTTCGTGGACGGAGCCGATTATATGTCTGCCGTGGCCGACGCATTGGAAAACGCCAAAGAAGAAATTTTTATCGCAGATTGGTGGCTTTCACCAGAGATTCACATGAAGAGACCCATGCCCGGCGGAGACTATTGGCGCCTGGATAAAATCTTACAAAGAAAAGCAGTAAGTGTTATAATATTGTATACTTTGATAACGTTTTGATTAACACACAAATGTCACATGTTTAAAATTGATATATTGTTATCTAATGTTATTTAATGTGTAATGAGAATATGTCTTTATTTTATAAATTTTTTTTTTGTAGAAACAAGGTGTTAAAATATTTATACTGATATATAAAGAAATTGAAGTCGCTTTAGGCATAAATAGTTACTACAGCAAACAGAAACTCGTGGAACAATGTCCTGAGAATATAAAAGTATTGAGACATCCAGATCACGCAAGGGCAGGCATATTTCTTTGGGCTCATCACGAAAAGATCGTGGCCATCGATCAGTCTCTAGCATTTCTTGGTGGCATTGATTTATGTTATGGCAGATGGGATAACAGCGAACACAGATTGACAGATTTAGGTAAATATCATACGAATCATTTTAGTCTTGTTTTATTCTTTGCATTAACTAATGATATGTCAACTGTAGAATCCATTCATCAATCGAGTATCTACATTCCTTCAAGAGACAAGCTAACTAATACCAGCAGTAAAAAGGTGTTGGGCTGTACGGAAAGACACGTGCTATTACCATTAGCAATAGCAACGAATACCATTGCTATGGCGACCACGAGATCCATGCCTTTAATGTAAGTGTTATTATTTAATCAATGTTACGTGTGGACTCTTGAAATTAAGAGCGTAAACATGATTTATTTCTAAAGGCCGATGATGGATGAGAAAACGCAAAAGGATTTAATGTTGTCGACATTGTCAACGGATAATTCACTTTTTATGCTGCAAGAAAAGGGAGAAGGCGTCAAGTGCAATACGCCCGAGACGCAAAGAAAGAATCTGTTCGATGTCGCCAAAACAACCGTCGATAAAATGAAGAACACCGTGAAAGTGAAGAGACAGGAATTAATTAATATGGTGTACACTTCTCACGAAGCGGACGTCGAAGACGTTGAAGAGAAGTACGAATGCCGTTCCCGTTCAATACTTTATATCATTATTCATTCTTTAAACGCAATACAATTTTTTCTTAATTTAGCAAACTCGCGCTATCCGAAACTGAGGATACAGTGGATTATGGCTGCAGCTTGAGATCAACGGTGACAAAATTATGGCTTGGCAAAGACTACACAAATTTCATTGTCAAGGACTTCAACGATCTTGAGAAGCCGTATCAGGATCTGGTAGATAGAACCACTACTCCTAGAATGCCCTGGCACGACATAGGGGTTTTAGTGCAAAATGCTGCTGCTAGAGACGTGGCTAGGCATTTTATACAGCGTTGGAATGCCGCCAAGGTACACATACTCGGTAACATGTACTTGAGTTTGAATATATCCAATCAGGATGATGAATCACTGATAGACTACTTGTTGCAGCTAGAAAAAGCAAAACTGAATTCGTGCTATCCTTACTTATTACCGAAATCGTACAAAGACTGCAGGAGCTACGCTCCGTTTATCAGAGAGGCTAACAAGCACAATGTCAAGTGTCAAGTACTGCGTTCGGTGAGCTCTTGGTCGGCTGGCTTTCTCGATCCGGAGACTGTAGAGCGGAGCATACAGGAAGCTTACATCCAGGCCATCAGTGAGGCAGAAAGGTAAGAGATTCCGTGCATATGTCAATCATAAATTCATATGTGTGTGTAACATTTCATTGACTTGAATAAATTTGTAGATATATCTACATAGAAAATCAATTTTTCATAACGCTCGCCTCCGTGGAGAAGGGTGGCGTGAAGAATCAAATTGGCGAGACGTTGCTGAAAAGAATCCTGAGAGCGCACAGGGAAGGCGCGGTATTCAGGGTGTTTGTCGTAATGCCGTTGTTGCCGGGTTTCGAAGGCGAGGTTGGAGGACCGAGCGGAACGGCGTTACGGGCGATAACTCATTGGAATTACAATTCTATATCGAGGTAGCGCGTCACTTAACTAAATATAAAAATTGAGGAAAAAAAGCGATATAAATCTCTTTCCTGTTTGACGGAATAACAGGGGAAAGGACGCTATTCTAAGTCAGCTGTTGGAGGCAGGTATAGAAGATCCTAGCGAATACATCACGTTCCACGGCTTGAGAACTCGTTCTATGTTAAACGGCACGATGGTGACCGAGCTTATCTATGTTCACAGTAAGCTAATGATAGTTGATGACAAAACAGTAATCTGCGGATCGGCTAATATAAATGACAGGAGTATGGTTGCCACAAGGGACAGCGAAATAGCTGTAATAATTCATGTGAGTATATCTATCATATTGACTTTAATTATGCCTGAATTTTCAATATGAATCAATCTTAATCAATGTAACCGATCAACATTCTTTGCTGCCCTGCAAAACATTTAATAATTGTTTAGATAAATATGCAATAAGATAAAATATATATTATGACAATATTATGAGTATAATGAGTAATTAATATTATCAGTGTTAAATAAGCTTCAAATAATTATTTCTTTTTTTCTGATGATGAAAATATCTTATTTCTATGTGCATAGCATATACGAAAATTAATAAATCTTACGACTACTTACGACTATCTTACTATCGTATTAATTATATATATATAATTATATGTAAATTGTCAACACAATTTTTTTAACAGAATGTTACAATTTAATAATTTGTGTGTTATATTTGATATTGTCTTATTTATATTTTTTGTATGGTTTTGTATTATTTCAAATAAATTCTTACTTTATTGCAATTCTACATTCTTCTCTTTATCAGTTTTAATTAATCAAAGCTGTAATATTTGTAAAACAGGACCAGGAGTTTGAGGATGGACGCATGAATGATATACCTTTCCCTAGCGGCAAATTTGCTTCTTCCTTGAGAAAGCAATTATTCCGCGAGCACCTAGGATTATTGAATACTAAAGAAGACATCAATATCGATGACGTCGTTATAAAATCATTCTACAAGGATATATGGTGCGCTAGGAGCAAACAAAATACGGAGATATACGAAGAAGTATTTCACTGTATCCCCACCGATAAAATAGTCAATTTCGCTATATTGAAACAATATCAAGAAAAAGTACCTCTCTCCATATCCGACCCGTTATTAGCGCAAGAAATGGTGGAGAACATAAAGGTAAGTGTCGAGCGCTTTAAATGCTTGCGCATAGATTTATCATTTGATTAAATCGAACGGGTGTTTTTTTTTCTTCAGGGACACTTGGTCGACTTGCCATTAAATTTCTTATGCAATGAAGATTTGAAACCTGCAGCTGGGACAGTAGAAGGAATGATGCCAACCGCTTTGTGGACGTAAGTTCACGTTCTTCTTCGAAAACTTCAAAAACGTTTTTGACAATTTATTCGAATTGGGCACAAATTTATAATCGAAAATTTCCACTGAATTGTTTTACAACATTAGACAGGGCGTGTTGTAAAAGATGATTCTTTTTTTTGTTTACTTTCTATACGACTTTCATATTAATGTTGAACAAAGAAAGGAAAAAATTTTTTATCACTTTGTTAGCGTATAGATATATTAAATTTCTGTCTGTGTACTTTATATTGCATCATATGACAATGGCTAGTTGGATTTTTTCCGGCAAGCGACTTATGTCTAATTTAAAATATAAGGATAATTCACTTTAGACGCAATAATTTTCAATACCTCAAATAATATTTAAATAATACATTTTTTGTTTATAAATATAGAGTTACAACAGAGTATTTTAATATAATGATGATTAATTATATATTATTTTTATCTGATACTTATCTGATCAAACAGATTAATTTTGATATTTTTATTGTGTGAAGCGTAAAATTATTTTCTAAACATAAATCAGGGACTAAAATTTGAACCAAAATTCTATAATTATATCTTTGTTATTTCTCAAATATATTTTATTTTGTTCAAATCTAATAGGCATTACTACTTAATAAATATTGCAGCTTTAAACTTTAACATATTTAATTATCTAACAAAATTATAAAAAAATATATGTATTGTGTATATTAATAATTATACATTAATATATAATATGTATTAATATATATTCAGAGATTAAATTAAATCACTAATTACATTATTTAATCTTTTAATATATTAATAGATTAAATAATGTAATTAGTGTAGAAGTAATGTAATTAGTGATCCAAAATCTCTATCGAAATAATAAGTAAGCAAATTACGTTCTGTCCAAAAAATTAAATATGTAAAGAAGATACAAAATCACTTCGATACACTAAAATCTTCAATTTCAAACAATATACAAATCTTTATATTTTTTTAATTGTCTACAATTTAAGATTCAATGCGTACCTGTGTTTTACCAATAAAGAAGAGACATTTCTTGAAAAAATAAAAGTAGCTTACAATAATATTGAAAAAGAAAATTATATGATTCTAAAATGTAGATCTTAGTATAAATATTTTACAGAAAGTTATTAATACAACAAAGTATAAAACTGTTACATTCCATCCACAATTATACAGCCACAATATTTCGTATATAGTAGTAAGGCTATAATAAATAATAATTGAAATTGACCACAAGAAAAGAGACATTTATAACAAGCATGTTAATTTTTTATAGTATTACGAATTGTGCCTGTTAGGTAAAAATATTATTAAAAAAAAGTTTTTGGAAGAGAGAGTTGTACTGTTACTAATAGCAAAGTGATGTAATAATAATCATGATAAAATTTTATTGACATAATATTAAATAAAGAATGATACAAAATGTGCAGTCAAATGTATTAATCTATTCATGCACAAACGAATTTTTTGAGAGAAATAGAGAGTTATTAATTCTTTGTACACACGTAATGTACAAAATTGCATTTGATTAGCACATGTAAGTTCAAATAATCACTCTTTTCGTATTATATTTAATATATTATTAATTATTTTTCTGCCAAAACTGGGATGAGATATATGATATGATGATATAAGTATAAAATTCAAAAAAGAGAAAAATGATGTATAGTCTTCCATTGAAGTATATAAAAGATTTTATATATATATTTATATAATTTTGATAATGGTCGAGATTTTCTGAATTCTTTACTTGCCAATGAGGATATTGCCAATGTTTGAACACCTATGTGATATACATATATGTGTACAATTGATATTTTGAATTGACAAAAATGTCTTTATACATGTAATATTTTATATGATGCATTTATTGTATATATTTAATAATATTTAATAAATTTGAAAGCAACATGTGTATGTGTGTGTCATTCCGTTCCATTCTCAAACATTAGAAATAATAATTAAATAAAGCAATATATATATTAAATTAAATAATATTTAAAAAATTTTAAGAAATCAATTAGAAATATATACATAAAATATAAAATGTGTATGTGTGTGTCATTCCGTTCCATTCTCAAACGTTAGAAATAATAATTAAATATAGCTACATACTATATATATTATTTAAATATATATATATATAAATAATATTTAAGAACTCAATTAGAAGTATATACACAAATATAAAACGTATTATACTTGATATTTTATATTTCTGATTTCTTAAAAATTTTTAAATATATATTTAAGACAACTTGACAAGGATATTCACCAATATTTTTGTTTGTTGGATGTTAATTATTTTTTCACTGATGCTGCTCATGATGCTGCTCGTGTGCGCGAAAAATCCCACAATCCACATTAAAATCCACATTAAATTAACGTAGAAGATGTAAATACGTACCATGGTTACTGTCACGTCTTCGAGCGCCTTCTAGCGTGACTCGCGAGTAAACGATTGGCCGTATCGACTCCATCCGGAAACCGGAGCAGCCGTGACTCCGTGAGCCGGAGCTTGGGGTTGGAGGTTAGAGTTAGAAACTTGCAACTTGGTTAATCGCTCCTTGTCAATCTAGTTGCTTACACTGTTTTGTTTATAGATATTTACAAAGTTTCATAATCGTTTTGTACAGACTTGACAAATATTGCGAAATGTGACAAAGGATTCGAGAGCAATTCGACGTAGGGCTAGCACAAATTTTGTGTAATTAATTTTATTGATATAGTTAACCTAAAAAAAATAATAATTGAGAAATGGCAGATGAAAAAGCCGTGGTGCAAGAATTTAAGTTGGATCCGGACTGCGAATTGAGATTCGAGGTGGAGAGCAAGAATGAAAAGGTCACATTGGAGGTAATGAGTCACGATTTCTCTCGGGGTGTTTCTTTTTTCACCAACCTATTATTATTATTAGGTAACACAAAACTGTGTTGTTGCAGCTGAAGAACGGCCGGGCGGAAGTTTTCGGGACGGCGTTGGTGAGAGGGAAGAAGTACGAGTTCACCGCCGGCGCGAAAGTCGCGGTTTACACCTGGCAGGGCTGTACCGTCGAGCTGGTCGGGAAAGTTACGGTCAGTTACGTGGCGAAGGAGACGCCGATGGGCCTGTACTTGAACTGCCACGCGGCGATGGAGCGGATGCGGGAGATCGCGGAGAAGGACGACACCACGGGCCCGATAACGATGGTCGTGGGGCCGTGCGACGTCGGCAAGTCCACGCTGTGCCGGATACTGCTGAACTACGCCGTACGAATGGGCAGACGGCCGATTTTCGTCGACCTGGACGTCGGCCAGGGGCACATAGCGATCCCCGGCACCGTGGGCGCTCTGCTGGTGGAACGACCGTCCAACGTCGTGGAGGGCTTCAGCCAGCAGGCGCCGCTGGTCTTCCATTTCGGGCACAAAACGCCGCAGGCCAACGTGACGCTGTACAACCTGCTCGTGACGCGTCTGGCGGAGGTGTGCTCGGACAGGTTGCAGGCCAACAAGAAGGCGAAGGCGTCGGGGATCGTCATAAACACGTGCGGCTGGGTCAAGGGGGACGGCTACAAGCTGCTCACGCACGCGGCGCAGGCGTTCGAGGTCGACGCGATTCTCGTGCTGGACCAGGAGAGGCTCTACAACGAGCTGGTGAGAGACATGCCGGACTTCGTCAAGGTGGTCTTTCTGCCGAAGAGCGGCGGCGTCGTCGAGAGGAGCCAGGCGCAGAGGACCGAGTCGAGGGATCAGAGTGTCAGGGAGTACTTTTACGGCTCTCGGACGCCGCTCTATCCGCACAGCTTCGAGGTGAAGTGGAGCGAGGCGAGATTGTACAAGATCGGCGCGCCCGTTCTACCGGCGTCCTGCATGCCGTTGGGCATGAAGGCGGAGGACAATCTGACGAAGCTGGTGGCCGTCACGCCGGGACCGAGCCTGCTGCATCACTTGCTGTCCGTTTCCTTCGCCGATTCCCCCGAGGACGACGTCGTGCAGACCAACGTCGCCGGATTCGTTTGCGTGTTAGTGTACAATATTCTCTGAGTTTATATTTTATCGTTATTAATAATGGCCATTTTTTTTCTCATTAAAAAAAAATATCGTTTCATTTACAGGACTAACGTGGACGTAGAGAGGCAGACGTTTACGGTACTTAGCCCGCAACCTCGGCCGTTACCGAACACAATGCTCTTATTGTCGGATATACAATTTATGGACAGTCATTAGTTGTAGATAATTTTTTTTGTTAGATACTATAAATGTGCATAATTTAGCATTCATATATTTTGTATAAATTAAATAATTGTATTAAAATATATTTATACACGTGCGAATCTAACATCAGCTTATTTTATTCTCTAAGAACTTTGCAATTATTTTGTGTGGTTTATCAACAGCTGTTTATTTTCCTTCGCATTTGAATTCTATATTTCTTTAAATATTTAATTATTATATTTCACTTAAAGCGTGCAAGGTTTTCTCTTTACTGCTGAATTATAAAATGCAATATAGTTATTCTTATTCTCTTTGTACTATTTATGTTCTTTTTGCTCTATTACGTTCAATTATCTGCCGATTTTGTGGATGAAAAATGTTAAGTGCATTTGGAATAAAAAAACTGCTCCATTTATTTTACTCCATTTTATTTGCACTCGAATTTAAATTCTCGCCCTCTCTCTCTCTCTCTCTCTCATTTTGAACGCGTCTTCTAATTAGATTAATTGTAAGAAATAGTCCAAATTCCAAAGGTGGAAGTCGAAGAAGATTCGTTGCGCACGGATCGCATGATTGCGACTCGCCGGAGTCGCCGGACTCGCGTCGTGCAAACGCGAGACACTCGCGAGCGGAGAGATACTGAACTGAGAGATACGTCATGCTTGTCGGTGTTGTGTTTTGCACGCGCGCGTTGCGTACTGTTAAATTTGTTCAAATATCGAAATAACAATAATTTTTACATAAGCAATGGCGAATTTTACCGAGGACTTATTTGACGTTTTTGATGAGCACGGCGACGATGCGGAGATACCGGATATTCCGAGGTGAGTCGAGTGATTCTTAGCGCGGTATTCAACTAACCTAACTTCCGTCAAAAGTTAACCTCACAGTGATTGCGAAATTAAGTATTCAAAATAAACGTGTGTGTGCAGGAAAGTTGAGCCGGAGACGGGAGTGAAGCGACAACTCGACGCGGACGACGACAAGGCAGCCGTAAAAAAGTTGCGACACGAATCTGTCTTGGAAGATATCAAGTAAGGTTATGTTGAAATAAAATTGTAGTTTACATTAGTGAGATGTTAATTAATTTAATTAATTTATATTAATAATGTGAACCATAATTACGTATTTGCACGTATTTATATTTATTCCGTAATTGTATTATAAAAAAAAAACAATGTAACTACATTCAACATTATTCCTTCAGTCTAGAGGAAGTGGCATGTCGTATAAAGGTGCACGCCGTAGACACCGTGGAGTCTTGCACGCACGAAATCGCTATCCCTCCCGATCAGGAGTACGTACCTTTGGAACACCAGCAAGGCAAGCCGGCGAAAGAGTACAAATTTATACTGGATCCATTTCAAAAGGAGGCAATCTTATGCATTGAGAACAATCAGTCGGTTCTCGTGTCCGCGCACACGTCGGCCGGTAAAACTGTCGTGGCTGAGTAAATATTTCACATTCTATCTTCGGAAAAATACGTCTGAACGGTTTTTCTTTATTCCGCCGTTTTTGTGTGTTTCACAACAGATATGCGGTGGCGTGTTCGCTTAGGGATAAGCAGAGAGTAATATATACTACTCCGATCAAAGCGTTGAGCAATCAGAAGTACAGAGAATTTCACGAGGAATTTAAGGACGTTGGTTTAGTGACGGGCGACGTTACTATAAATCCCACAGCGAGTGTACTAATCATGACTACTGAAATTCTGCGAAATATGCTGTACAGAGGATCAGAGGTTTGCTTTATTTTATTGTTTGTTTTTTTATTTCACAGTTTTATTATTTTATTGTGATTATGGAAGTGAAGTGTATGTTGGCTGTTTAAAATACATACACTTATCTCAGAGCTAATATAAAATTAGTAATAAAAATATACGTACAAAATATACGTATGAATATATATACCTTCCTAAATATGACAATCAACGATTATATAAATTTTTTACGCAGAATTTCTTGTACGATAAAGTCGTATGTGTGACGCACTCCGCACTGAATATGATTTTTATTTTATATAAAAAAAATATAAATATAAATCATGGTCAAATTATTTGGTCAATATAAGTCCGATATTTATTTAACGAAATATTATTAAAGATAGATTGAAACATCCTGCACACAGAAAGAAAAATATAAAAATATATACAATACTTACTTGCATAGGTAATGCGTGAGGTTGGCTGGGTGATTTTCGACGAGATTCACTACATGCGTGACAAAGAGAGAGGTGTGGTGTGGGAGGAGACACTTATACTGCTGCCGGACAACGTGCACTATGTATTCCTCTCCGCTACTATACCAAACGCACGACAGTTCGCGGAGTGGGTGGCGCATTTACACAATCAGCCCTGCCACGTGATCGCTACGGACTACAGGCCTACGCCGTTGCAACATTATATATTTCCAGTTGGCGGCGACGGCATTCATCTGGTTGGTGTTAATCTATAATAGTCTATAATAGATCTATAATAGATCTATAATCTTGACGGGGAAGGGAGACGCGCTGCTTATTCGTATATTAAATTTATCCGTTGTAAAAAAAAAAAAAACAGGTCGTGGACGAAACGGGTCAGTTCAAAGAGGAGAATTTCAACAGAGCTATGGCGTGCCTGCAGAACATGGGCGACGCGGCTAAGGGCGACACGAAAGGACGCAAGGGTGGTCTACGGGCCTCGAATAGCGGACAAACGAACATCTTCAAGATGGTAAAGATGATTATGGAGAGAAACTTCGCGCCCGTGATAAGCTTCAGCTTTTCGAAGAAGGACTGCGAGGTTTACGCGATGCAAATGGCCAAATTGGATTTGAACACGCTGGAGGAGAAGAAGCTGGTGGATGAAGTTTTCAACAACGCGGTGGACGTTCTCAACGAGGAGGACAAAAAGTTGCCGCAAGTCATGAACTTGTTGCCGCTGTTGCGCCGCGGAATAGGAATCCATCACGGCGGACTCTTGCCGATCTTGAAGGAGACGGTCGAGATCCTGTTCGGCGAAGGTTTGATCAAAGCTCTCTTCGCCACCGAAACGTTCGCAATGGGCTTGAATATGCCGGCGCGAACGGTCTTGTTCACCGCGCCCCGTAAATTCGATGGCAAGGATTTCCGTTGGATCACGTCGGGTGAATACATCCAGATGTCCGGTCGCGCCGGTAGGAGAGGCCTCGACGACAAAGGGATCGTCATACTGATGATAGACGAGCAAGTCAGCCCGGTCGTTGGTAAAGCAATCGTTCAAGGAAAGCCGGATCCGATCAACTCCGCATTTCACTTGACTTACAACATGGTTCTTAATCTTCTCCGCGTAGAGGAGATTAATCCGGAATACATGTTGGAACGAAGCTTCTTCCAGTTTCAGAATCAAGCTGGCATTCCAATTTTGTACAATAGTAAGTCGTTATTATCGTCTCATCGTAACGTTGTCAGCGGTTGAAAGATCGAAAAGTGAATCAATCGTTAATCTCGATTACGTTTTACAGAGGTGCAGGAATTATCTACCGCTTACAATATCGTGAACGTGGACAGGTACGACGAGATTTCTTCGTATCATGACATACGTGAACAACTCAATCGACTGACCGCACAGTTTCAATCATTTCTAACGCAACCGGAGTACTTAGTTCCGTTTTTACAGCCTGGAAGATTAATAAAAGTATGTATTTTTATTTTTTTATACAGTTTAATATACGCAATGACTATCTCCGGCGGAACTTTTAGTGGAATTCATTTGTTACACATTATTATTACAGGTGAAAAACGAAAACGAAACGTTCGACTGGGGCATCGTAGTGAATTTTAAGAAAAAAAATCCGAAAAATCCAGTGAAAGACAAGACAGTTATTGTCATTGACGCTTTACTTAATGTATCGAAAAATTCGAAAAAAGACAATCCAATTCCATGCCGCGAAAATGAGGAAGGCGAAATGGAAGTGGTTTCTATTATGCACAATTTAATTTCACAAATCAGTTCACTGAGATTGCATTATCCAAAAGATCTTAGACCGCTTGATAACAGAAAGAGCGTACTGAAGACAATACGAGAAGTGAAAAGAAGATTCCCGGAAGGTCCGCCGTTACTCAATCCTATTACAGACATGCATATAGTGGATCAGGCTTTTAAAGATGTTGTAAAAAAAATTGAAGCATTAGAGAAGAGATTGTATGCACATTCTTTGCATAAGGTATAAAATTCTGTATTGTGGTAGTACAGATATTTTAAGCACATTCTGTGCTTAAAGTATTTGTACTCGAGATATCTTCTTATGTCAAAATGCTTCGAAAAATTAATTATGTATTGTAGATTATCTTAATTTTTCAAATTTTTTTTCCTTTTAATTTGATTTTTCAAAAATCTGTGATTGTTTACAGGACCCCAACGTGAATGTATTGTACGAACAATTTTTGCACAAGGAGGAATTGGCTGCGCAACTTAAGCAAGCCAAGGAGGAGTTTAAGCAGGCCAAATCGATACTTCAGATGGACGAGCTCAAATGTAGGAAGCGAGTTTTGAGGAGAATGGCGTATTGCACGTCGGCGGATGTGATAGAATTGAAGGGACGCGTGGCTTGTGAACTGAACGGTGCCGACGAGCTGTTAATGACCGAGATGATTTTTAACGGTCTCTTCAATGCCTTGAGCGTGCCGCAGATGGTGGCGTTGATCAGCTGTTTTGTATGCGACGAAAAATCGAACGAAATGCCGAAAAGTACAGATGAGTTGAGCGGTCCGCTCAGGCAGATGCAGGACTTGGCTCGAAGAATAGCGAAGGTATCGACGGAGGCCAATCTGGAGTTAGACGAAGACGCGTATGTCGATCGATTCAAGCCGTATTTAATGGACGTTATATACGCTTGGTGTAAAGGCGCAACATTCTTACAAATTTGCAAAATGACAGATATATTTGAAGGTGATGTATAACGTTAGCATATCTCACTGTTGGAGAGGATAACAAAAGTATTTCTCTATGACATGTATATACGTAAGTGAATGTACATAAAACACATATTTCAGGATCTATCATCAGGTGCATGCGACGTTTAGAGGAGGTGCTTCGACAATTGTGTCAGGCTGCGAAAGGTATCGGAAATACAGATCTAGAAAATAAATTCAGCGAGGCGATCAAACTTATAAAACGAGATATTGTGTTTGCTGCGTCCTTATATTTATAATGCAGGAAAGAATAAACTAGTTTGATGGAGTAACAAGTTTGCTTTTTCGTTTTTTATATATATATGTATATGTACCTAGATTTGTATATCCTTATTAAATTATACATCCTTATATGAATTCCATTATATTGCCCGTTATTTACATAGCCCAGCGATGAGTTCATAATAAACAAAGGCAGCTTTTTTATTCGAAATCGAATTCGTTCGAAATACAATTTATTCCTGGAAATTTAAAGTATATAATATACGTACGCATGGAACGAACTTTTTTTTATATATAAAATAATCATATTCAATGCGGAGTGCGTCACACATACGACTTTATCGTACAAGAAATTCAGCGTAAAAATTTATATAATCGCAAGATAAACAGGACTCAATAATCGCTATCTCGAAATTGTTAAATAAATACATTCTTGAAGAATTATTCGCGACACTTAATTTCTACATTTGAATTTAATTACAATGCATTATTTATCGTTCCTCTAAAATTACTGTTTCCTGGGGACAGAATTTCAGATCCATCAAAGTGAGCTTTGAATCCATGGATGTTAACTGGAACAAGAATGGAAATACGTTCAATATATTGGCGTGTTGCGAATATTTTGTAGTAATGTTAAAAAGTGGTTTTACTTGGATTTAGTTTTTATTTTAAAAAAGAGAGACAGATAGGACGACATAAAAAAAAAATCAAATAAATATCTACATAATAAGAACTTAAATGCTTACATCATCTACTTACATCCCTTCGAGGCCAACTAGATAGGAGCTTATATTCCTCTGTCGGATAACCTTCCACAATAAGGAAATTAAAGAGCGTTTGTAACGGCGTATCCGATTGAAATTTACGTTCCAGGAATTTCCCTGCTGGAAGCCGTACTCTTACTTTCATTACACCATCGCCCGCTCCCTGCTGCGGTTCAGGTGGTAAACTAGACTCTACAGCTTGCCTATGAGCCTCTTTCCTCGCCTCCTCAGCTAATCTTTCGTTCTCGGCCTGCTCTTTCTTCTTCTTTTCAAGCTCCTCCTGCATCTGTTTCGCTTCTTCCTTTGCTCTTAAAATAAATTATGAATATTACTTTTTTTTTGTTCAATGTAAATCAGTTGTATACTCATGTGGGCATTACATCTCTTCTCCCTTCCCCCTTTCAACGATTTAGATATATCTTTCTTAATTACCTATCAGCTGCTAAACTTTCTTGATACGCTCTGTCTTGTTCTTGTTTGACTCTTTCTCTAGCTTGTCGTTCCTCTTCAACGCCAATGTCGGCTCGTCTCTGTTCCTATTTCAACCAGAAAATAACAAGTGATTATATAAACAAAAGTCTATATTTATGCTCGTTTACACTTTTTAACAGCATGTGTAAAATAAAAGCTGTATGTCTTACCTGAAACACATCGACGGCTTGTACCAAATTTGTTAGTAACTCATTAACACCTACATTGCCATGTACGATAGTAAATATCTCCGTGTTAGATCTAGATCTCATAATAATCATGAGAACTGGCAAGGTATCAACATCTATGCTCGACACAGCCAATGAACCGACGGTACCAAGGGTTTGAGTTACGGAATACAAAAATCTGAGGATCAAACGAGAATTTTTAATTCGCCGGCGCGAGCCCGATAGATTTTTCGCATCACATATTTGTGCAGATCTTACCTTTCTTTATTAGATTCGTATGTGATGTCCCAACCCCATACTATAAAATTCGCCGAAAGAAGTTGAAGCACCGTTTCGAAGCCTAACAGTTGAGTACAAAAGACGTTCGCTAATACGCTGTTGTCGTGGTGCAAATATACAGCCAATAATTTTCTCTGCAATAGCAACAAAAGACGTATTTTTCATTGATTTTAAATATTTGCCGCGGTTAAGTTTTACAAAAATTTAAACCTCTTTCGCTGGCTTTAAACACGATTCCTTGAGGGCATCTTCGAATGTACCAGTGAAGAATTCCGGATGAGCCGGTCCGTATCGCTTTTCGAATTGTTCCGCAAAATGTAACGTACCCATCACCTCGTCTACCACATTTTCTGGCACTGTTTACAAATAAAAAAAAAATATATATATATATACATCTCATTGAATCTCGACACATCTGTATCACTTCAATAAAACGCAGCAGTTTTTCTCATGTTCCAAAGTACTCACTGAGACGTTCTATTTTAGTGGGTTTAACGTCATCTATGAAAATATCGTCGTCGCCAGCGAACTCTTCCGGAACATCGAATTCTTCCACGTCCTCTGGCTCGTCTACGGAACTGTCGCTGTCAATTAGATCTACGACCTTCTGAAATGACACAGATGTTATAATTCCTTATATAAATTAAGTAACAGAAAATTTTCTCTCCGATAAGACGTTACCTTCTTTTCCTCCTTCGCGGGGAGCTTCCCGACCGATAAATCGTGCTCCGGATAACATATACCGCTTTGTGCCAATATTACATTGTCGTCCTTCAGTGAACTAGGCCAACCCTTCCATTGTTGATTTCGCACGGGCACATCTATTAACGAATAGATGTCTGTCTTCACCTCCAGCACGGTACGCGTGCCAGGGAACTTCAGCTTGTACGTTTTATTATGCACCTCGTCCTTGACGTTCAACGTGTAAGTCTGAGTCATTCGTTCTGACAAACTTACGCTGGAACGTAGAGGGAGGGAAAAAAAAAGTAGATTCACGATATTTTGGCGACAAAGGTATTATAACAATCGCGAAATTGCGGCTAAAGCAGATTCTACATTAGTCGCATCGCAGCGTCGCAAACGTTGCGATCCAGTCAACGTCAAGCAGGCTCGAAGCTCCGATTGAACCACAAATGGATCGCAGCGTTTGCGACGCTGGGATGCAATTGATGTAGAACCCGCTCGATAAGATTTCGCAACTTACGTCTCATTAGGCAAACCGGCGTCTTGCGCTAATGACGATAGGTACAATGTGTTTTCTCTAGGCAAATCTAACGTTTGCAGCACCGTATTCGGTGCTGTCCCAGGTTCCTTTTTCCACCCGTTAAGATGCTGTTGACAGGGTGCCACATTCGTTTTACACCATATAAACTGCTTGAGTTCTCCTGAAAAAAAGAGGAAAACGCATTTTTGTAAACTTGCTTCGTCTCGGCATCAAATCGTTCGTTAATCGCCAAAAAAAAAAAAATATCGTCTGAACATCGACGATCCGCAACTTACTCAAAGTGGACAACTCGGACAAATTTACATGATAAACGTTATCGAGATGGTTAATGTGGAATGTAAGCGTTCTATTTTTCATGCAACTTTTAGGTCTACTTGTCCCGGGTTTTGCACTCTCCACCACGTCCACCGCTTTCATGGCTCCTGCCTTTTTCGAGTTCTGCACTGTCTGCAGCTTCGACGTCGAGGACGTTACTTTGATCTCCTCTACCATTTCTACGTCCGGAGCCATTTCAGACGGCAGCTGTTGCGTAGTCTGGGGCATGGCCTTGTTTATCGCCGCCTGTGAATGAGAAGGTATTGCGTGTATTAAGACAATTGTCGAGGCTAATTGCTGCCGTCGGGATTTCATTATATTTATTTATATCTACCAATAGGTCCCAGTTCGTTTCCTCCAAATATAAAATAGCTTCGCCGAAATCATCGATTCCAGTGCAAGCCTGAAAATATAGTCTACGTTAATAATAATAAAAAAAAAAAAAAACATGGGGACGTGAAAAATGGAAAGTCATAGTGGTGTATTTACACGACAGGACCACGTCACACAACATACACATACACACACGCATACACATCATCGTGTTCCGTGAAATTTGCGAAGTTTCAAAACAGACAAAGGCATACGGGACGACATGACAAAGGAATTGGGAGCGGAGGATTTTTCGCGAAATTCTGGCAAATTCGCGAGTGTCAGCGCGAGTCGACGGGACATACGAGTCGAGGCGTTCGAGCGCGCCGTTAATTTTCCCGAGTCGCGGGGACCGCCGCGAGAACGGGGATCTCCCCCGCGGGGCGACTCTCTCTCTCTCGCCTCAAACGCCTCTCAATTATTGTCAATGTCATCTACACGTAACGTCCCATAACCTTAACGGCGCATTTGCGTGTCGCGCGTGCGAGCGAGCCCCGCGGATCCCGTCCGCCGGAGGATTACCTGAAAGTCAGCCAGTATCGCGTCCCGATTTTCGGCCATCGCAATGAAGTCCCGACACGTGCGACTGCGAGACGGATTCTCCCGAAAAAAAAACAGCCCGAGCCTCCTCGCGATGCTCTCTCTCGCGTTCTATTATCTTAGAGCTATTACAAATAATATGAACAACAACCGCGAGCCATTGACGTCTTGGGCCACGAAACTCTCGCGTACGATACTCGCCGTCTCATTGCGCGTACCGCACAGACCCACGGCGGCGGCGGCGGCGGCGGCATTCCAAAGCGACGCACCGGCTACATCGGAAAGCAGGAAAGGAACGTCCGGGAACGTCCTGTTCGATCACGTTTGATCAGGTTTATTTTTGTGTTCCGCTTTTTATGCTCAAAAAATCAAAATTTTTCTTTTCCCCCTCTCTCTCTCTCTCTTCAATGCTCGAAAAAATATATATTCATCTCGTTTTAAGACGATGCTGTCTGTTTTACCGATTAAACACAATAATTTTTGTCTAAGGATTTTTACGTATTACTTCCAATAGATTTGGAAATCCTTTTCCAGAATTAAAGTATACGCATTAATACTAGTCTGACACTCGGAGTTTATACCGAAAACAAAAAAAAAATTTTATAATTTAATTCCCAGCTCTACGTGACGTGACATATCAGCTGTCAAATCGAGACATCACGTGTTGCAACTTGTATATTTACGAAATTACGGTGGCTAGACCATTACATGAGGAAATACGGAATTTGTGAAATTTGATTTGAATTTGGTTTAATTTTCGAGAAATATGTATACGAAAATTTGTTATGATTGTGTATGTGCGATATTGATGTGATACATAAACACATTACACATATCAATATCGCACGCATCATATAACAAATACACATATAAATCGTCGATAAAACGACATCATGGAGTTCGGCCAGCATCGCCTTGCAAAATGCAATAAAATTTTTGAAGCATTTCCAGCAATACAAACAAATTAATCTATTGATACACAGTGACTGGTGCTTGTAAAATTTTTCCATTTGATCAACCAATTAAAGTATTTTATATTAAATTTTGATGGATTAGCAATAGGCAATCCAGCCTCATTCAACGACGACCTTTGCTGAACGCGACCAATCAGTGAGCGAATTCCATTTCTGATACATTCCATGTGAATCCTCCTTAATTCGGACTTTTAAATGCGCGTGTTTCTAACCTAATTACTCGATAACAAAAGTGTATATATACATGTTTAAATTATTTAATTTAAAAATATAGAAATCGCTTTCAATTTAATGGCGCAAATTAAAAATTAAAACAGGAAAGAAAGATTAAGTAACGAAGATGAAAAGTGGCTCAAGGAAGGAAATACTCTCCACTCAAAGCAAGAAAAGGAATTATTTACTTTTGGTATGTTGATCAGATCAATTTAATTCAATCGATTCGAATTATATTAACTTTTTTTTTTTTTTTTTTTTTTTTTTCAGAAAGACGACGATGAAGGACGAACTGTTCGCCGCTGTCACGACAAGAATAAATAATTTGGAAGACCAGATGTCGAATATAAGAATGCTGCGACTCAAGGAATCCATATGATCTCGCTGTCATAAGTTTTATTACTAATCAGCTGTGAAGACAAAGCAGACATGCTTTCGAAGTACGGATTCTTGTTGCTGCTTGTTTGCATTGGATGCGTTCTGTTATTTATTACACTCGTGGATAAAGGTTTGCGGCCGCGGGCTCCGACAGTAAGTTTACTGCAGCCTCAGACGGCATACGAGACGACCGGCAGGTCGTCAGGAGCTTCCGGAATCATAATCGAGCCACCAGCGTGCAACGCCACCGTTCTGATGTGGATCGTCACGTCTTACGCGGGCGAACCTTCGGCGAGAAGCGCCTTGCGGCGAGCTTACGCGACCGAAGAGTTGCGCGCTCTGGGGATCGGAAGAGTATTCTTGCTCGGTGCGTTAAGCGAGGACGCCGAGAGGAAGACGCGTGTGCCGCAGAACGCACTGTTGGACGAGTCGCGACGCTTCAACGACATACTCCAGGGAGATTTCCTGGACACTTACAGAAATCTGACGCGCAAACACCTGATGGGCCTTCGGTGGGCGACGAGCAATTGCAAAGACGTCAAGTATATCATGAAGATGGACGATGACATCGTTGTAGATATCTATGGCATACTGGAGAAGTTGCGCTCGGGTGCGATACGAGAGGATTCCCTGACCGGTTACGTCCTGAGGAATATGATCCCCGTCCGGGAGCCAGCCAACAAGTGGTACGTGAGCAGGGCGGAGTACGCGGGCAACGTTTATCCCGACTTCGTCTCTGGCTGGCTGTACATCACGCATCCGCGGACAGCGGGACGACTGGTCGATCACGCCGAGTCCTCCCGCGAGTACTTCTGGATAGACGACGTGTTTGTCACCGGCATCGTGAGGCAGGCACTGAACATAGGCGTTCGAAACGTCAGTGAGTTATACGCGACAGATCACGGATACTTGGAATGTTGTATAAAGGGAGGGGCGAATCTGCTGAAGTGCGAATTTCTGGTCGGTCCCAATGGCGGCGACGCGGAGCTGCAAGGGAGATTCAAGGAATTCGCGAAGTTTTGCCATGCAAATTGCTCCGCCCGCAAGGGGGGTAACCTCGTGGGCAGGACCTGCGTGGTGGCGTACAAAGAGCCAAGTCTGCACAAGGGCGCCGTGCAGATAAGTCCAATCAGAATTCTATGAAGAAACATAAAGGTATACCAGATCAATGAAATTGACATTTTATATATTTTATTACAGAGAATATTTTCTATTTATTATCGTATATAAAATTTGTACAGTATATTTTACATTTTTTTAATTATTATATATATAATATTTCATAAAATCGCAGTTATTCATTTTACCTATCTTGTTATGCGTCAATAATTCTTATACGATAGTAGCTATATCACAGTCCTATATATATGTGATATACAGTTTCTCTGATGTAAAATGGGATCGACACGAATTTTAGTCACAAGGTCTACATTCTTAACAAAAAAAAAAAGCAATATAATAATGTTTTCTTCAAAAATCTGTCAAAATAGATTTTGATGATTAAAACATAAAATACTTATCCTTTAGTTACGAAAGCAAAATTTAAAATAATTGTTTTTACTATCAACGAAAAACTTAAAGATAAAAACTAAAAAGGAAATGACACTTTTTCATAGCTTTCTGGGCGTTTCATAAGGAATATATATCATAGCGAATTTGCAATTTTCACAAATCAAAATAAAATCCTGCAATAGAATTTTGTTTTTTTTGGCAAATTTAAAGTAATAAGTGATATTTTTCGATTTTACATCATTTATTTATGTAAAATCAAAAAAATATATATATTTGTATATGATATGTACATGTATGATATGATATTTATACATACATAACTTACATATATATGACTTACATATATGATGTATGAAGTATGTAATACTATATACACATCATACATATATATATATATATATACATACATATACATATATATATCTTTATTAAATATTTAATTTCAAAATATGGAAAAACGATATATTAAAAAAAAAACTTATCTAATTTCAAAGTAGAGATTTCTTTTTCGGTAACTGAAAGGTGGCACCTAGGCACAAATGATCGCTACCTACTATAAAATTTGGTATTCTGCGTAACGCGGCGCATTGACTTACTGTGGGTAGAGTGTACTTTTCTAGAGGTTGGATATTGCTATGAAATATATAATCCACTGTGATCCACTCGTCCTGATGCGTCGTTGCCTCTTTCTCACCATGGGCGTCTATGTGCGTATAAACGCTGCGCAAGTTAAAGGGATGCGTCAGGGTGCCGGACGAGAATCTCGCGGAATGCCCCTGCACAATCTCGATGACTTGCGCGCAGCCGGGGTCGCTGTTGGCGCTCTTTTGCAGCACGTTCATATTACAAGGCGTGGATACTTTCTCGTCTCGCCTCTGAAGGTGTAATTCGCTGTTTTCCAGCTGGTTAGAAAGAACAAACGGGTGGAAGGATAATTCATAAAATGCTGAATTAAGAAATGGGAAAAATTAAGATTGACGAAAAAGAATAGAGTGTGGAGTTTAGAATTAAAAGCGCACTATCTTTAGAATCTCTCTCCTCTTATCGAAAAGCTCCCGGTACAAATATCAATATGATTTATCGAAATGCACATTATTGAAATAAATTTTGGAATTGACAAAAAAATTTTCGGACTTCATATGTATTTTTTTTTTATATGTACAATTAAAAAAATCGTACCATGACTTTACCGGTGCCTTCCCTTCGCAATCTCTGAGTCAGGATATTAAAGTGCTGACAGTTGTCGGTGACGCACAATCGCGGCGGTATCAGCGAATTGGACAGCGAGCGAAATTGAGACGGCTCTAAACTTCGTCCTTTGCCACAATACTCGAACGAGCCCTCCGTTAGGAACTTGTAAACGCCTGTGAACGGCTCCAGGTTGAAGTCGCCCGCCAGTATGATCGGTAAATACTTCGGGCCCGTCCTGCAGAGAGTTATTGGCTTTATTAAATAATTTACTATTCGCACAAAGATTCTCTCGTCAGACACAAGCAAACAATTTTTTTTTTTTACTAAAGCGTAAATCCTCACATCGTGTTCTCGATGAATGCGATCCGCTCTATTTCCGCTAACAAGAGCTGTATCTGCGCCAATCGTACGTCGTTGCGCTTCGGATTGTACAACAAGTGTGTGGTAGCTATCACGACTTGCGTTTCCGGATTGTCCCGGAGGGCCAGTTTAGCGATTATCCCGACATTGTCTCTGTTCAGGATCTCGACACCGGACTGATACAACTCCACCTTCGTGTGATCTAACAAAACGAATTCGTTGGAGCGATACAACAAGAGCAAACCGTCCTTCTTGTCGTTGGTTCTCTTTTTATACAGATATTCGTATCCGTGCTGCTTGAACGAAGCCACGAAATCTAGCAGATGGTCCTCCTGCATTTCCTGAAGGCATATCACCTGGAATGTTCGACAGTATAAGTAGCACACGGTACAACTCTTATCTTCCCGTTTCAGGTTTTGACAGGCATTAAATGCCGAAGAATAAGTTTATGTACATTTGCCTCCGCCTCGAATATCTCTTGTAATACAAGGTGTTTTCGTGTTTTCCAACTCAGGGCTTTCTTGTTGTGACCCATGTACAGATACGCGTGATCTTCCAACAGGTTTTGCGCCAGGATATTGAAGGTCAAGAGTTTCAGCATAAAGGAGTCTTCCGCATTGTTGGATGATCTATCTAAAAATGTTTGAGAAATCATGTTCCTTGGACGGGAGGAGGGGGAGGACAATGGAGCAAATAATACAAAGCGAGTCTACACGAATGTGTGAACGATGCGTACAAGTGCAAAAAGCGCTCTATAATTTTGAATACATTTTCCAGTTCACATACAAAATAAAGAAAGAAGTAAAGAAAGAAGTTATGTATAGGCCTGTTCTTTATGGCTGAACTGGCCGCACTAGTTCATCTTCTTCCAATGTAGAGAGAAAGATAAACTGTGAACTAGTGCGGCCAGTTCAGCCATAAAGAGCAGGCCTTACATTTGTCAATTTGATGTTGGACAAGAGACCAGAAAGGCGGTGATCCTTACCTCGACCGTCGACTCGCTTCCACTTTCTTATAGCCTTGTATCTTTGTTTGTCCATGTGACTGCCATACCTGGCGTCCGCCGCGCACACGTTCGCTCTGACGCCGTGCGCCGTGTCCGCGAACGCGCCGGCCTGGCAATAGATCAGCGTGTTCGCCGCGTGAAACGGTATGTCGCACATCGTGCTGGCGTTGTTCTGGCCGTAGCACGTGTCGAGGTAGGGCTCCATCTTGACCTTCTGACGGGACGGGGAATTATCCATAGAGGCAACGAGCTCCAGACAGCTGGAGACCAGGGCTTTCCAGACAGGACCCCTGCACAGATTTTCCAGGAAAGACGATCGTTGCCAGGTCGGTTCCAGTACACGAAAGATCTGCGGGAAGGTATACGACAGGATATTAATATAAACGCGTAGGGCTGGGGAAGCACGATCAAAAGATGAGGGCAAGGGAGACGCGTGTAAGACAAGAGAAGATTATTATTGTTATTATTAGTACAACCGAACACGTCGTGAGACTCGCGCGTTTCCGAAATTTCTGCGCCATGCGTCTGTGCGATCGAGAAACGCGATCGACAGATTGAAGACCCGAGAGGGGAGGGGGGAAGGGAATTCTCTTTCTCGAGAGGAAAAGGATCGGTTCAGGCCCTAACCTATAACCTATAACCACCGTCGTGCCGAACAACATCGGCAGAGCACGGCGAAGTTAAGGTCAGCCGTCCGGAAGCGGACCGGGATCGAGAGTCCGCTCTCCTCGGCGAGGAGGGGGGAGGGGGGGTTAGGTACACACGAGAGGGTCACGTCTGTGTCGAGGGACTGTCGGGACCAAGGATGCGCTTACCTTACGCGATCGCAGGAACGTCGCCGCTCGCGCGTTACATGCTACGTTCAGCAGAGAAGCGGTGGTGCTCGTCGACAGCAGCCTCGGGGACACGCTCATTTATCGGCGCGGATTCTTTTTTTTTTTTTCTCTTTTTTTTCCCCCACGGTCGGCGCACGTTTTTTCACCGTCCTATCATAATTCACGCGTCCGCCGTCGGGAGCTGATGGGATTTGGCACCGTTACCGCGGACGCTCCGTACGACGTGTACATACCGCGCGGCAGGAGGACCCGATGTGAAATGTGACCTCTCGGCTCTCGGAGGGACACTCGGCTGATGAACGGCTCTCGGCTGACTCCCGCTGTGAGTGATGTGGGACCGCCGCTTGCTTGCTGCTCTCCTCGCTTCGCGAAGAAGAGGCGCGAATCTACGATTCGTAAGAGTCGGGCCGAGGACCGTGTACACGTTGGCGCGATCAGCCGCCTACGTTTCAGATTCGCGACGTTGAATGTTGACCCTGATGAATCGAGTTCTAGTTCGCCAATGGTTCATACATATACGCGCGTATGTATAAACGAAACGGGAGAGGGGGGACACCGAACGCGATCACTCTTTAGCCGAGACCCATATTCATATTCCGTATATTTAGCGCCCGGGATTGCCCGTACGACGCCGACCGAAGGCTGCCGAGGACGCGTGACGTCGGCTGCCGCACGCGCGAAAACTCGCGGGGTCGGACAATTGAGGCAATCCGCGTCTCACGTCTCGCGGCTGTAACCTTCGAACGAGCAAGTTCAAGAGCGAGAGCGCTAATTAGTCAATTAAGTGAAATAATTCAGATGTTAGAAAGTAATTTAACGAGCGAACTTTGCTTGTTTACTCCTAAAAAAGCAAAAAAAAATTGCATCGAGGTTAAAATTCTACTCCGATGAAAATTTTTCTCGAAATTCTTTATCCAATTTTTCAGAATTTTTATATGAATTTTAAAATTTTTTAAAATTTCTATATATCTTTATAACTTCTTAGAAAATTTTTCAGATTTTATGAATACATTTTTACAAGTTAAACATTTTTCAGTAGTAGGTACTGAGAAAGTCTCTGTACAGTCTTTTAGAATTCTTATCTTCTAGAAAGAATTCTTCATGTATGTGAATTCTAAAATATTCCAAGATCTCTAAGATTTATCATCGTATAAATTTTAAAAGAAACTTGTGAAATCTGAAAAGGTTCAAGATATTTTTTTCAAAAATCTTAAATTTAAAGTAGGGTACAGCGGGGTAATTTGAATAGTGGAGTAATTTGGATAACAGTAAGCATTTGCAATGAATTTCAGAAAAATAAGAATCTCTTATTCTTATATCCAAATTACTCCACTATTCAAATTACCCCGCTGTACCCTACTTTAAATTTAAGATTTTTGAAAAAAATATCTTGAATCTTTTCAAATTTCACAAGTTTCTTTTAAAAATTATACAATGATAAATCTTAGAGATCTTGGAATATTTTAAAATTCACATACATAAAGAATTACAACGGGGTAATTTGAATAGTGGAGTAATTTGGATAACAGTAAGCATTTGCAATGAATTTCAGAAAAATAAGAATCTCTCATTTTTCTGAAATTTATTGCAAATGCTTATACCGTTATCCAAATTACTCCACTATTCAAATTATCCCGCTGTGCCCTATTTTAAATTTAAGATTTTTGAAAAAAATATTTTGAATCTTTTCAAATTTCACAAGTTTCTTTTAAAAATTATACAATGATAAATCTTAGAGACCTTGGAATATTTTAGAATTCACATACATGAAGAATTACAGCGGGGTAATTTGAACAGTGGAGTAATTTGGATAACAGTAAGCATTTGCAATGAATTTCAGAAAAATAAGAATCTCTTATTTTTCTGAAATTTATTGCAAATGCTTATACCGTTATCCAAATTACTCCACTATTCAAATTACCCCGCTGTACCCTATAACAAATACTTAAGAATATTACATATGAGAATTTTTTCATCAGGATACATTCTATAAACAAAAATGAACGTAAGAAGCGCGCAAAAGCAAGGAAGCAGAACAGCGTCAAAAGAACGGAATTAAGCCACTGATAAAAACATAGATACACTGCAAAAGATACACTATACCACTATCAAAGATACGGCGAGAGTGGAAAACGAGCCCGGTGTCTGGCTCGGCTGATCCTCGTGGCTTCCTGGAACGAGCTGCCGACGACGAGTGCGACGACGAGCCTTCTCTTTATCCTCTCAAGAGAAGAGATCCGATCGCTTCGTTCTTGAATAAAGCATATCGTCTCTATTTATTCTAGCGCGACGCGGACATAGGTGAGCGGCAGTTCAACGCGGCGCATACTTCAACAACGGCGGATTTGTTAACGCTCAATAATAAAGCCTCGCCGTGCGTCTTCTGGATCCTCGCCGCAGATAACACACACACACACACACACACGTTACCGCAAAACCCTACCCCCTTCCCCCCCCCTCTTTCCGCCTCCATCTCCCTCATGGAGATAGTCACGCGCTCTCTTGTTCGGAATTATCGATAAATCTAGAGCGCGGCACAGGAGCATCTGCAACGCGAGGGACATTACGCACAACGGGCGTTTTAACATATTGGATATTTATATTGTCAGCGGGTTTATAGACATGTAAAATAATTCGTTCGCGCACAATACATACACACGCACTGTCATCGCAATGACGCATGTCCGACGCGTTTTTTTTTTTCCCGCAATTCATGTAATATTATACTTGCTCCCGCAGAAATCGAAACGAATGCAATTGCGACCTGCACGCGAATTATCGTCATGTTTCCCGATAATTCCCGTTTTACCGCAGAAAAGCAGAAGCGGGGCAATTAAATTCTTTCATAGAGGATTCGCGGATTCTTTAAATTCTTTCATAGAGAGTCGAATCAGGAGAGTACGTGCAATATCGAAAAGAACATGCATAATTATAATTTCTGGCGCTTTTAGAATTCATTAAGAGAAAGAATACGCTGCGATAGCCGCGTTCATTGATCCAGGATCCTAAATTATAATTATCGTACTATCAAGACCCTGCGAATTCGGCTGGAATTGAATGTTTGAAATGTCTATATATAAACCATTGTGATTAAAAAAAAGTGTACCCTGCGAGATCAATACTTAACGGTACGTGATATAAATTCACACATGTTTAAAATTTGGACAATATAAAATACAAAACGGATGCGAATAAAGATGGAATTGTATGTATATAAAAAGAGATTTGTATATGTAATTTAGCGACACACGTTCGCTTTATTTAAAAACAGCATTTCAAAGGCACTACACATATTACATACACGCAAATTGTGTGTCCCCCACTTTTATGGTACGTAGAATAATATATAGAATGTTGTGGATCGTACGCAACTATTCCCAACAGTTTGCTATCTATACATACGCAATGTGTACGCAGTTCGTTGCGCATCGCGCTGCTGGACATGTTACAATAACTATGAGGAACGCGATAATCTTAGAAGGAATCCCATAAATGACGTCGCATAGATGCGGCGATTTGCATACAAAAATCGAATGTTATGTACATCGTTGGCATATTTCAACAGGTAAGACGTGTCTAGCGTCGAGGATAAAATCCGTTTTTGTACTAAGTTTACGATGATAACTGCAGTTTTTTTTTTGTGCATAGAGATATGTCAGAGTTTTCGTGCCTCACTCGACGATTCTGTAGCAGATATGCCGCCGTAAAAATACACACACGTGTGTAATCTCGCCGTTTTCTAAAGTTACTAAATTGCACTTCGATAAATTTTTATGACTGAGGCAAAATTTCATCGTTGATCGCGTCATTACAATCAAATGCGTTCACTAGTAAGTATCCGATTTTTAATCGTTCACGAGATTAAAAATCGGATATGATTGATTATTAAAAAAACATTGAATTGAACGAAATAAAATATTTTCAAACATTTTTAAGAACTGCCATAAATATGCGGCGATATGTCTTTCGTTTTAAGATAAGATAACGTTTCAGATAAAAAATATATTACGCTCGTACCTAAAAATATATCATCAAATACCGCTTTCCTTTCGTAGACGGGCTGTACAGTTAGGCAATTGTGCGGCGAACGTCGGCAATTATCAAATGTCTCGTTAAATTCCAAAGATTTCATAAAAAAATGTTAAGTCTTGCATATTTCTTACATATTCCTTTTTCCTTAATTAACTGTATGTTCCTCCGCTCTGTCTTTTTCAAAATGTACAAATCTGGAATAAAACTCATCTAACAACGGTATAACGTCAAAGTCCATTTTGAAGAACATTGAACGCGGCTCCTAGCGCCCAGCTCAATTCATGGCCATTGATCTTCTTATAAAGCTGCAAGAAATTAAAAATACTTTGTCATGTCTGAAGGCGTGGGATGAAAATAGCATCGCAATATATGCGGATCTCTATACTTACATGTAGCTTAGTAGCCGGTTCCAAGCCAAATCCGTCTCTTAGCAGAACGTAAATAAATGTCAAATCTAAGCACATGAACGGCTGATCCGTATTCGGATAGTCGCACGTCTCCGTGGCTTGCTTCAAAAATGAACTCACTTGCACCATTCCACCCAGAAATGGATCTATTAATGCTACCTGAAAAATCAACACAAATATTACATTTCTCATATTTATACAGCAGTCATCTTTTATAATTTTTAGAAGTACATGTCTATATCTCATTTAATATTCATATGATTTATAAAAATATCTAATTTTTCTTTTATATTATATTCTTACATTATTCAATTACTTATAGATATAGATATAGTAAAAAATGAATTTATTAAATAGTTATACACGCATTAATATATTGATATTAATCTAATGTTCGTAATTCTTTAAACTCACCTCTGTCGCACGATCAAAGTAATACGAAAACGCGTATACTTCGTGATCCTTCAAACCCATTGGCTTTTCTGTGAGAGAACCAACATATTTCTCAATGATCTTTAAGCATTCCGCAAAGCGCACAATCGGCTTGTTCTCGTCTCCGCCAGCGAAATTTTGCGTTTTCACTACTTTGTACGTGCCGTTCGTTGGACCTTTCACAATGTAATCGCGCCCCTGGTAGGACCACTCCCTCGATACAATCGGATTGATGCATTCGGAATGTATCTCTATGGGACCTTTAACGTTCGCGTCGTCAAGATTCATGTCGTAGGTCAAAATCGCCTTTCTGGCGGCCATCAGACCCATGCCTAAGTAACTGTGCGTGTAGAGGCTCATGTTGTGATTGAATACATTGATGGAGTAAACGTGCTTCTCCAATTTCTTGGCCTGCCCGCTGTCCGGCTGGAACGTGACCTGCGTCGAGCCGCCGCCGAGGTCCAGCGCGGCCACGGTGGACTGAGAGCTGAGCGTGTTGAAGCGATCCAGCAGGAAGTTGACGGTGAACCAGGAGAAGATCCCCTCGTCCGTGCCTTCCATTATGGAGATGGAGTTCCTCGTGACCTGGAAACCGGACGTCTGGAACAGCTTTCTGCACTCCTCCAGTATGCCGTTGGCCTTGTGCTCCGGCAGCAGCCGCAGCCCCGCCGTGGCCTTCATCGTCAGCAACGTGTGGGGCCACTCCGACTGCGGGATCACCGCCTTCGCGTCGTTCAGGAGCGTCGTCAGGGACTTAGCGGCGTCCTCCGGCCGGTCGGCGAACGAGCTCAGACCCGGTTTTACCTCCTTGAACAGCTCATTGTCGAGCACCAGATTGCCATTGAGAATGGACTCGTGAAAGCTGAACGCCAGCACGCGGCTGCCGGTGGAACCGGCGTCGATGACGACCACGTAGAACGGCTTTTGCAAATTGAACGACAGCGCCAGGGTGTCGATGGCCTTGCTGCCTATCCTGATGGGCTTCAGGTCATTTGCTATGGCTATGTAACCTAGGAACAATGTACCAAGCACTACTACCATGGTGAAGTACTTCCTTCCCGGCTGGCCGGTGGTTTTCTTCTGGTGGGATGCCAATTCGTCATCACGTTCCTCTTCATTTTCAGTTTTCAGCTAAAAAAAAACCACATAAGAGACAATTATCGTAAGGAAGTTTACACACAGATTCGCAATATATTACTTGCTTGTGTACGCGCAACAACACACAGACAGATATTCTAAGAACAGTGAAATATGTACACATTGCTTTCAGAATGCTGCAATAATTTAACCACATGCGAATCTTGTAACAAATCAGGACACACTTACAAATGTATATGGAATTAAAATATATCTCTTTTCATTTCTAATCATCACAATTCTTAGGATTTCTTTCCCAGGGCGACCAAATCAAATTGGTTTAATTTCAATTTGAATTGCTCGCAGCGAAATTTCTAATTGTACAATTTGTTGTCAATCTTCCCTTCCGAGTATTAACAAAAAGAAATGATTCATGAAAAATCTGTTAAAGCATACTACAAGTATTACTTGACAAAAGGATGGCTCGAGATCAAACACTCCACTTAACTCGGAGATCAATTCAACCGATGCAATTGTGCTCACAAAATTTCCGATCGACAAAAATATTGACATTTTTTCTATCCAATTATACTCGTCATCTTTAATCTAGTTTTATTTTTTTTTCCACGTGTCGAGTAACAACGAAGTCAATCGTTCCGTCCTCTTTAGCCATAATAAGTGCCACGATTTCACCTGACCGCGTTAATCGTCGGTCAAATCAATAGGGGTCCGTCGAGGGACAAGGTCACCTTGGGTCAATCGCCGATCGAGTTAATTAGTTTCACTCGAGGTAACCCTGAAACGACGCGGAAGGGGAAAACGGGCAACATTAACCTCGCCGGAGCAGACACGAGGACGAGTATCTCACGCGGGGGAGAGGCGCTCTCTCTCTCTACATAAGTCTCACACTCACGAGCGTGTATCGCATCTAGGGCGACCTGTACGATCCGCCGGGTGACGGGCGCTTGTCATGTAAAAGAGGGAAAAAAAAATCGCGGAATCTTGAAGAGTTGAGAGGTGCGCGACGACGCGGCGGGAAGCGCCGCCGATGGCGCCGATGTGCCGCCGGCGTGTGTGGTGCGTATCGCGCGATCGCGCCTTCGGGAGCGGGCGGGGAGCCTCGAGTGCAATTGCGCGCTCCTCGATGCCTGTCAACACACACGAGGGGGGCGATCACGTGACGAGGCGCGAGCCACGGGACGCGAGGCCACGGTTCGAAATTCGAACCGATCTTGCGGTACTGGGCCCGTTACTGCTGCGTGTGCGATACCTGGTCCACTACGTGCGACGTGTCCACTCGCTCGCTCTCTCGCTCGCACGCGTCGTTTCCCGTGTCACGATTCACGGAAACGGCCGCATGGCGATGCGCGTCCTGACAAACGAACGACGTAGATCGTCAATAAGACCGCTTACGCACCTTTCGACGTCTCACGCTCATGTTTTTTCGTTCGGCGAATGACGACAGTAGACGACGACGACGACAGACGATTGATTGACGCAGAGACGAAGAATCAGGAAAACGATCACGCGTGGATCATATAGCACGACTGCCCGCGGAAGCGAATCGCGCGGCTCGGCTCGTCCAGGCGGGCGCACGGAGTCACACAGTCCGTATACGAATATGACTGATCGACGCTTCGCCGGGCCGGAGTGCGGTTTAACGTCGGTGCGCGGTGCGCCGGCGAGTCATTACGACATTTACGGGCCACGGCGCCGCGAACGGACTCGGTAACGGTCTCGAGACTCACTGCGATATCGCGAACGATCCCCGCGGGGTGCAAAGGTGATTAGAGAAGGAGCGCGAGCGAGCGAGCGAAACGGTCGATAATCCGGCGTCACGAGACTGCCATGTGTCATTGTTTGTCACTGCCGACCGTTTGACGGACGGCGACAAATGGTGCATGGCAAACTACCTAAAGGCCACTTAAAAGTTCGACGATCGAAATAGAACGCGGGTAATATAATTTAAGCGGCGAGCGTCAAAACAGTGTGACGCTAGAATAGTAAATGGAGATAGAGATAGCGCCGACTGGTCGTTACGCGTGTCGGGAAGATAATAAACGCGTCACGTGATCGCGTAAGATCATCAGCGAGGATGAAAGGCTCTTCTGTCGCGATAACCGATAAGGAAAAGGAGAGCGACCCGCCGAACACGGCACGACGAGAACTCGAACGGCTCGAAGATTCTCTTTTCTTTCTCTCATCCGCGGATCCGTCTTTTTCGCGTGTCGATTTTTTTTTACTCGCTCGCTTATCGCGTCGCGAGGGCAAAAAAAGATCCCTCGCCTAATCGCTCAATTATGCAATGCGGTTAGATAACGAACGAGCGACGCGAACACGCTCGTCGAGCGATGAGTCGCCTATTCATCGTTGCAAGAAATTCCGTGTGGATGTTGACTCGTTGGCACGTCCGTGAACCGTCCACGAGCGAGCGAGGCGATTGATTGACGGTCATATGTAAATGTAAGTAGACACGCGTGTACCTTCCTTCCTTGTTGGGTGGTGCCTCTGTCTTTGAAGGTCGATCCCCGGCTAGAAGATTCGCGTGTACAGAGCTTTGCATTGTCATCGGCGCATAATAGATCGTGCGCCGTTAGCTCTGATCGCGAGTAGAATGTGCGCAGGAGTGTATGTTATATATTCGAATATAGTTAGACTTTAAATGGCATTTTTTTTTTCTTACAGCTCACCAGTCAGGATTGCTGTTTTGTTTACATGTTTACTGCTCTAGAAAAGCCTGCATATATTTTGCACGTGTGTTTTTGCGTATGATATACAAGATAAAGATAGCGTGTAAGCTCATCGAAATATTTATGAAACAGATAAAAATGTTATCTTATCGAAATATATATATATGTATACTTCTTGAGGTAAAAGAACCTGCAGTATTATATATGTGCCTATATATAAAAAAATCTATATATATAGATTTTTAAATATATTTTATATATATTTTTATATATGATTATATATCCAGAAACAATTATAAATAGTTGTTTAACAATTTTGCATGGACTGATATTCAATTTTTATTTCACCTAAATAATTTTTATAGAAATTAATTAATTGTTTAATTCATATATTAATCCAACAATACTGCAAGCTATACAAGGCAAATGCAATTTTATATATGTTACATTAATTATATTAATGGTAAAGAGCATTTTTAATACCGCATACACTGTAATTGTCAATATATATACTTGCAAATAAAATTTTCTCCGCCTTTTTTCTAAGTCTTGTGCGAATAAGTGTTAATCATTGCATTGAAGGTTAGAATTCTTTTCTGAGATCTAAAAATAGAGCCCAACTCAACAAACATATTTTTAGGTCGTGGTGTTCTCCAGGTTTCTACTTACACGCAGTATGGATCATGCTGACAGGAACTTTTATCAAGATAAGATGTTGGTTGTGAAAGTGGAGAAGTTTTAATTTATGTAGCAAAAAGTGCTGCATATATTGATATATAAATCATTAATATCTTTCACATCTTTCTGATGTCTCACTGGAGAAGATAGCACATTCTACTTAATCCGCTAAACCAAGCTGGTAAGAACAACCAAAGTAATATATCCAATAATTAAAGAACAGAAGAAACATTATAAATGTTATTTTATAATTAATTACTTCTTATGACACAATACATATTAATTACGATTTCACGATTCGACGATTTGATGATAAAAAAAAATTTTATTGAATTGTTTAGTTTCAGATGCAACCTGTAGGAAGCAAATGACAATATAGAATAGAGTATATATTGCACTGCAAAAAATAATATACTTTGATTGCTCTTCCAATTCTTCATATCAATCAGATAATCCGAGACGACAAAAATGACGCGCGAGACCACAGAGAATCTTCTAAAACAGGCTGCCATCCAGATTGGCGCTGGAGGATCGGCAGGTTTCATCGAGGTTTGCATAATGCAACCAATGGATCTTGTGAAAACGCGTTTTCAGCTCCAAGTGAAGACAACAACGTCAGATCCATTGTACTATACAGGTATTTTGTGTAGCATTAAGACACTTGTATTGCACTATGCATTAACTATATATATATATATATATATATATATATATATATATAATAATGTATAATATATTTATATATATATATGTTATTGTTATAGGAATTCGCGATTGTATGATCAAAATGTATAAGACTGAAGGACTACCAGCATTTTGGAAAGGAATTTTACCTCCGATACTTGTGGAAACTCCCAAACGTGCAGTTAAAGTAAGTGCTCAATGTATAAGAGAGAGAAGTCTGCATACTTATTTTTATTTACATTTAAAAAAGATTATTTTATTTTTATTTATAAAAACTTATCCTTTCTTTTAGTTTTTTACATTCGAACAATATAAACAGTTTTTCTTATTCGGCGCTAGTGCACCCACCCCGTTGGTAATTACTCTAATACGATTATTACATACAATTTGCTAATTGTTTACAAGATAAAAAAAAAGTGCTATCGTTACAGACATTCTCATGCGCTGGTTTCTTCGCCGGTGTTACAGAGGCTATATTAGTTAATCCCTTTGAAATGGTGAAAGTAAAACTGCAATCTGATCGAAAGCACGTGAGGGAAAGCCCGTCGACGTTCGCGGTGACGAAAGAAATAATTTCCAAGCATGGTTTTGGATTGAACGGTCTGAACAAGGGGCTGACAGCCACTATAATGAGAAACGCGGTGTTCAACTCGTTTTATTTTGGTTTTTATCATTCTGTCAAAGGATATATACCAGCCAGAGAGGAACCTTTGTTGGACTTTTTGACTAAAGTAATCATTCAGTTTTTTTTGTGTGTGACAACGTCACAGGATAGATGTATCAAAGTTGCACGCTGTTCTCATCAATTTGTACCATGTGATAAAATTTTTCAGATTGCTATTGGATTCGTGTCAGGTACTGTCGCTTCCTGTCTAAATATACCGTTCGACGTGGCCAAAAGTCGCATTCAGGGATCGCAGGATAATACGCTATACAAAGGAACGCTGAACACCATGCATATTGTTTACAAGAGAGAAGGGTATTCATATAGAGAGATATATATATATATATAATGTTTTTAACATACCGATATGCGATTGTACTCGGGGCCTCGAGATCGCTCACTCGTGTAATCTGTCATTCCAGATTTAGAGCCTTGTACAAAGGCTTGGTGCCAAAGGTGCTGAGATTAGGTCCAGGTGGTGCCATTATGCTTGTGGTGTATGACTACATGCATGTGTTTCTTACAAAAAAGTTCAAAGACTAATATTTACACTGCATTTTAAGGAGCTGTGAGGTAACTGTAAGCATAAGTTCCTCTTCAAAATGCATTTTGAAAAAAAAAAAAATATATATATATAATGTAAAATATATAAAATGGATATTTTTTACGTGTAAAAACAAAATAAAAATTCATATAATTTTATAATCATGAAAATTCCTCACACCTTTCAATTAAACATTCTTTTTAACAATCTTACATACTCTGTTTCTTTTTCTTGCTCTCAGTTTTAATAGTTTTTACTTCTGTATACTCTAATGTACTATTGTAAAAAAAAAAAGTATATTAATCGTCTAAAACAGAATCTAGCCATTTTTCTAAGTCAATGGGCTTATTCGGAACACTCTTTGATTTCGTTTTGGAATCTGCAACAAATCAATGAATAATATAAATCCTTCATATTGTATATATATGTTATATTATAGAAAATTAGCCTGATCGCAGATTATATGTTTATTTTGTCTTTTTTGGAAGATGAAAATTTGGCGTCATAATTTTTCGGAATAAAAATTGCGTAAATAAAATATTACATGGCTAAATGGTCAAAATAATTTTTTAAATCAAAAACCTTACCACTATTATGAGACGTAGATAGCGACACGGGCTGTGCGATTCCTATCACGGTGCTCTGAACGGGTTCCTGCAGAGACAATAAGAAATCTAGATCTTCCTCCAAGTCATCGATACGGCCTTCTGCTTTCGCGTTTGTCGTCGACTCCACATCCTTCGACTGGTCGATCCTCGCGTTCTCGTTAGATCCACTTTTGATTAAACTCGATGCCTTTAGATCCTCCACAATCGCGCTGTAAGCCGCCTTGCCTCTCTCGGCATCGTTGTAGATACTCGTCAGCTGGTCGCTCTAGAATCGATGCGAATCGCCGAAAATTAATCGCTCGTTTGACCGAGATGCGTTACCAGTGCAATTCGAGTCGATCGCTTGACGTACTCGAGGAGCATCTCCCGTAACAACTCGAGTATCTCTCGAGTACTTACTACAAAATACCTGTCAGCCACGTCGACGTACTCGTCGAATGGAACGCATGCGATCGCGGCCGATAGCGCCTTCAGGTTCAGGGTGAAGAACTCCGAGTACTGCGACGAATCGACGGTCCAGGCTTTCTCTGACTTGAAGACGAAGTGCCCGCCTTTCGAGAGCGGCGCGTTTATGAGGGTGCCGAAGTCCTTGCCCATCGCCTCCTCGTCCGTCGGCGATTCCGCGCGGTCGGCGACGGACGAGGGGGGTTGCTGCGATTTGCCTTTCTTCTTCGCCTTTTGCATCCCGGAAAATTCTAACCGTTCGCGCGGGACCGCGAGATCGTTAAGCCCGTCTTGCGTATACTGTGTCAAAATCACATGTGCGCTCAGCGTCAGCTGTGACGCCCGCGACTGCCCGTAAACGGAGTCACGTGCGATACTTAGGGTCGATCGATTCTCGACGACTCGTTCATTCTCTCGATGTCTTCAAATACGAATTTGAAAATAGAAATTCATAATTCCTGCGGCGAACAAACTTCGATCTACGATTAATTTAATAACCCCGACAATAGACTGATGTTATTTTTTTATGCCAAGAATGCCATTTTTTATGTCAAAATGACGACAAATACGATTAGTTTGCTGTCTAAACAATCGAGTTTATCTTCGATTAATGTTAGTTCAGTCGAAGTGGTCCTTATCAAGTAATTCCGACAGAAACGCAAAGTTAATTATGTTTTATTATCTCTAATTTAATCACCGTAACCTATATTTATATTTCGGTTTCCACATTTCAATGTCTAATAGCAAAACGTGATGTTTACACGATAGAAATTAGCATTTTTAAGTGTCTGTCGTTTTTCCGAAAATTATATATATGTATAGTCCCTATTTTAATAATACTTACATACATATACTTAAATAATACTATGTCCTTTACTTTAAATAAGGCAGAATGTAAGAAAAATAATTCTAAATTTAAGAAACTCTTGTAAGAGAATCCTCTCTATGTGGATCCAAGAATCTTCTAATTATAATTTATCGTAAAACTATATTTTTGTGATTGTTAATTGATTCAAGTTTGTTGAATTCATACTAGACACGAAAGAGTTAAAATTTATGAAACTTTATAATTAAAAATGCACAATAAATAATTTTAATATGCACTGAGTGCGTCCAACCGAATTCGCTATAAAATTTAAACAAAAAACATTATACGTGACATTGTGTGCCGTTTTACGATAATTGGAGTATCAACGGGTCCAATTATCATCGCTCTGAAATTCTGTGGCGAACCACGGGGATTGGGAAATCCAAACGGCAAGTTTTTTGCTGGAAGCTAACTTTATTGGCATTAAATTTCAGACAAAGTCCCGACAAATGGACTTCCAATACTTACTTCTACAAGATTAAGACCTAGAGGTTTGTAAAGGCAATTAATAACGCGCGAGGTGAAAAGGATCAATCGATTCGTACAATCATTTTTATCCTAAAGTATAAAAAGCGACTTCGCACCGAACTCCACAATGTAAAAAAAAGACTGCAAAAAAAGAGAGGGACCAAAGTTGATCGTGGTAGAAACAACATTTATTAACAAAATGCTACGATAAAGAGCTCTATTAGTACTAGGTAGGTAAAATTCATAACAGAACGAATTTTTTCTTCTCGAAGGAAACGGAGGTCTCAGGATGGTGGAGGGAGAGGATAAAGGAGACATACGAACTTTTATCTTTATTTTCACGTATGCATGTTATAGAGGTTTCTGAATATAAGCATATTTATATGTATATGCAGTTCTTTCTTTTAGAGCGAATAAAATGGCGTGTGGCAACCAAACCAACTGATAAAGAATATGATCGGTATAAAGGTCTGGGAGCACCTTACGCTCGTCCCTATTCTACAAAAGATTTTCGATGAACTTCTTCAATATTTTCACGTAAACACGTTCGGCCCTGTTTTTTCAACCCCCAACCAAATGACTCCGTCCCGGTCGGGGGTCTGACGAACAACTCTCGATCGACATTCTTCGGGCTTGCATTACTTGACGTTTTCTTCTAGGCTTGAGGCTTCTCAGCCGGAAATGAATTGCAGATCATATTCTTTGTCACAAGCAACCGAGAAAACCTTCTGACTCTTGACAATGCGAGCAAGATAAACGTGTTCTTCAAATATCTTGTCTTCGACTTTTCAAAACTCATTTTTTCAGAGTGAAACTTCAAACTTCCCTCTATCATCCAATACCTCTTGATTCAAAACCTTATAAACAAACAAACAGGTTAGAGAACTTACTTCTACTCGAAGCTTGTTATTATTTTTCTTTTTTTTTTTGTGTGTGTGTTTCATTTCCTTGCTTTCTTTATTTAGGTTTATTTTATTTCTTTTCTTTTTGTTTTAAGAGATATATTTCCACATTTTTTTAAAGATTCTATCCAACGGCTGGAATACAACTGTAAGCTACAAACTGCGCAAATATCGCTCAATTATATTCCAGCTTTCACATTATAGCCTTGTATTTTTACACAATTGAAACCTTATCTTCATAATACTAATAAGAGGCGATATAAACTTATGAAAATAAGGTTTTCTATTCTAACCTTACTGATTTTCGTGCAAACAGTATGCTATACTCAACTGCATTTTGCACGTTTTTCCTTTTTCAATAGCATTAGCGATATTTTATTACGATATTGTAATTTAAACGCGAGACTGTATCGCATACAATGCAGAATTAGGTAAGGTAAGAATAGTAATATAATGTGATTTCGTTAATTTCATAATTTTGACCCGTTGAAGAAATATTTGGGTCAAAGTCATCGGCTGAAAGGACCTGTGGCCACGCATCACTTCACTGACTTAATATCGACCTGAAATTCATTAAGCAACAAAAAAACCATGATTGTTTTACCGCAAGTTATGGATTGCTGCTTAGCTACTACCGATTTTTATCGAGCGCATTTCTCTGATGCTCCCGTCTGTGTTGTTTCTTGCTAACTTAAATACTTACTTTTGCAATCCAATCGGCATTATCGTTTTAATTAGAAATATAAGCGGTCTACGAAAATATGAATCCGGAAGAAATTTTATGTTGTAAATTGCTCTCGACGACTTTTTTCAATGTAATAAAATGTACGCGTGCAAAATTATCTCTCTTGAAATTCGTTCTGAGCAGCATCAATTAAATAGAAGAGATTGGTTTTTAATATCTAATCAATATTATAATTTCTTTTATATTTCCTAATTTTCATAATTATCTTCAAGAAAGTAATTAATTAATGTATGCGACCCAGCAAGATGCCCCTCGATAACGGAGTTATGATGAGAAGCCACGTCTTTCTCTAGAAAAATAAGATGTGCGAAGTTTTTCGCCGTGTAACATTTTCGTGTAAAGTGTACGGCAAAACGAAAAAAAGAAGTGAAGAGAAACAAATGTACATTACAATAAGCACTGTTGTGCAATAAATTACGAAAATATGACGTCTTTGCCAGATAATTTGCAGATGTACGTAGACGTAACCACCATGTGTTTTAACATACATTTCAGTACAGAGATGAGACACATATCCATGTAGACAGCTTATATTATGATGCAAATTAAAAGTGAAGATTGTACTTACGTGGCGAGTAGGAGCGCGATCTAGAACGATCGTAACGCGAACGTCGGCGGCTGTAGTATGGGCTGGGCGATCGACGGTAACTTCCTCTGTAGCTGACCCTATTGTTTTCGGTATTAACAAAAAAAATGAGGAATTAAAAATAAATGAAAAAAAAAAAGGAGAATACAATAATGTAATATCCAATCGTGATTTTTGAAAAACACGTTTGAACTGTTGTTCGTGGAACAGACATGACTTACTCTCTACGCCTCGGCGCATCCCAGCTTCTGTCGTGCAGATGCGTAGGTTTTCCCATGTATATTCCCGGGGTAGGAGTGTGAGCACGCTGAGTGATGGAGAAATCTACTCGAATTCGTCTCCCGTCGATTTCCATGCCGGTGCATTGCTCTTTAGCCACTTTAGCGTCCTCGGATGATTCAAAATATACAAAGCAGAATCCTCTGGAACGTCCAGTCTGTAACAAATGGGAAATACACAGTGGTATCATCATTAAAATCGCGTCATCACTAATTGTGCTTATTTTCAATTCACATATAGATCTCTCTATATGCAATTTTGTGGCCAGATGCCTTTAACGTATCATGTGTCTCTCAAATATGAACGTTCTAAATCTCTGGCGCGATTTTACTGTTCCCCAGGATAAATACCTATGGGGAAGTAACGAGACTGTTGCATACTATCTCAAGGCCTATTCTTTATAGCTAAACTAGTACACACTCGATGTACATTTGAAATGAAATAGAAAATATATTTGAAGTTTGCGACGAAAGCGAGAAGGAAATGTTTTAATGCAGTCCAGCAGTGCTGCAATAAAGAACAGGGCCTTTAATACATGCACATAATGATTAAATATACATCGAGTTTTGCATACCTTTGCATCGATAACGACCTGCACTCGTTCTACCGGGCCGTACTTGGAGAATATATGTTGAATTTGCTGTTCAGTCGTGAAAATTGAGAGTCCGAAGACCCCGAGGCAACGGGAGGGGCAAGGATTGTCCCGATTACCGATGTGCCGTCGCCTGGATGACATTGGGCTGCGCGAGTGCGACCGGTACACGTGACGGTCACGGGAGTAACGCGATCGGGAGTACGAGCGGGATCTGCTGCGAGAGTAACGGCCGCCGCGGTACGGCGAGCGACTCCGGCTACGACTGCTGCGGTGGCCGACGCCACTGGTGTACTTGTTGCCGCGATACGACTTCCGTCCACGTGACGCGGAACGGCTGCGCGATCTCGAATATTTGACCTCTCTGTGCGAATCCTTCCGCTCGCGCGACTTGCGCGATCTGGAGTGCGACCGCGAGTCTCTTAGGCCGCCGTCTGCGGTGCGTGGTCGGCGGGGGCTTGCACTGCGACTGCCACTTCTCTGCAAATTACAAACAATCGTTACTCACATCGCGTATATACAGAGAATTAAAATTGTCGTTACATCTTACATGACAAATTGAATGTTAAGGAAATGCAATGCAAGATGTCATGTCTTCATAATTCATGTATTTATTTATTTGAAAAAATATAAACGGTGGGCCAACAATTTATAATAAAACAATAAGTTGAAAACGCAAAAATATTTTTAAAATAACGATATTTTAAATAGTTAAATATAATATTTCTTAAATCCGGTCTTTAATCTAATCCTTATAATTTGCATATAATTCCATTTTGTAAAATGGTGGAAGGCGTGACACGTGGAATGTAATTTTAAATTACATTCCACGTGTCACGTCCTTCACATACAGAAGAACTGAAAGAAACTATTAAATAATACTTCAATAAATGTAATACATTACATTAAAATGTTAAATTAAACATTAAATATTCTTGTAACTTATAATATTAAAATGTTGAATTAAATACATTTAAATGTAACGTAAAACTTGAGGGAAATCTGCAGTTAGAAAATGCTGGAATGTTCGACGCTAAAAAATTGAGATAAATCTGCAGATAGAAAATGCTAGAATGTTCGATGCTAAAAACTTGAGATAAATCTGCAGATAGAAAATGCTGAAATGTTCAATGTTTCTGAGAACAAAATTGAGTTCTTCAATAAGAAAAATTTAGTCCGACAAATAACTTTTAATTCTCCAAAATATGATAATATTTGACAATGTAAACATCATCAATTTAAACAAATATGTATATAAGACAATAAAGACTTCCGTAAAGGTCAAACTTCAAAATAAATAAAAAAAGCCTTCACAGCAACATCTCGTTATCATAATATGTACATTTGTGTATACAAATCTATCCTAACGTACGTATCAGAATTGAATTTTTTTTTATAGCGAACGTTATAACGGTAGCAATCATATATTCTAAACATATGAGCGTGATCGACCAATCGTGATTCGGCTTTCAGCTTATCACGTTTATAACCTCATAAAACGCTTTTACCGAGATTTATAATTATCGGAGTGACGTACGGCTCGGGGAATTTTTATATCATCGCACTTTACTCCAAAATATATCCCGCGTTCAGGATCCCTCCCCCTCGTCCCGGGAGGCGAACGAGTCGCCGCTCGTCGCGAATGTTGCGCGATTTTTGATAATGGCTGGAAGAGTAGAACTGCGCCGTTGGATCGATAATTTCGGCTGTGCTGAACCGCCGCAATTTACGCGCAAAGATCCCCGCGACGCCGCACCGCATACTCACCTCGATATCGCTCATCGTCGATGCCCTTCGACCAGTTGGGATCTGTGCCGGACAAAGAACAAAATGCCTCGCCACGCGCTCGTCGTGGACGCGTGCTCTCGTAGAGAGACGACGATAATATGGCGTGATGGCGCAAAGCCAGCCTGCCTGGCCTCCTCGTCGGGCAGGAAACGCCGGGCCCGGGGAGCACGCAAATGAACACACCAACATCCGGCGGCGTTGCCGTGGCAACGGGGACGCGCGTCGCGGCCTTACGGCGCGTGCGCATGGAACCGCGGCGGCGCGGCGGTGCGTCGTCGCACGTGGCGAGGGGTTGACGCGACGGCCGGTAAATTAGTCTCCTCGCGCTTTCCGGAGCTGACGGCACGCTGCAGCACGCGGTGAGAGGTGATTGGCTATCTTGCGCGTAGAGTTAGAGGCTGCAGGGCACAGGAAAATGTACACACTCATTGTCAATCGAGAAGTTATAATTATAACTAATAATTATTATTTTATAATTGTTATATGATTTAAATCTATATATAATCTCGCTTCGCATGGAAATTAAGTTAACAAATTTAACTTTTTAGCATTTCAAAAAAAAAAAGATAAAAGTTTAAAGATTGGAAAATTAAAGGAGAGAGTAGAAATAAAAAACTGTATTATTAAACTTTAATAATTAAAGAGCAAGAGTATTATATTATATCATGTAAAGCGCGATAGCAGTGGGGTTTTATATTCTTGCTTTTATAATTATAATATATAGTTTTCTAATAATTTTACTCTCTCCTTTAATTTCCCCAATCTCTAAACTTTTATCATTTTTTTCTATCAAAAATCGAACCCAGGACCTTTATAACAGCCAAAAAAACTCCAGTGCGCTATATATATATATCAGCTGTTATGCCACTCTCGTGTACGTCACTTTTTTAATTTTATCTCTTAATTTTATATTGATAATAAGAATACGTGATGTTAAATTTAATACATATAACTAATTATTTTAAATGTAATAAAATAATTTTATTACATAATTTTACCAGAGAGGATTCTCTTTGATTTTACTCATCCATTATTATTACTGCTACTGCAGCCCATTGTAGACGACGCTTAAGGCTGCAACTGAAAATTTTAGAACGTCAATTGTGACTCATCGATTGACTTGTCGCTTGAATCTTATCACTCAAATCTTATCTGATCAAAGTCCAATTAAGAATTAATAAGTTAATTAAATTAAAATAATTTTAATTTTACTGACAGAAACGCGAAAAAAGGAGGTTTCTCGCTATATAATTCGTTGTTCCTGTAATTTTTCTCTTCCGTTAGACAACAAAAAATTAATAATTTATATTAACAAGTATATATATACATGCGTATATAGTTGTTGCTTTTCTCGTCTCCCATTTTCACAACACGAACGTTGACATCCGTGAGGAAAAACACTACGTTGTTGCGCATGCGCGGAGGATCTTGACGGAGCAAAGGGAGAGGGGAGAATAGCCGAAAGGGAGGGGGCGGGATATACTGCGTCCGCGCGCGGGCAGAGACAGGCAGGAGAGGAGCAGAGGAGAGTACGACGGGAATGGCGGCCGCGAATGCCGCGATTAACGTGACTCTTGGTACGTGCTTTGTGACGTGCTCGTTGCTGGGTGAAAAACGGATTCTTCCTCGCGAATTTCAGGCGTCGAGCAAAAATCCACGTTGATATCATGTCAACTACGTGAAGACCGGAAGAACGATCTCCCGCTGTCGCGTTCACGTCCCCCAGGTGAGGAAGCAACTTTTGCCCCCCTTGTCGCGATCCGATTCTCTCGAGCCTGCGTCGAGTTGAAAACACATCTGGAGATCATTGGTCTTTGAGGGCTTCGAGGCGCATACTTGTCGACGGTTTTTTTAAATAATTTATAACGCACGAATTACCCGGCAGTGCTCGTAATCGCTCTGACCAGCACTGTTCGCGCGAGATAGCGATAACGTTTGGTTGGATCACGTAACGGTACTATTTTTGATGCGCCAATAATCCTTTTTTTTTTCGATAATTGTACGTCGATTCTAACTGTCATTATGTATGTACTACTTTAATTTTATTCTGTATATTGATTACTATGCAATTAGCACGTTGAGTTGGCATGTGCAGTTCGCAGAGTATGCAATGCATTGTCCCTAACCTCGTCGGCTTACAAGGACTGGGTTGAAGGCACATAGGTTCCCCGACCGGGGAACATAAAAATAAAAGATCTCTTATATGTTCTTTATAGCTGAACTGGCTGCGCTGGTTCAGAGTTTATAGTTTATCTTTCTTTTTCCAATGTAGAAAGAGAAAGATACAACTGTGAACTAGTGCAGCAGTTCAGCTGTAAAGAACAGGCCTGTATGATTATCTGTTAAGACAGATTAAGGGACTGTAATTGTGTACTGCTGATTGTGAAATGCACGGTTTCTGATAGGCTAAAATTCTTATCCTATACAGCACACATTATTCGAGAAACGTCCAGAGAATGTCCTTTACGTTCTAAGAACGTCTTCAGGACGTGTACAGAATGTTCTCTGGATGTCCTTCGGATAAAGTATGCTATATGGGATTCTCTGTTCCCTGCTCCTTTTATTCTACGCATCCCTAAGACTGCTCTGCGTCATTGTTCATATATTTATATATTTCAATAATTTTTACAGACAAAAATGTCAGCAGAATACAGCCGAAACGTTTTAAAAATAGTCGTCGCACAGATCTGTCAGACGATAGGATGGCACTCTATAAATTCTACACCACTGGAATTTCTAGTAGATCTGTTGCAGGAGTATCTGTTGCGTGTCTCAAAGCTCACGCATCAATATACGGAAGTTTGTGAGTAACTGTTATATTAAGTTTGACAGTTCTATTATTAGAGTCCTTTTTTTCTATATATTTTACAGAAAAAGCTCAAATTTGAGATACTTTATTTGGGATACTATTATTTAAAATTCATGTTCCCGAAATGTCTTTTGTAAATGAGAACTAAATGTATCATTTATTTGTTATGCTTGTTGAATAATTGAAGTACGTTTATAATCTTAGATTTATGGTGTTTTTTTTAAATGTTTTTGTAGTGGGAAGAACGGAGCCGAATCTTGACGACTTGGGATTAACGTTTCAATATATGAATATTGATATACAAGAATTAGCCGAATATGTGAAAAATGTAGATTCTGTTCCGTGTCCTATACAAGTTCCGCAGTATCCAATTCGACGCGAGAATCATTTAAATTTTTTAAAACCGGGTAGTCGTGAAGTTGTCACGAGACCAGTGCACGTACATGAACATTTACCGGCCATGTATCCGGATACCGAAGGTAATAGACCGTTTTCTTTATTGAGTAACGTAACTTCAACAATAACAATTATGTCAGTCAACATTCATTCACATCTCATTGACAATATATAATAATTGCAGACGAATACGTACCAGATAAGAACGAAAATTTAGTAAATGGCACAGCAGACTTGACGTCCAGCAGTGGGACATCATCGGGCAATTCAAATAACGCGTCACCCCACAGAATGTCGCCGCAGGTGGTTTTCAAACGGCCGGGCGATCCGGTGTCGTTTGAAAATCCCATAGTGAAGCGGGCGAAGGTTTTGGAGGAGGGCAGACCGTTGCGTGAAATAAGCAGCGTTATGATGACCACTTCTGGTTTTTTATCGCCCGCGCGAGAAGGAAAGCTACCTGAAGCGAGAACGCCGCATCAGGTCCGATCGGACTCGCCGCAGCCGAGCTCCTATCCGATGGTGCCGCCTGAATTGAAGACCGAGAAGAAGCCGAAGAAGGTCGTGAAGAAAGGCCCCGAGGATCGTAAGCTTGACAAGGAGAACAAGAAGAAGAAAGGCGCGAAGGAGCTGTTCAAGCCGGACAAGATCGACGAGAGCAAGGTAAAGAAGTTGGTCGGCATGAAGGAGCTGGCCAAATTGAAGCCGCTAAAGCCAGGCGGCGGCAAGGGGCAGTCGTCTACCACGTTGCAGGAGCTCACGGGCAGCAGGCCGTCCACGCCGAAGATCGCGTCGCCGAAATCGGCCGCCAGTAGTCCGAAGCCGTCGAAGGCGACGCAGCCGAAGGTCAACAAGGCCGACAAGGCGGTGGATCTGGCGGACAGCTCCGCCGCCGTCGAGAAGAAGGAGGAAACCGTCGACAAGTTGCCGTCGGAGCCGGATAAGCAGAAGCTGAATATATTCAAGAAGATATCGAAGCCGCGCGAGGAGAAGGAGAAGGACAAGGACAAGGACAAAGACAAAGAGACGACGGAGCCGCACAAGTACAAGGATATTCTGAACTCGCGCGAGAATTCGCCGGGGCTGGTCATAGACGTCGAGAATGCGGAGAAGCACGCACACCGTAACGACGCGGACGCGAAAGGTGGGCGCGAGGAGAAGAAGACGCCTCACACACCGGACGTGCACATACAATCGGACAGTGATTTGGCGGACGTGCAGAGTTTGTCGTCGGACGTTTACATGTTCGATGACGCCGACATTTCACCGCCGGGCACGCCTAGCACGCCGAAAACTCCGGAATTGAGTGTGCCCACGGTGCCGGAGCAGAAGCGGAAGAAGAAAGAGAAGAGTGGCAAAAAAAAAGAAGCTAAAGTGAAGAATCCAAAACAATGTATCAGCCCGAAAAAGGTAAAATACATTTTACAGGACATTATTTACTTTGAATTGTGTATAATATCAGAGTTGCGTATGCAAATTTTGTAATTTTTTTTTTAAATTTTTTAATCAATCACAGTCAATTTCATTCCCAGCGATAATTTGATTGGACGTCGCATTCTTTTAATACGATCCACTGATTTTAATTTTTTTTTAATTTTAATACGCCTTGCGTATAATAGTGATACATTTGCTATTTTTCAGACGAAATCCTCGAATCCTGATACGACAGAATCGGATATGCCAGATCGGCCCAAAACGCCGCAGGCACCTGAACCGCTTCACAGAGAGCCCATTCTTCCGCTCACCCTTCCGTTCCCCTTTTTCCCTCACGCATTTCCTACGGCACCTGGTTTGATCCCTCCGATGTTTCCGCGGTTTCCGTTGCCGCTTGGGCGAGGTGGACCAGGCCCGCATCCCGCGATGCCCAATTTACCATTGCCGCCGCGTTTTTCCAATCCACCCGTAAAGCCCGAGGATTTCCCGTTGTCCAAAGTTAAACCTGTAGAGCGTGAGAAGCCACTGATCCCCCCACCGGCTGAGTTGATGCCTCCGTCGATTCCGGGCGAAAATGAGAAGGCGGACAAAGAGAAGGTGGATAATAAACTTACGAAATTGTTTAAGCTAAACAAAGAAATGCCTTTCATGAAAGCACCTGAGAGGGTACTGCCTGTAGGCGTTGCACCGCCTATAGTGTCTGCACCTCTCGCACCAATCACGCTTGCTACACCAACAGTACCCGTCGCGCAAATGCCACCATCGAAAAATTCTAAAGCCGAAAAAGCAGAGAAGAATGATATGGTAAATTCGGTAGGAGACCATATCTCGTTAGATATTATATTAAAATATTTTTTATTTATTTATTTATTTTGAGAAATATCCCGATGAAGATAATTCCTATGCACGATATATATTCATTTGTATTCATTGATGCCACAATTACTGTACGCTCTATTTTACTCAATTAATCTGGTTAGTTTTTACATATAAAAGCTAACTAGATTAATTGATTAAGATAGAGCACAATAATTATATTTAACAATTTATAACATTTTCAGAAGTCGAAAGAGCATAAGAAAGAAAAGAAGGATAAATTGAAGAAGAAGAAGGATAAGAAAGAGAAACACAAAGATAAAGGCGAGAAAGTAAAGGAAAAGAAGGAAAAGACTGAAAAACGCGAGAAATTAGAAAAGCTCAAAGAAAAGAAGGAGAAAAAGGAAAAGAAAAAGGAGAAAGATCAAAATAAGAAAAATATGGTATTTATGTGATTTTTTTGTTAATAATAATGATGTTAAAGCGTTAGCAATTATTAAATTATTATGTGTGTTGTAGAAGGAAGAAAAGAACCCAGAAGCTGTTCCAAAAATTACGTTAAAATTAGGCACAGCTTCACCTAGACCGGCAACTCCCGATAATGCTCCCATGAAGAAAATGTAAGCCATAAATGGATTATTATTAGTAAATTTATATTAGCAATTTAATTATAATATAAATTTTTATTTCTTGGCAAGTTTAATCGATTTATCAAAGAGTTTTTTTGATATTATATTATGTCATGACACAAATAATAATTGTATGACTGTTCTTTATTATTTTTTTTTTTTTAGAACTATTAAACCACTTGTGAAGAAACCCGATGAAGAGGTCAAGCGGGAACCCAGTCCAGAATTGGCGAAAATATCGGCATTGGTAACACGACCGCCAAAGCAAAAGTCAGCAAGTAAGAAAACAGAGGAGGGAATATTAGATGGAAGCCCTGCTCTTCCTACAGACTCTTTCTCTGCCAATCTTACTAGCGCGCCACTTGCATCAGTTCCTCGAGCAAAGAAATCTAACTTCCAAAATCTATCTCAAAGTGAGCCAATACCTTCACCTCAGTTTGACAATCCTAAACTCCCGAACCCTCTAGTGCCGCCACAACAACCACCATATTATTTTGTAAGTACATTTTTCATAGATATTTATATACTGGGGATCATTGAAACTTACATCAAGATTCAAAATTTTAGAATGGAAATTTCACAAATAATATTTTACAAAGAAAATCTTTGGTAAATATTAAATTTTCGATCAAATAAATTATATCAAAAATAATATACGAGTCTTAGAAATTAATATATTTTTCTTTCAAGCGCAGAAATATTAGCGCTCCTTCAGCTGTAATTTGTCCAGAAAATTTATGTAATTTATCTTATTAAAACATGACTGTAATTATAAAAAACTTTTATAATTATAAGTAGGAAAAAATAAATTAATAGATAATAAAACATATAAAGTTTTGAAAGTAGATGAATTAAATTAAATTTATATAATTTAACTTGTATAGCAAAATCTTATAAGTAATTATCATGTATAGAGCCAATTTTTGGGGGAAATTTGTCTTAAATTATGGCAAATTTTATTGATATCTTCTATAATGAGGTGAGAACCCAACCCATCGATATTATTTTTCAAATACGAACCTGTTCCAAAAATTCCAATTTCCTATTTATTCTATCTATGCATTTACGTCTTGTGGTGACGGTATCATGTTTCCCTTTTTTCCCCTTAAACCACGCTCTCTCTTTTGATATATTGTTATGTTGTCCAAATAATGAATGTAGTACACATTCTCTCTTATAGCTACATTTTAGACTTACTGTGTATTTTATGTTGCAATTATTACTTTACTCACTTTCTCCAAGTTTAGTGCTCATATTTCTATTTCTTATATTGAATCTTAAATATTTTTCTTTATTTTCAATTTTCACAATGATTGAATTTTAAACGCTTGTTTTGCCATTCTATTTTTTACTATTCTGCCTCGCAAGTACTTATTTTTTGTACAGAAAGCTTTTCAGAAAAGACATTATTTTTATAATCAATGAGTTTAAATAATCTCAAGTTACAAAGTACAAGTTACAAAATATTATTTAGTTACTATATATATTGTATGATACGGAAATAAATTTTAGAAATAATATTTTCTAGAAAGAATATATTGATTAATAGATTTAATAGCTTTTTTAGTCGATTTGCTACATATTTTACAATATTCTGAATATAGAATCTTTTCTGAGTAGCCGCATCTTGAGTTTGCAATTTATAGAATTAATTGCTGCATTCATGCAAATATAGATATAAATCTGCATAAATAATATTAACTTAAAAAATTAATCACTATATTTTAAGAGTAAGAAAGCATTTATCGTCATCATTTTATCATCCATATATTCTACATAAATCAATTATACGATTCATATTTATGTATATGATATGTATATGTATATATACATATAATATACAGTATGGTATACTTGTCTCTTCTTATTATTATTATTATGAATTTGAGCGATTATATATACAAATAACATTCTGATAGATTAAACGAATGAATATCTGTTGGTAATATAAACGCAAATTTTATAGAAGCATTATTGTAAATATATGTGCCAGAATTGATATCAATTGAAATGCCTTTAAAACGCAGGATGCCTTTAACACTAATATACATTCAATTAAATTATTATTATTTATTTCATTTATCAGTATAAAGCTTAAAAGTTCGAGAGTGGTACCAGTTATTAATATACAATTATATAATTGATATTATATTTGAATGTACAATTTATTCTTGATATTTCCGTACATGCTGAAAGAAGTAATTTCTTTTACTTCAGTACATCTATTTTATGTTAATTAATAATATGCCCATGCTTCTCATTAATTTCTCTTCTCTATTTAGCAAGTGCAGTCACATTAGTGCATACATATATATTCTTCACGTACAAATAGTTATAGTACAAGATGCAATTGAGACTTGTGTGTCACTACTAAATTCGCCGCTTGACTATTAACTAAGTAGCATTAGAGAGCATGCATCTTATCAGTTACTAATGTAACTGATAATGTAACTAATGTCACATCTTCTTTTTCAATCTTGTTATAAGAACTTAACTCAAAATATGACAGTAATTTTTTTTCATTCATTTCTTTTCATTTAATCAGTGAATATATTTATGGTTTGCGATCACTGATATGTAATTTATTAATAATATACTAACAGACAGCAGAGAAAACATTAAGAAAATTATGTAGCAGAAAGTATAAAATCGAGTCGTTGCATGAGATTTGCACGTTGCATAAGAAATAAAAAAAAACATTTAGCATGAGAGATCCGTTAGGAATATAACCAACGGTTTTAACGGTACAGAGGTGAAAGCAGACCCAGTTCCTAAAAAGGACGATGCTAAAGAAGACAAAGAAAATGGCAGGAACGTGTTGCCTACAACACCAACCACTACTGTGGTGAGTACGCTTTACACGTCTTTTAAAGAACATTGCTAGGCATTTTCTATGCGCCGATGCTATGGATAACTAGTTTTCATACTTCATAATACGTTAGTAGCAACACGATACGTAAAATTATAAACGCGGAAATAATACGCACGTTAGTTACCTTACGTAGGAGGGATTTAGATAAAGAGCTAGGACAAAATGGTTTAATAAACGATGCGTGTTGAATGTTAAAAGAAGAAGAGACAAGTTCATCTCATGTTATCATAAATCATTTGTTTCATTGAGATACATAAATCCCATGTATTAATTAAGAGGGAAATTTCACAAGAAAGTACTATGAAATGTCAGTGTCTTGTTTTGTTTTATTAAAAATATTTGCTCTTGATGAGAGAGAATATTCATGGACAGCATGACAAAATATCTTTGAACTGCAGAAGTCCACTGGCTACTAATCCTCGTAGAGTCAGTACATTATCAAGGAACATGATCCATTAAAATAGATATTTTGAGAAATCCAAATATTGACAAATGTTTGAATGATTTTCCAACACTCGCCAGAGTGAATTTCGTGAGAGATGGGTTGGGTTTAGATAAAAAAAAATTCGTCGAGTGCGGTTTATCCTGAGACGAGTGTTACAGGATCGAGGAGGTCGTCAAGTGTGGATATGTCCCGCATGCGGCAACCAGGATGATGGCTCACCGATGATCGGCTGCGACGATTGTGACGCTTGGTATCACTGGTAAATAACTCGTTACATTTACGTAATTTACACCGCGTAATGGCGTGGTGGAAATCAGTCAAAATCGTGAAACTTTGAAAACTTTATTCTCTTTTTAATATTTCAGGGTGTGCGTCGGCATGCAGGTTCCACCGGCTGAGGACGAGGATTGGTACTGCCGATTTTGTATAGCGAAAAAACAGGAGCTGCTTCACGATAAGAAGAAGAAAAAGCGGAAAAAGAAAGTGAAAGTAACTGCCTAGTATAAGTCAACCGGGTCTAACTGCGCAAGACCCGGTGTCATTATACCAAGCATTACCAAAGTCAAAGCGAAGGATAACAACAAAAGCGGCATCAAGAGTGCGAAAACGAAAAAGGTGTCCAAGAGTGACATTAAGATGCAAATGAAGTCACTAAAGGGGAAATCGGTAGCTACGAAAGGGAAAGCTACGAAGAGTAGTGTAACGAAAGTGAAGGCTGTAAAAAAGAAGTAGAGAATTGTTACGTCGTACAATGTAATTTAGCTAGCAGGAATTGTATTTTGTAAACTACGGGACGAATGTAAATGATTCTATTCTAGCCAGCGTACAGATATTCTGTGTCTGTATTGTTGAATTCTGTAATGCAATAACGATGTTTGTCGATGTTTTAGTTATTAAGAAAATATATTTTAGTGATATTTAAGATATCGACAAACATCGTCAATAGAATACCTCTGTGCTGGACGAACTCTTTTCTTGGGTTTTTTCTACTTTTATGTACAGCTATGTATTGTATTACTAACACTGTGTAGTTTATTACACAATGTAGACAAATTTGTAGTATATTTTCTTAGCTCTATTAGAGTCGTACATTTTTCGCCTGCTATATATGCTATGGTAGATTTAATATTTGGGACACTTCGAAAAATGCAAAATAAAATGTCCATTTTTAATGCATATATGTCACATGAATCAGTTATGGCTGCGGTCCGATTCATGCTTACAACGCTCTTGGAATTATTTCATCCTTGTTAATCGAATATTAAATAAAGACGAATGATGCTCACGATTGCGCTGTTATAAGCGTAAATTGGACCTATGTACAATAAGTTGTGTATAAAAATTATTAGTAATATAATTATATATTTAATTCCACTTATTTTATATATATATATATATATAATATTATATAATAATATTTTATAATAATTATATATATATATATATAATATATATATATGATCAATGGGTAGAATATACACATCTTTTCGCAGATAAAATTAATAACAAACTACTTTGATAGCGATTTTATTGTGTTATGCTAGCAGTCACTCTCATAATTATTTATGCACTAATTTATAGTATTATAATTGTGTTGCATGTACAAGATGTGAAATAATTATTTAATTCTGAGATGTGTTTGTAATATAAATGATAAGTCTCCGAATATTATTTAATTAATAAAAATTATATTTGTTAAAGCAGTGACAGTAATAAGGTAAATGCCAGTTTATAAGAATTGTATCAATTATATAAACTGTGACCGAAGCGGCTTTTGTATAATTTTTCTTGTATAATTCCGTCTATAAAAATGATTGAAGACTACTGCTCGAGTTGATTAGGATTATATCTAATTGATTATATAAAAATATTAATTATGACATTTATCATGTCGATATTTGTAATTATGATAGATTGTGTGAAATTTGTTATATCACTGCATATTATATGTATATTTGGTTATGCACCTATAATACATTTTTCAATATCTTTTTTATAATACAGTTCTATGAATATTAAAGCAAAAGCTTATTGATTACACACCAATCAACATCAGGACTTACACACACACACACACACATATATATATATATACATATATATATATATATATATATATAATATAAATATTTGTTTAGAGAACATAAAGTGAAATTATCAACTGCGATATTTATTATTGTAATTGATTTTTTATATATTTGAAATTTTGGAATATGATAGATACAAATATGTAAAAATTTTACGATTATAAATTCGTTATTTACATATATCGCAAGGCATTTGTATATTACACGATATAATGTCTTACGAAACGTCAATAATACAAAAAAACAACCTAAAAACAACGTCAAATTTTAGATTAGAAATATCTAGTATGCAAATATATTTTCAATGCTTTATATATATAGAATAAATTTCTATTCACTGATGCATACAACATTAAAATCATATAAATTTTTGTAACTAAGATTTCCTTTAAGATATCATTATTTCATGTCTTAAACTTTAAAGGAAATCAACATGATAAATGATCATGTTAAACAAGATAGATTTTTTGCACATGATCAATTCGAGAACTTATTTTTTGCTTATAATAACTCAATAATAAAATGTTACAACGTCATTCGATTAGATGAGATTTTGGAATACAGACAATCATATTTCTTATTAATCCTTTCATTACGAGCGTTTCTGCCGTGAACATTGTACGATACGGCTGTTACATACGAGCCGCACGCGATTTTAAGCGATCACGTCAAAATCATATATGACTTCATTACTTTAATATATTATATTTCATAAAATAAAAAGAATATCGAGTATGGAGTAAGCAAGTCTGTATATATGATTCTATGTTCACTAAATCTGATTATTGATTACAACTGGCCGTACCGAACCCGCTGGAAGGCTTGGGTACCAAGAGAAGAAGAAGTCAATGGTATATGAAGATCGCTTTGTGGCAGGCAACTATAGTATCGTAATGAAAGGATTAAATTTAATTACCTAATTCATTATATTTTTTTTTCAGATAAATTCTCTAGATAGTATTTATAGGTATCGTGATGGGTTTTAACACATATCTGTTCTACTTCTTGTAGGTGGAGCATTAAGTCCACCGGTATCACCGGACTCAAGTTGTTTTAGGAGCCGAAATAATGCGGCTGCTTCTCTAATGCGACTGAATTCAACACAGAACGCTTGAATCTCGATAAATAGTTCTTGCACGTTTATGATCTTGTTCCTTATCAAGGACTGCAGGAACACGCAAACAAGTCGCACCAGTCGATTCTGCATGTAACGGTCTTTGATGGTCTCGCAAGTGGATATGCAATTGCTGATATACAAATGTACAAATTCTGTCGGCAGGTCCACCGTGGTAGTCAATCTGTTCACGACCTCCATGGAGTGAAGGGACATCTCCATGTTCACTAGCACGCTAAAGTATTCCGTGATCTGGCTGGATTGCATTAGCTTCAGTAAGACCTCAATGGCGATTAGAGGATTGTTCTCAACGAGGTCTGGTAATTTCGGCGGCGTGAGCCCAATGTGATAAACGAGCTTCGGATCCTTCTCCAATTCGCTGATCAGATACTGTTGCTGCATCAACGTTAAGACATTTTTGAAGGCCTTGCCCATGAGTTTACGTGCCTCGATACTGGCGCAGTTCGACACGCACATGCTAGGATCGTACTCGACCGTGAATTGAGATGGCTCCGTGGAATGGAACCAAGCTATCTCGTTGATGGAATGATAAAGAGGTGGCGCAAGCCTCAGGAATTCAGGACGATAACTTTGCCTGTACAGAGGCGGATCGCCGATCGTGAGATTTTCTACTATATTTCTCACGGTGGTCGCGTCGTATTCCGTCCCCTGGGAGTGATCCATGTCGGGCAGTATTATAGGATTTCCGCATTTGCTGACAGACGGCAGTTCGGACTGGTGTTCCGCCAGCTGCAACTGCAAGGTGGTTAGATCGATGGATGGCACGGTGGCGAACGAGAACTCGTCCACGATCTGGCGTGGTGTCTTCTTCATGACGTCCTTCTGATTGTATCCCATCAAATTGACGAGCAGGCTCCTCTCGCAGTTGGACAGGAACGGTATGTGACCGGTGTGGCTGGACGGCTTCGAGCTCCCGTTGTTGGCGTCGTCCTGCGACTTCAGCACCTGCACGAATACAGAGGCAAACGGCGTGGAGGCTAATGGCTCCCCTCGGTACAGGTCAAACAGCAGCGTCAGTGCCATAACACGTTGAACGTGTTTAGGCAGCAGATCAACCTGCTGCAGCTGCAGCAGCAGCACCATTCCGACATTGAAGCGCTCCTCCTTGGGAAAACTCTGATGCAGCTGATTGCAGAGATTCTCCAGGCTGGTGTCCAGGTTTTCCTCGGTGAGGAGCTCGAGTAGTTTCACTATGTTCTTCGGAGCGAGTGTCATCCTCCTCGCTACGCGGCGAACGAAATATTTGCGAGCGTATACTTCTTCCCCGATAAGATGCCTCGCATTTACTCTGCCGTAATGTCATGTAAACAAAGCGGGAGCTGTCTCTCACGTGGGATTGTGGTATATTTACGGGCAAAGAATCTGCAGACGCGGACAATTGAGGTTAATTTATTTCAAAACATTCCAAAAAGTTCCAACAATCTATAGAAACTGTTTTACAGCTGACCGTTTGATCCGTTTGGAAAAATGTGTAAATTCTGAAATTTTCCATCTACTTCCTCTCCGATAGTTTTTGTTTGTTTATTTACTCCACTAAACTTTTCACAGCTGATCCGAGTGAATGTGTACTGTCTTTAGCCATCAAAAACATCGCTTGCTGCTTCTCTCCGCTTCGTGACACTCCGAAATTTCACGGCGAGATTTATGTTGGCTGCCCTTTTTACACTCAGAAATCTCAGAATAGGCAACCGAGTGACACTCCGAAATTTCACGACGAGATTTATGTTGGCTGCTCTTTTTACACTCAGGATAGGCAACCGAAGTGACACTCCAAAATTTCACGACGAGATTTATGTTGGCTGCCCTTTTTACACTCAGGATAGGCAACCAAGTGACACTCCGAAATTTCACGAGATTTATGTTGGCTGCTCTTTTTACACTCAGGATAGGCAACCGAAGTGACACTCCGAAATATCATGACGAGATTTATGTTGGCTGCCCTTTTTACACTCAAGATAGGCAACCGAAGCAGACCGAAGTGACATTCCGAAATTTCACGACGAGATTTATGTTGGCTGCTCTTTTTACACTCAGGATAG